TGCTGGAAAGAAGGCACGATAGGGATATTATTTGGTCGCTGACCTATCAAGGCGGCCAGCCGCACCTACTTTATCTATTGCTCTTTTTCGAACGCCCCTCTTTATCGAGTCGAAGTCCTTCCTTCCCTCGCTCTCAGTTTCCTTTTCTTTTTGCTTCGCTCCTCCGTTTTATACCTCTCCGTCTGTTCGCGTTTCAACGTCTGGAAACTTCTCATTTTTCCGCTCGTCGGCCAGCACGTGCACCAAAGGCGTCGAGGACACCCGGTACACTTTCGCCAAAATTCCTGCCCGACGTTTCGACGCGCTTCTCGAATTTTCTTCGACCGCCTCTTTAGACCGCATTCCAGCCTTTGTGTCCCTCTTTTCCGTCCACCAGATGCTCGCTTCCGTAGTGATCGAGGATGATTTAACGGGTCCAAGGGTCTCCACTCTTACAGAAGCAATATTATTTGGATCGAGGAAAAAAAAATCTATTTCAAAATCCATATTAAATTTTCTTTGAACGATTATGTGTTATACAAATCGAATCACCCTAAATTGTTACAAACTGTTTTCTTGGGATACTGACATCGCCTCATTTTTAGTATCGTAAAGGTCGATGGACCCTTTTATGTTGTATATGGAACTGGGGCCCACCATGGGGCACGCCCACATTCCATTTTTTAATAGAACTACACATAAATTTCTCCAATTTTTTATAGGGTTTTCAATAACAATTTTCTCAAAAAATTAACCATATTCCGTATAAACTTCAGTACTGGAAAAAAATAATTTTGTTCCTCGAGAGGGTTTTCCACTGCTTCAAGTCTATGGTGATAATGGCTGACGTTCGTTCAGTACCGCATATAACATGGCGATAGCCAAAAGTCCTGGCCTGAATTCTTGGACGTGCTTCACGTTACGCCCTCGACCATAGATAAAGAAGAACCTGCATTCTTTCGAAGCATAAATCAGTCAAGGACTGCCATGTGTTGCCTGTAGTCACAAACCTTCTATAGAGTTTTACTGTTATAGCGGCTGTAAAATCGTCGTCCAATATTTACAAGGGACATTTTTACGTATTCCTAAAAACTCCCAGGGCTTCGCGTTCGAATACGATCGAAAACTTCTCCATTCGTTTCATAAAGAAAAGATGTCTTCCCTTATTTCGTGTATACGATAAATTTTATTTTTAATACGTACTCCGTAGTTAATATTTACTACGGTCGTAAAATCATTTTTACCGGCATCGACGACCTTAACCTATTAACGTGAAACACGAGTTAAATGAAATTATATTTGGGCAGTTACATGACTTTTGAGTTCCGCTTGGTAACTATAGAGTGATTAACAAATCACGAGGTTTATAATTACAAATGTACCACGGGTAACTATATCATGTGCTTTTTATTTCCAACTAATGATTATATCTTTCGATGTTTCTTCACTTCGTTTGTTTATTTGAAGATCTCTGTCTTCAATTGCATCATTGCATACGTATGTATCAGAAATATATTACGTAGACTTTGCATACGAGTGGGCAAGCAACCTAACCTAACCCGGACAAGTTACCTTGTCTTTCCTGATTGCACATAGGGGGCGTTTCTAATCGAGAGAGACCCAGTTATCATGTTTATAAACGCGTAATACTTCACGTTTTGCTAATCTTGCACAATGATGAGTTTGTCCCGTTTAAGACGTAAATTGATTATTGTTAGAAAGCAAAGCGATCGCGCGACGGTTTATCGATAAGTTCTTGTTTCAATTAACATCGCGATTCTGAGAAGTCGGCCCGTAAAATCGATCAATTTTTCGATCCCATTAAGTGCCCGCAGTCCTCCCCCGCACTCTTCAAGGGGAACGTACATAAACTGGGACAACGATAACTCGATTCTCGGAACGACAGCGGTAAAAACGCGGTATTTTTTGTCTTCCAATAGTCGAGCCGCGAGTAAAAACACTTTCCTTCGTTGGAGCCTCGCAGACATCTTTTTTTCGCGCGCAAAAGTTGACAGACGGGGCCATTACAATCCACGATTCGCTCTCGTTTTTCCCACGTAACGTTTCATTCATGAAACGGAGCTACGATTTAGCATGAAAATGAAATCTGAATAAATGTAAATTAGTTCATTATGTTTTCGTGCGTAGTTCGTGGCAAGAAATAGCACCGAGAGTTTTTCGCGAGTTTTTGAGGTTATCGAGGAGTCCGTCCAGATGGCTCCTGTCACGAGGCGCGATAGAAGCGAGAGTTCCTTCTTCCCTTTCTATCTGTTCGTTAAAGAGACAATCGCAGTGGCCAGAGGTCTGCATGGTGAGTTACCTTCGCAAAAAAAGAAGCAACCTACGGAGATAAATGTCAAAGGTCATCGCGTTCATCCGATCGGGCCGCGTGCCGCGGCACGATTAAGCGACTTCGTTAATCGGCCGGTTTCGTGTTGGTCTTTTCCTAGAATCCCGTCGAACGACCTGGTTTTCGTTCTTAATTCGAGGCTTCTCTCACGTGCGCGCGAGCTATGCGGAATGCGTTAGTTGGCGGGGTCGCCGCGCGGAGTCGGAGGCGCTGGGGTCGCGGCACTCGTGCCACCTCCGCGCCGCAGCCGGTTAGTTCGACTCCGACCGTCACGCGATGTTTATCGTTTGACCAGTTGGTCAGTACGCACGCGTTCTGCGTTCTTTGTGCCAGCCGGTAGAGGTTAATCGTACTAACCGTTCGCCGAACGTCGACCGTCTCCGTTAATTTTCGAAACCGCGGTCAGCTGTCCTTGCATTTCTCTCGTCGTGAAAAAAAACACAGCGGCCGATTACGCCGTTTGACGGCTCGCGGATATCGGGATGGACGCGCGCTCGCGTGCGCGACTCAAGCCAACGACTAACGATGACACGTGAAAATCGACTGTGTTTTGCTCGACCAGTGTCCGGCCAGATACGGGAATCGCAACGCGATGCTTCGAGAGGGCGACGGTGCAAGAGTTCGGTCGAGGTTCTTGAGAAGATAAGGACTATGGTGGGGTGTTGTAGAACGTCAGATAAAGAGTAGGCTGGAAGAGGAAGTGTGCCCTCGGTGAACTGTCAAATGGTCAGTGTCTCGGCTCGCTTCACGGTACCTCTTTCGAACGCCGTGCTCCCAGCATCGGTAAGAAACGAGCGTGTTTTTGTATACGTTCGCGCGGGGTGCAAAGGTTGAAACAGGGACGAACAGAAAACGTGCACTTTCGACGCGTGCATTCTGTGTTTACATTTCCAGAACAGTTCTTTTTCCACTCCTCTGTCGAGCGCACGAGGAACGCTCGTGTTGACACACAATAAGCGTACGTGGAAGTGTTTCCCTTCGTACCGTTGACCACATTTACGTAACAGACGTGTGGCGAGACCGTCGCGTATCGTGCACATCTTTTTTTTTCTTCCCAGAACTTACTGGCGCGCGTGCAATACGTACGTGGAACGAAGAGCCTCGCGAAGCCTCCGGATGACATTTTGATTATTTATCTTTCTTTCTCGGCCGCGACGGTCCGTGGTTCAATCGTTCGCGTTTAAACGGGCACGCGTACGTTGCCATACTTTTCGTTCCCTGCCCACGATAGTTTTTTCCTCCCGTTCGGAACGCGAGCCAATTAACCGTGAAGCACGAAAGGTCGACTGCTTTCGAACGAATTTTCAAGATCCGGGATCAGCTGGTAGGATCGACTTCGGGCAATTATTAACACCGCACGTGGGTGTAGCGGTTTTGCGTACACGCCTGATTTCGTGCACCAACGAGTTTCGCTGGTTCGATTCGTTTGCTCTCGGTTTACCGTATGGCGAACGGCAGTGCCAATATGTGACGACAAATTACTGTTACGTACATCAAATGTTTTACAAAGTGGAGAACTCGAACGTTTCTTTATATTGGTACGTTGTCCATTAAAATTGTGTCAGTATAAATCTACCACTATATAGGGTGCAACAAATATTTTTTTTGGTGGGAGGTGTGGGGGGCATTAAAGTTTCGAAATTTGACCAGCGAATTTCATTCTGGGATTAGACGGCAAATAAAAATTCCGTGTAGCGATTCATTTGCAATGTTTATTTCATTTGAACAATTAAATCTGAATTTTTTCATAGTTCTCGACAATCTTTAATATCTTGGCATTCAACGAAACAATGGGAACAATATATCTCTATAAATGAAAATAACACATATCCTCATAAATATTTTCTTTTATTGCTCTGTTGTTTTGCTGAATCTTAAGATACTAAAGATTGCATATCAGGCAAGGAATGCACAAAAAATCGAAGTTTTACTCCAACATGGGAATTGATTTTTAATTGTTTTTAATCGGCTATATCCTTTTCGCCGTTTCTATCTGGCACTGTTTTTGAAGCACTCGGAATAAATTATTGGTATTACTAAGCAGACATGACTAGGTGTAGATTTAAATGATTTACGATCTGACATGTTATAGTCTGTGGTTATCAAACACCACCATTCACTTGTACCTTATATTCATTCACGCAGCGTGTTCGAAAGATTCTAAATTTCAATATAGAAATTCACAAATTTAAAAAAAACTGATGGAAATTAAATAGTAAAGTTTGTAAGTCCGTAATAATGTTATAAAATTTATTCGTTGGTCCTCGTGTCGTTACCTGCGTGAAAATATACTGAATAATTAAATCGAAGCATTCTGTACTTATGCAACTATCGAATATGAAATGCTAATATATTCGACATTCACTGACCAGGTATTTACAAATCACGTATCTGTGTATACTGTATTCGGCGATAAGGCCGAATCAAAATATTACATGGTTGCACAACTACCAAATATAATATACGAATACCATTAAGGATTTAAATACGAACGAAACATAAATTATTCTTATCTTGTTAATTGTAGAGTTATCTCATTAATCAGTACATATAATACAAGATTACATGTAACCGTGATAATACAAGTTATAATGCCTGGAATATTAGAGACCAGTTTTGAAAATTAATGTACTCAGTTTCGTTAAGAATTTCGTCGGTTTTGTTATTGCAGATGTCGGAGTTCCCAGCGGAGGGAGGGGAAAACGGTGACATGCACACTGTCATGGAGAATTTTCAAAAGAAGAACAATTTGGCGACTGGCAGAAGCCACGTCAGCCATCATCCGCAGGTCACCACGTCGTCGCAGGTGAATTTAACGATAATCTTTATCTCGGATGAGAAACAACGATCGTTTGCTAACAATTTCATTGATACATCAACGCCGACCAAAACAAAGTAAGACGATATATTTACACTCATCTAAAAGCCAAATGGAGTTACGGCAAATTGAATCAGCAAACACCAAAGCGTTAAACACACTTTCTTACTTCTCCGTTTCATCGATATTATCTTTTCTCCGTGTACAGGGTGTGTCGTTATGACCACGATAATCGTATAATTTGTAAACAAGATATTACTTTCAAGGTCATATTTTCGATGCTTGTTTCCCCAAGTTGCATCGTATCAAGTTCGAGAATATTTAATGATCATTTTTGAAAATTATTTTTCCTCGACAGAGGTTGACAAAATTCTCCTCGAGCAGACATTGTGCGGTTGTATTCGAATTTTCTATTTAAAGATCCCGCGAAATGATCTTTATTCCGCGGTAAGTAATGCGTCACGTTACTAGAACCGGAGCGTCGCGACGTCTCGCCCACACCGTGTTCGAATCTCCTGATCACGGGAACTTGGAAATTATTCACCCCCTTCGCGATTCCGCAACCGTACTGAGAGAATGTCCAAAATTAATTCGCGATCATCGTCACTCGTGTCTCCACGTGGCGCGGTCATCGTCGAAATTATTTGGACGATGACTTGGACGTCAATTGGAACAATTTTCTCCCAACCAGGCCTACAAAACACCAAGTAACGACGTAATTTATATTTTAATTTGTTAATTAAATTCTCAACGCACATGATATCGTCAAAATTTGCGTACAAAATTATTATTTTTTATCGTTATTTAAATCAGCTTTGTTTAATTAATAGAATCATAGCGTACGAAGTTCATCGTCGAAATTATTTGCTTGGACGTCAATTGGAACAATTTTCTTCCAACCAGGCCTACAAAAAGCCAAACAATCACGTAATTTATATTTCAATTTGTTAATTAAATTCTCAACGCACATGATATCGTCAAAATTTGCGTACAAAATTATTTTTTTTTATCGTTATTTAAATCAGCTTTGTTTAGTTAATAGAACCATAGCGTACGAACTTATTAAATATTGTGGAGTCGCGGAGGATTTTAACTGGTGGAATTTGGGCTGAAAATTGAGGAAATCCCACTTTAGGCCGATCTCTTTCGGCCGGAGGAGCTTGGATCGCGATCTATCGCCGGAGCCAACCTATTATGCAATGATATAGAGTCCACGTGTTTCAGTGCCGCCCACTGATACCCTTATCATTGTAACATTCTCTGTTAATTACGCCTCGGGTCGTCTTCCATGGATTTGCAAGTCACTCGATTCCCGGTCTCGTGAAAGCGTAGATTCATTCAGCTCCGGCTCTTTCACTCGTCGTTTCCTACTTTGCAGAGCCGCGAGAGAACAATGCCAGTGATTTATGACATTCTTCGGACTGGTGAACGTTCTTGTATTTGACGCCAAATCTCAGGTGTCCCGCGTATCTTCCTCCCATTTTGTTTCACATTTCGCCACGTGTCCTCTTTGAGGCTTGAGGCCATTCAAGAATTGAGAATTCATCAAAATAAGGAAACATAAATAGTTTCCATTCGACGCGTATTACAAGATGTTTCTAGTGTCCTCTTTGGATGTCGGTTTCTCTTGTCGAGAAATAAGGGAAAACCTGACATTCTCGAGCGTGCGTTAACCTCAATGACGAACCGTGGCATGCATCGAAACAGGCGGAAGACTCTCTGGGAACACCTGTCGAACGAATTCAATTTTTTAATTATTAAAACTCTCATCACAAAGGAATCCTGGTACTTGGAAATTTTCGTATCTCTGCACATTACTCGCGTAATGATTTAAAGAAACGTTGACTCGACGCGTTAAAGTAGGAACCGTGAATTAATTTGTAGACTCGATCTTCTCGAAGCAACCAGCCACTTCGTCAACGCGTCGATGGTTGCTGTCTCGTCTGAAATAATTGAATAATCAAAGACCGGCGTACCCGGGCGTTTTACGTAACGAAACGCCCACGTGAATAGTTTTTTCCGCTCGGTTGGCCGGATCGAACTTCCAGGTCCGGGAACCTTGAGGCCAGATTTCTTAAGGCTCTCCGTCGTCGAGACCATCGCCACTCTTCGATTTCGTACGGTGTTTGGCGCTATCGGTCGCCTCCTCCTCGGATATTTACCAGACAACCGCCCCGTTATCCGCGTTCCTTCACGGTTAATCGAACGGGCCGGGCCAGATGGTGAGTAAACGATTCTTTCCGCGGATATTTTTGGAAAATCGTGTTTGCCTTTCCACGGGTTTCCCCCTCCTCCCCACGCGAAAGCCTTTCCGATCGACGAACCTCGCCAAGAAACATTGTTGCTTTCCCCGACGTCCAGTTGGACCCCTGTCAACGAGTTTATTTTCGCACGATCCCCAACGGAGTCGTCGCAATTTTCTTGCTGATCGTAAGAAACTTCGTAATAACACATTCATTATCCTTTGGACTTTTATGGTCGGTCAGCTCGAGAAACTAGAATGTATTGCTCTGGAAATTCCGGAGAACAATAAATCTTAACGCGTTCGCTGTCCGGTTTCTCAGAGGCGTATACAATAGCGCGACGATATGACCCATATACGGATCATGGACAGCGAACACGGTTGACTGGTTGGTGGAGTCGGGGTCCATTTTAACCCATGCAAAGTTTATTTCGATCGACACCGAATTAATAAAGAAAAGACGTAGAAGGTCGATTACGAGATCAAAGTCCCCCGAAAGCGTGGAAAGATCGCGGAAAAAGGATTATTCGCGGTAAAATGGCGGGCAGGGTTGGGAGGGAATAGTATAGAGCGCGAAGACAGAGTATAGGCGAGATGGTGAGTCATGCCACGTGGATTTTAAATAGAACGTAAACGGCTTTTGACTCTGCAGATGCTGACGACGAACCAGAGCCAGAGCAGCAGCAGCTCGAGCAGGGTGGCCAAATCCTCGCAGAGGATTCTTACCTCGTCCTCGTCGAGTGAGATGAAAGCCAGCTCTATGAAAAGCGACTTGAGGGAACTTCAGCGCGGCATCTCTGAGATGAAGAACAACATATCGACCAATTTCTCGCAACGATTGCGCAGCAGCATGGAGAATCTCGTGGACAGGTGGGTAGAAAAGTGTCGAGGATCGCGAACGGGTAAGGTGAAACGGTGCGCCGCGGTTATTATTTTCGTGGGTGGAATTTAATGCAAAATAGATATTTCTAAAGTCTGAACTTCGTGCTCGCGGATTATTCGAAGAAAATGTAGCCAACCGTGGTAGTCGGAGTGGCTCAGTGACGAGTTATCGTCCGAGTCACGTCCAAGATTTATTTATAAACGCGTATTCCAATCTTAGCAGCATCAACCGTGATTATTTTCGAAGCTCTTCGCGCGTCGCGTAAACGCCGGTAGCGAGAATCGAGCTTCACTTTGTGGTTTCATTGAATCGAACCCGGTGTTTTACTTAGGGATGGAAACGGAACCGAGGAGGGCGACCTGACGGAGCCGTTGGTGACGTTCCCCGATCCCGACACGCCGCCCCCCGTAACGGGGACGGCCACGTTGACCGGTGGATCCCCCTCGCAGCTGAGTTCCTTGAACTCGTTGAACAATCTTCACAGCATGAGCCCGCCGATCAATATGTCGAACATTTCGAACATGACGAACTTGCCTGCTGGCCAGGAGACGATGAAGTTCGAGCAGAAGAAGATGACCAGCGCCTCGAAGACCAAGGTGACCTTTACCTTTGACCTTCGCTTTAATCACCCCCAATTTTCCACGGTTTTTTATTCATGAAACAATATTCTTTCCTTACACACAAATTGCAAAGACCGCACAAAAGTTGACCATTTATCGAGTGCAATTTTAGATATGCCATACTCGCCAAAGAACGATATCTATAATTGTTCGTGTTCGTCTACTGTTACTTCACGTGTGTCATCGAGTATTATTTCATCCACTTGGCCGAGCAGTAAAGAAATACTTGCAGTACCTGAAGATCAGAATCTAGCAAAGTATCAGAAATCGTGGCACCAAGGAATTTCTATTTCGTATTTTCTGTTTCGAAGAATCGTACACAAGAAGCTTCACACTTTTACCCAAATTTAGAACTTTATTTAAACACAAATTTCGTGCAAGACATCCCCTGTGGATATAATTCTTTGGAAAGGGGCTAGAATCTAAGTATCGGTGATTTATGGGTCCGAATTTGATCTTGGACCCGAAACGTTGAAATCTCTTGATTCACGATACGAATTACGGCATCCTCTTCCCAGAGAGGGACAGTTTTAGACCGAAACTGGCTTCCTGCTCGATATTGCGTGCAGAATAATCGATGTCGCGTGGACTTTGCGAGGCTGCGCAATGTTTGGCCGGAGGTGCGGTTTCCTCTGGCCAGTCTAGGTCAAGGACTCCGAACTCTCTAGACGACTCTGGCCAAACTGACAGCGACTCGTCCACGAAGCTCCTTTGTGGAGCTCCTCCCTTATCTCAAACATCATCTTCTTGCTCCATAGTCCTCGTCGTTTCGCGTAAACACCGAGACGATCGTTCGTCTTCTTTGTTTTACGTAATCGGGCCCGCGAATCATTCAAACAAACGATTCTCACGCGTCCAGAAAACTTCAATCCCGATGGTTATTTTTGCCGTTTGAATGTCACACGGCCTGCTGTCGACAGCTGATCTCTTTCCGCTCGGTTTCTATCTTTAACTTCACTTCCGTCGCGGCCAACGTTCAAACTTTTCACCGCGTCATCCTTCGTCGACGGCCAAGGCCGTCGTTTCCATTACCTCGTGAATTTTAAACATTCGACGCGTTCCGATGGGTCGACTTATGGCCCAAGAAACCAGGAGAAGCTTGGTCGCCTCCCAGCGCTGCTCTCTGCAGCCGCCATATTGGTCTCACAGTCTCTGGTTACCGTTTTAACATTCTTGTATCTCGAGTTTGATTAGAGATAGAGTAAAACTATAGAGGGAATAATTGAACGATATGGTAAGGTCTATTTTTCTACGCCTTCACTTTTTTTTAATGATAAAATTTCTTGTGCAAAAATAATTCCATCTGCCGCCATATTGGTTCACAGTCTCTGATCATCGTTTTAACATTCTTGTATCTCGAATTTGATTAGAGATAGACTAAAAATGTAGAGGGAATAATTGAACGATATCGTAAGGTCTATTTTTCTACGCCTTCACTTTTTTTTAATGATAAAATTTCTTGGGCAAAAATAATTCCATCTGCCGCCATATTGGTTCACAGTCTCTGATTACCGTTTTAACATTCTTGTATCTCGAATTTGATTAGAGATAGAGTAAAAATATAGAGGGAATAATCGAACGATATGGTAAGGTCTACTTTTCTACGCCTTCACTTTTTTTTTTAATGATAAAATTTCTTGAGCAAAAATATTCCGAAAGAACACCTACCAGAGCATTTTATAAACAAAACAATATTGTCTGCTTTATCGTACGTCGATCGATAAAGTGTTCCTCCATAATCTAATAAAATATTGTACAGAGAATAATGGAGCATTGTTTGCTCTATTGTATATCTATTGTTAATGTAAAAAAAATATTTCACAAAAAGATAAGCATTGTTTGCTCTTATATATATAGATCGATAAGGTGTTCCTTCGTCATTTCGTTAGACCTTCCCAGAGCCTTTGCAAATAAATAATTTAAGTTTTAAGTAATTTAAGTTTCTTTCAGTGTTGCTTCGCAAGCTGGACGTTTTGTGTCAGCCTTTATCGTTTGTGTAACATTTCAGGTGGTCACGGATGGCTTCAGCGCCGAGAAGGCGATCGCGAACAGCGCCGAGATGAGAGCGTTGCAAGCTGGCGACGTTTCTTACAAGGAACAGAGCGCCGCGACGGCGGCCAGGGCGCGCGTCGAGCTCGATGGCGTGTCCGCGGAGAAAAGGGTCGCTGCGGCAAGGGTGAGTCCGCCACGAGCGCTTTTCTCGACACTTTATCGACCCTTTGCACCAGGGAACTTATGTTTTAGACCCACCACACCGTTGTACCCACGAGCTATAAAATGTGACGCTCACGATACAAGAAAAATCTATCTTTTTCCCCCGTAAAATACATTTTAAGAGCTTGTGGGTGCCAGTGGAGTCGAAAGAAACGATTTCTTTTACATAGATCGATGGTCGACTTTCCTTACGGATCATACGAAAGATAATATTTCCACGTTTTAAAATTCCATAGCGATCGTCTGAGTGCAAAGGGTGCAAGAAACAGTCCTGAAAATTGCGATATCAGAATCCCCCATGCGCGTCGAGTATCGATACATGTTAGGAAAAGGGGATGACTCGTCCAACCCCCTTTCTTGTTTATGCGACAAAAGGATCTAAAGGAACACTCGACTCGCGTGGAATAGTTTGGCACGGAGCTCCGCTAGCGTAGTATCCTCCGAGGTCGTTGACGCCATGGCTTCTCGCTGGTGACGAACTTTCGCGGTCGAAAGTTTGGGGCTGACGTCCTCGATCTGGGATAAACGTTTGAACCTCTAGTTCAAGGAGACGCCTGGCCGCGCGACGATTTTCGCGTCTGTTGGAATAGGATCAAGCGGCCAATGCTGAGGACGCTGCGTGTTTGCATTGGCCCAGGTTAGGGCCAATACTTGAGAACAGATGTATTCCATACAAATTTCACTGTCCAACCCAACCACGTTTGCTCAACAAAATTTCATACAGATTAGAGACAATTAATGAGATAGGGGAATCACAAACACAGATTTGGATCTGATATTAATGATTTGAGTCTGTTCTGATCGTAGAGATTTAGATTCCAGGAAGGATCGGAATAGATAAATCCCCGGGTGTCCTTCCGGATAATCTGTTAAACCTTCCGGGCTGATTCGCGAGAAACATTCGTAGGTGGCTCGTCGACGATAACTTCGCCTCGCTTTGACGTTTAGATCCGAGCCGTAAATTCGTCGTTCGGGAAGTGGGTTCCAAGAATCATCGCGAAACCGGGTTATTCGCCCTGTGGAAATCATCGAACTCGCGAAACACGATTACAGGGATCCCCGTTGTTGATTACGCGGACAACGGTTCACTTTTCGAAGGCCTACGCGCCTATTTACGCGACGCGCGCTCGCTAAACTTAGACCTTTTTAACCGCGCTACGTAGCTTTTGAGTCACCGGGTGGAATTTTTGAACCGGAGCCAATGACTCTACGTCGCATGTTGTTCTCTGTTCCTCGACCTGCCAATGATCAGAGCAGCCTCTTTTGTAACTTCAAACCAGGGATTGGCAGAATTCTTCGACGGGTAAAAGCTTCGAACAAAGGACTCGTTAAACAAAAAGTCCAATTAGGTTCTTCGATGAAAGTTTAGAATATCTAGTTTCTCAATTGATTTCCCATTTTTGTCTTTTTTGTCAGCTACTAAGATAGTTAAATACGTGAAAGGTTTATACTTTCAAGCAGCTGTTCAATTCTCCAGTAGTGTAACGACAGACGAGTGGAATAGATTAAGATCATTTTTCCTTTAATCCCCTAATTGATCAGCTCGGTTTTGCCCACAGCGATGCGTTTTACGGTTCGACACGATGATCGTGACCGCTGGGAATTTCTCGCGAACGGAGTACTGGCGAAACGTTCGCGCAGGCAACGAATTTCTAACGCGCAGAAGGCTCTCGTCTAATGGATAATTCGCGTGCATGCCCTTCGTTTCTAAAGCCACGCGAAAGGCCAATGGGTTTCCCTGGTTTCCGTGAAACGTTCTCGCGCGAAATCGCGTGTTATAATCGCCCGGAAACCCTGACCCGTGCGAAGGCTTGGTTGTTTTTTCTCTCTCTATATCGCGAATCCGTTCTCACGACATCTATTTCTGCCATCGTTTACCTGCCACCTTTCTAAACACTATTCATATTCGGCTTTCTCCGCGGAGGAAATCACGGTTTACGCGAACATTTTTACACCTTCGAAGAGAGGTTCCTCGAAGTTTCGAATTTCGCGTAGCCTCGTTCCTTTGTTACGAAGACGCTGTGTCGAAACGCTTCTTGGTACTTTGTTTACCAAAGAATCTAGATCCTCGAAGTGAGTTACGCAACTTCTTGCAATTGGATTATTCGGGCTATTCGATCTAGGAAGGCTTAATCATCGATCAGACGGCGAACGCTGCCAAAAATCATGCTCACGGTTATCGCGGGCATTGGCAAGCTCGTTCGAGAATCGTTTTATACTGTGATTTCGATGACTCAGAACGTTACACGTGCCTGTACGTCCAACACAGTTTTTATGGAACTGTAATTATACCAATCGTTTTCCTCGTATTCCTGAGGTTTCTTAGCGTAGAAAAATAACGAGAAGAAAGATCGAAAAGCATAAGAATTTTATCGCAAAAAGGCAACTCAAATTGTTATTGAGTTATGAACAAAATTATATCACATCGATGTATAGATCGTTCGAATATTGGGAAATATCTGATCGCATAGAGTTCTTCAAATTTGAAAAGTCAAAGAACGCACTCGACAATTTCGCGAAACATGCTTTCAATGTCCATTACGTAGAATCAATAAAAGATAAGAGCAAAGATACCGAGAAATTATCGCTCACGGTCGCTATCGATCTCGAAAGCCCCAACGTGACCTTCTATAATACTTCCTCGAAGTTCTGGAACAGTTTCGATAAATGCACTTTTAATATTTCACGCAACCAACAGTTCCACTTCGCGAAAGAAAGTAACCAAACTTGAGAAATTATTCTTATTCATTTTTCAGTTTTCATTCGTTAAAAAAACGTGTATACAATTTTTAATCGATGAATTATTTTACGGAGTTACCAATGGCGGTCATTCGAAAATGGAGTCGTGTTTTAAATATTTTGGACACTCTGTACGAAACGAAAATCTAGATCAGAGGAGCGTGGAGCGTCCAGAGTCCACCCACGCGAAATACGGTCTGCACTCGTGGGGTGGTAGAATCACGGGGGTGGAAAGCTCGGTAACCACCGGCAACCAATCGATATCACTCGGAGGACAAAGCAGTTTGTTCCTGGCGCCGACAGACGACGGTTCGCGTGCGTCGATGGGCCAGCAACTGTCGAGCCTCGCTCGGGGTCTCTTTCCGGTCCTGAGGCCCAAAAGCGGCGGCAGCCTCGGCGGCCAAGCCTCGAAAATGGTACGATCCAACCCCACCTGGTCGTGTGAATATGTGCTTACAGTGTCGGTGCGATCGATCGTTTCTAACCTACCCAAACAAAACAATAAATCATCACTCTTGCTCCAGAAAAGGTTTGTCCTGGATCACTTGCATTGTGATTTGCAATTCCACGTACGTTTTAAGGGTGGATCTAGCAAACCATGACGAGTTAGAGTCTTGAAAGCCAAGCTTGGGAATATGAAGTTACATTACAGGGTTGGTGCAATCGATCGTTTCTAATTTACCTAAACAAAACAATAAATCATCACTCTTGCTCCAGAAAAGGTTTGTCCTGGATCACTTGCATTGTGATTTGCAATTCCACGTACGTTTGGTATTCTGATTCGAAGTTCTGCAGATATATAGAATTTTCGATGGGTTTAAGGGTGGTTCTAGCAAACCATGGCGAAAGTTAGAGTCTCGAGAGCCAAGCTTGGGAATATGAAGTTGCATTACAGTGTTGGTGCAATCGATCGGTTCTCACCAGCTCGAAGACAGTAGAAATCGTAGGGAAACGTGTACAACCCCCTGTTTTATACATACGAGTCGCATTTGTGATTCAGAGAAGGGTGACGAGACCTTTGAGATCGTTCTGTGTCAAAAGTTAAGGTGAAAGTTTGAATGTTTGCAGGGTGGTTCTTCGTCGATGGGGCTGGTTTAAGAGTTTGATTTAGCGAAGAGCGATAAAGATGGTTTGCGTAAACACCTATGACCCATTTAATCTCACTGAGTTACGGCCATTTCCGTCGAGTTATGTATGCTTGTTTTTACATCGCACACGACTTCCGTTTCAATACAAACCTGCTGGTTTATCGATCCTCACCGCGCTTTCGAAAATTACGATAGCGTCACGAGTGTGTTTGCAATCCCGCCAGACGCGTTGACAGAGCGTTCGAGCTTAGTTTGTCAAACATTGGAACCGGAAGTTATCGAACCAAGTACCGTTGGCGCTTCGAGATTTATAAATAACCGCGATGAAAAATATCTTTTTGAAACTCGGGAAGGTCCTCGCCAGAAATGAAATTTTCCAGCGTGTTATGTGTTCGATCGATCGATTCCGTTGGTGATGAGCGAAGCTGTAAATATTTTTTAACGTACGATCGTCGCGATTGGGAATAGATCTGCTTCTTGTGGCATTCGCGAGGAAGACGCTCGAGAACGGAGACTCTCGAGCCGATGGACGCTGACGATAATTGGCTCTTTAACCTCGAGGAGGACGATAAGTGTCGTGAACGGGTTCGTTCAGTCGCGTGTTTTCCTCGCCGCGGACAAGCGGGGAAAACGCGCGCGTAATTGCAGGGCGCGCGTAACGGCGAAGGTTAAATTACAGGGAAGCCAAACGCCCGCCAATGATTACAGCGATCGCGTTAATTGAAAAATAGCCGTGCGCCTAGTTATCTTTTAATTTCGTCGTCGTCCGTGGAACGCAGCATATTCCAGGTATCGCGTAACGTGTAACGCGTGTTCAATTCGTTTTATCGGAGAAGATCTACCATTGATCATAGAAAACATAAGCAGAGAATTTTTTTCTATAAATTTAGAAATTACAAATTAAAATGGAATAGTTTGCAATAGTCCTCCACGAAAGAATCCGCGATTTTCATTCGTTAGATTTCTTTAATTTCCCAACCGTTGGACTGTGGTTGTATCGTTAGAGATTTTGCAATTGTTCTCGTAACGTTTCGCAACGATTCTGCTTCTTTGTTGCCTGAAACGTGAATCGTGGCGAGTGGTGGTCGTACAATCACGACCAGTGAGATCATCCTCCAAATTTCGGTCGGATTTTCGAGAATCTTTGCCAACGGGGAATAGATGTCACCGATATCATCTCCCGGAACCGAAATAGCGCTCGACCGCGAAAGATGCGCTTGGGTGGATTGCCAGCTACCTCTGCCTCTGCACTCCGAGATTTTCAAGGACTTGTTCAAGGCCCTCGAGGTTCCCATGGAGCCCTCGGAAAACTGGAGAACTCTTCGGGACCCTCGAAAAACCCTCTTGATTCTAATAATATAGACTGTCTTGAATCGAATGAAAAATAGTGGAAACAAAATGCATCTTAGAGACCCTGTTAACCGTACCAGCATCGAATGAAAAATAGAATTTTGGGTTCTTTATTTTGGTTTCGAATGTTGGAGCAATTATAGCCAGGTTATCGTAGTTTTTCCAAATCAAAACAGCTTTATTTTTAGAAACGCTAAAAGAATTGATAACCTTATCGCGAAGATAACGAATCAGATAAACAACGCTCGTTGAATATGATTTCCTCGTAATTTTGCTCTCGTTTCGTGGTCCACCGATGCAGACCGGTGACCTCGTTTGCACTGTTATGAAAAAAAGTGATAAACGTTATCGGTCAGTTAAACAACATTTGGAAGAATCGTTGCTCCCAGAATTTCCTTATCGACTTTAAATTTCATTTTTGTGGTTTAATCTCGAAAATGGTAGTGCCCTCCTCTATTTTCATCGAGATTTTAATTACTTGCCCTAAAGAAAACCGCAGGATCTGTGATGTCTTTATAATTAACTAATAAACTCTCGCGAACAAAGGAAGTTGTTGATATTGGCACTGAAAATCGCTAACGACAGCGTTCTGTTTACGATGGCGAAATTGTTGGGCCGGTGCAGACTGCATTCCATCGCCTGCCGGGTCGTCTGGTGAAATTTCGTCACACTGCAGCCACAGAATAACAACGAGTGCCATTTTCCAGTAATTCACAGTACAAATAGTATGTTAGGTGTCTAGGAACATAACATTGTCATTGAAGGAGTATAAAAAACATTAACTGTTCGTGGACTTGACACCGCTTTCATAATGATCGCTCGTCTCGTTCCGTTTAGCATCCCAACTTAAATCAACAACGATCACGAGGAAATTTTACCTCGTTGACACCTGTAACTTAATCCTTTATTTCAAAACAACTCCCACCAGTTCGTGCAAATTAAGAATCTCCAGGCCTCTTTTATTTTAGAGGAAACTGCCCATTTCATTTAAATTGTGATGTCAACTTCGAAGTTGGCGTGATAATTCCCTTCCAAAACATGCGTTCCCGAAAATGACTCACTTTGTCAACCAGCAGAGCAGAATCGCGATAAGCTTATTTCATTTTATTTTCTACGAAATAACAAAATACAGAAATCGTTAAAAACGCTTACGAGTTGTTTGTAAATTGAAACCGTTGAATCGATAGAAATTCTTATTGGTACGCCCCCGCTGGTTCTTCGTTGCTTCCGGTGGCATCGAAAAGACACGTGCAAACATTTGGAGCAACGAAACAATCCGTGCAGACGTTTGAATACTGCCATGAATGATGCGAACACCGCTATTTTTGGTCGCGGATAAATAGAAACATCGTCTGCCGCGGAATCCCGCCTAAAAATCCATCACGTGGCACCTCGTTGCACCTAAACGTGGGCCAGCGCGAAATTAACCTATGCGCCACTCGCCTAATCGACTCCGAACGAAGCACCTGGGCTCCTAGTACCGCGACGCGACGCCCCGAATCGCGATCTATCGATCTCGTCTCTGGAGTGCACGTTCCCTTACCGGAGAACACACTTTCGATTGTCTCGTCCGGATCGAGTCCGTTGAGACGGTTTTCGATTGATTTTATTTTATTTTGTTCGTTGCACGTGTCAGTGTTATGCACTTTCGGCGAGATGAGTGCACCGTGGCCAGTGCATCGCGGCGTGATTCAACGGAAGGTGTTCGATCGCGAACAGGGGGTGAGTTCACATGTTTTGGAGAACAATCTCACGCGAAATAAGGCGAGGGTTGATCGTTACAGGCTCGAACAATATTTACAATTGCTAGTTCAACTCTCAGAACACTTTCTTAAACCTAATCACCATCTGTGTCACAATGATTGTGTCACAAATGCTTTTGAGGGATCATACATTGTACAGTTGGCAAGAGCCGGACAATGATTCAACTTATCCGCGACAGATTATGTCATAAATGCTCTCGCTGTGACAGCAAGTATAAACGATGTATCACACAGTTGTGCGGATGACAAGAATAAGATAATAATAATCGTCGAGTTTTCTTTCGAAAATGAAGCTTCGTCCGAAAGATGGTCTCTCGAAATATTGGACGATTCCGTGAAAAGTAAAAAGAATTTTTTCGGTTTAATAAATAAATTAAGAGAGAAAGGATTGTTTTTGAACTCTTCCGAGAACACGACGACGAAAGAACTCTGCGATTTTCGACGGAGATTTGGAAAACTTCTGTTTCTGTATGTTGATTCTGCAGCGTGCTTTGTTCGAGACGAGTGCATAGGATCTGTGAACCCTCCAATGACGTTGGAAAACACTTAAGCTAATTTGGACGGTTCAGTGTGTGCGTTAAACGCCCATAGGCGTTTGACGAGTACGCATAAGCAGATGCAACTTCGGAATTCCGCACGAACCTCAACATCGAGCATATAAATTTAGCGAAACGCACCTGCCCGCTACTGTGATTTAAACGTAACCCACGCTAGTAAATAATTGTTATCGACGCGATACGCTAACGATGCTTTCGTGTAATTTCATTGGAACGGTCGCTGACGCAAACGATCGTAGGAATATCTGGAAGTCGTCGTGCACGAGTACATTTAAATTTGTCGAATCTGTTTGCAACACGCGCGCGGCCGGCATTCCAAAAATAAAGCAAAAATTCGCGACCCAACGTTTCTGGAAGCTGAGTGACGCGTCTCGTGACTTTAATCGACGCGCAGAAGGTTGCTGTCGACGAATCGTTTCAGGAAACTCCGTATTTCGGGCGTTCGAAAACATTTTTCGGATATTTTAGCATCCCCAGCGATCGTTCGCGGGAAAATGATTCCTCCACTAAAACATTTTTCCCTCGGGTAGAATATTAAAATAAAGGAGCCTCTGGGAATCGTGACAAACATCCTCCCGTCGCCTTATTCGAATAAAAGAGGTATACGGGTCTCGCGAAGGTAGTCGAAGGCACATAAGTTTCCAGTCCACGGGTCTAAACGTCTCACCCACGCTCCCAAAAATAAATAACATGCATGTTCTGTCCGTTTGCGACCGTCTCCATATTTAGCTTGTATCTATAGGAGAACCTGATTTAGAACCTAAGCTGTACACGACGTCCCAAATTTCTCGCGAGGTCGACGACAACCATAAAAGATATACTTTTTATCTTCTCGAAAGACCTATCTGTATCTCCAAAAAAAATTAAGATACGTTCATACATGAGATCTGTCCGAAATTCTGCAAACTCGATACGTTTTACTCGCTATATACGATCAAATTGCGTACGAGATGAAATAAAAATATTTGGACCCGTCTCGTACGCGTTGAAAATGCTCGTTGACTTTGGATATTTCTGCCTCCATTTGTCAAATGGGTTTGTTTGAAGTTTTTTTTAAAGATAGGTTCGCGGTTTGTTTTTGTTCGCTCCGATCCATCGATTCCTCCTCCGTCGCGTTCGAACGCAGTTCCCCCCGATCGAATCGCGCTCTAAAGTCCGTTCGCCGATAACACGCAGATCTACGACGCCACGTGGAGGCCAGGAAACGCGAGGGAGACGCGCAAGGTGGCTGGGACGAAGCCATCCCGCGGCTCGCGACGACAGGGAACCGCGTCTCGTGACGACACGCTCGGATTATATTTAGAGAAATACGTCAGAAGCCGACCGGAGAGGTCGTGCCGCGGCCGATGAGCTTTCGACAGGCCAGACTGTTATGGAACTCTGTCGCGGAAAGTCGCACGCGAAGCTTTTCCCGCCGATTCGCGTTACGAACCATCCACCTGCGCTTCTTCAACGTCCATTCTCTTTCACGCTCTTCGTGTCTTCGCGTCGTAGTTTTCCCACAGTGATGAACGATAAACATTAATTTCCCACCTACAACGCACAATTTTCTCTCATTAAAGTGAACGAATCGATCGGAACAAGGATGTCGAGTGCCTCGAAGGATTTCAAACGGTAAAAGGAATTTTATATCAAAAGCGTATCGTCGTAGACAATTTTCACAATTTTTCTTCGAGCTCTCTACGGTCCCCGTTGAATTTTTTATGCAAAACGTATTTATCGATCGCTCCTCCTTACACGCTTCTGTATTTTTATACGTCGCGTATACTTCTTCGCCATCGATTTTTCTCGCGCCACTTTTTAAATTAAAGCGAAAGGAATATTTTTATTAAAGAACGCAAAAGTGTTTGTAAAAGAAAGCTTCTTTTCCAGTTCTCCATGCAAGATGAAACTGCGCAACGCGTTCCTATCTTTTCGTACGATCTTTAAATTTTTCCATCGATCTTTCCCCCCAGTCGGTATTTGCACAGTAAAGAGAGGGTGTCGAGCGTTCAGGATCCCGTTCAACGGGGGTAATTGAGATTAAGAGTTTAGTAATTTTTTCGCGTCGATTACCGCGCGGAACGAGATTCGACGAGATCGCAGAAACGTTTTGATTAATATTCGCACGTGCTCGAACGATAAAACTGCGCGTGTTGCACAGTGCGACGATTGTGTGCCGCATTGCGATCGTATCGGTGCTTCTACTACCAAGAATTAGCGTCGTTAGCTAACACGCCATAAGTGGACCTTCGATGGCTTGCTAATTCCCTGCAACGGGTGCTGAATATTAAACATTCCTCCCCGTGGAATGTTTCCCGCCTCTTACCGGAACAATTTCCCCAATATTTCTCAACCAAAAAGCGTTTAAACACCGTAAAGATCTATTTACGGAATATAAATGTTAATAAATCGTTCCCTTTTGACGTTGCAGGAGCAGAGAAGCTTGAAAGCTGGCGATCTGTCGCATCAAGAAAGTAACAACATGGCGGCGTCCACGATGAAGCTGCAGAGCGATTCCTTCAGCTCAGAGAAGGTGAAAACAACAATTTATCAATTACTACGTTCGTCTCGATTTTTTTATAAGCTCCTTGAAGAAAATTCCAGCTATCAAGATGGCGCCGGGAGTTCTGATCGCTGAGTTTGAATTTCTCGCTCGTGGAAAGTTTCTCTCTTTCGGAGCACGGTTTCCGCGTGTATCTTTGGCGGAAGAGAAACGACGCTCGGTGTGGTGGCCAGTTGTCAATTAAAATCTGTTTGGCCAGGTACCAAAGAATCCGTTTCCCCGGTGGCTGGCCACGAATGTTCGCCGTTTGATCTAGTCTGTGGCCGTTTGGCGCGTGACGTAGGCCACCACCACGGTCAAGCAATTTATACGCAGCGTGTAACAACCGCTCTCGATCGTTCCGCGCCGGATGAAAAGTGGGATCCACGGATTTAAACGGTGGCCAGTCGTCTTTCAGCGTTTCACCGAGTCAGGCGGCTCGTCGTTCCGGAAAATCGAAGAACACTATGGCCAGGAGGAAGTGGAGCCTCGACTCTAAAATAGTACGCCCAAGGAACTAAAATTCACCCTGGATGAAATTCAAACCCAGTGATCAGAATTTTTTAAATCGCCCTGTTCCGCCCTATTATCGTGAAAACTTCGATAGTGTTTAAAAACGTTTCGATCATCTCTTGTGTGGATTTTCTTTAACGTTAAACATATAGTATACACAGTGAATCTGTTATCTTTCTTAACATTGGTTCTAATGGTCCCTCTTCTTGCACTTGTACCTGTTGGTTTCCGACGCCATGTTTGAAAGATGCAGTTTCTCGCTATACTTTTAACGTTGCGTGGCGATACAGAAATAATGTTTACATTAACCACGGACAACCGGACGTGACACAGGCTCGTGATAATTCTCTCCCGAGGCGATCCTAGCTCGAACGTTTGTTCAGTGCCAAGCTAACTGCTTACTTCCGAGTTACGGTTGTTATTCCCAAGATTTATAGCTCTGTTAGCTTCCCAAGTATAGACTAGCAAGTATAATAAAATTGCTAAAGACGATCCCAGAAAAGTGAGTCTCAGGCACGAGACCATGGATCGACCAACGTTTCTCTCGATATTCACGATCTCAAGACAGAGTTAATAAACCTAGCCCTAAATTCTCTCTTTCCAGAAAGCCATGGCGGCGCAACAGCAGCGGCAAACGGTCACCTCGACCGGCATCTTCAACCACGAGAAGCACATGGCGTCCAGCTCTCAATCGAGCATCACGATAGCCTCGAAGGGGGTGACGTCGAAGTCGTCGATGATCACGGCGGCGAACGCGGTGAATCAATTGATGAACGGCATGAGGCCAGCGGAGGACGAGCTGCTATCTTTGCCTCTGGACGATCTGGATCTCCTCTGCTCGAAGTCGAATCCGCAGGACGTGGATCGAGCCATCACCAAGTACTGCAACTTCCTGGACAGCTTCGTGCAACGGCTGAAGGTGAACGAGAGCAAAAACGGCAAGGCGCCGTTGCTCCTGAACAGAGTGAACGAGATCATCAGGAAGGCGTGGGCGGTGCCGACGCACGGGCACGAGCTGGGATACACGTTGTGCAACACTCTGAGAACGAGGGGCGGGCTGGATCTGCTGATGACGAACTGCGTGGCCAGCGACCACGAGTTGCAGTTCTCGTCGGCCAGGTTGCTGGAGCAATGCCTGACCACGGAGAACAGAGCGCACGTGGTGGAGAACGGGCTGGAGAAGGTGGTGAACGTGGCGTGCGTGTGCACGAAGAACGCAAACTCGGTGGACCATTCCAGGGTGGGCACCGGTATTCTGGAACACCTGTTCAAGCACAGCGAGGGCACCTGCAGCGACGTGATCAGGCTAGGCGGGCTGGACGCGGTTCTGTTCGAGTGCAGGAAGAACGACGTGGAGACGTTGAGACACTGCGCCGGTGCTCTGGCCAATCTGTCTTTGTACGGCGGGGCGGAGAACCAGGAGGCGATGATCAACAGGAAGGTGCCCATGTGGTTGTTCCCTCTGGCCTTCCACAACGACGACAACATCAAGTACTACGCGTGCCTGGCCATCGCCGTGCTGGTGGCGAACAAGGAGATCGAGGCGGCGGTGTTGAAGTCGGGCACCCTCGACCTGGTCGAGCCATTCGTCACCTCTCACAATCCCTACGAGTTCGCCAAGTCGAATCTGGCCCATGCTCACGGTCAGAGCAAGAACTGGTTGGAGAGGCTGGTGCCGGTGTTGAGCTCGAAGAGGGAGGAGGCCAGGAATCTGGCGGCGTTTCACTTTTGCATGGAAGCAGGCATCAAGAAGCAGCAGGGCAACACAGAGATCTTCCGTGAGATAGGCGCCATCGAACCGTTGAAGAAGGTAGCCAGTTGTCCCAACGCGATTGCCTCCAAGTACGCGGCGCAGGCGCTGCGTTTGATCGGCGAGGAGATCCCGCACAAGCTCAGCCAACAGGTGCCCCTGTGGTCCACGGAGGACGTCAGGGAGTGGGTGAAGCAGATAGGGTTCGCGGAGTGCGCGCAGAACTTCGTCGAGAGCAGGGTGGACGGCGACCTGCTGCTACAGTTGACGGAAGAGAATCTCAAAGAGGACATCGGGCTGACGAATGGCATCAGGAGGAGACGGTTCACGAGGGAGCTACAGAATCTGAAGAAGATGGCGGACTACAGCAGCAGGGACACGGGCAACCTGAACAGTTTCCTTCAGTCGATCGGGCAGGAGTTCTCCACGTACACGTACAGCATGCTCAACGCTGGCGTTGACAAGGACTCGATCAGAAATCTGTCCGAGGATCAGCTTCTGACCGAGTGCGGGATCGCGAACAGCATCCACCGATTGAGGATACTGGACGCCATCAAGAACATGCAGCACAATCAGCTGTTGGGCTCGTGCGAGGACGAGTCGCCCGACAAGTCGTTGGACGTGTTCGTTAGTTACAGAAGATCCAACGGATCTCAGTTGGCAAGCTTGCTGAAGGTACACTTGCAGCTGCGGGGATTCTCGGTGTTCATCGACGTCGAGAGGCTGGAAGCTGGCAAGTTCGACAATAACCTGCTGCAGAGCATCAGGCAAGCTAAACACTTCCTCCTTGTGTTGACGCCCAAGGCTTTGGAAAGGTGTATACAGGACAGCGAGTGCAAGGACTGGGTTCACAGGGTAAGTTGATGTCAATGATTGGGTACTGCGTGGCAATAATTCCTGTCGCGATAATCTACTTGTTCTACTTGCACTGAAATCTAAAAAATGGTAAAAAATGAAGCACGACAAGGATCAGTGTCACAGGATTTATACCTCTCTTCGCTGATTGAACAGAATCTGTACGATAATGATATTTACAGGAAATTGTGGCAGCTCTACAGTCACAGTGTAATATAATTCCCATCATAGACAATTTCCAATGGCCAGAACCTGAGGAGCTTCCTGAAGACATGCGAGCAGTTTGCCATTTTAACGGTGTACGGTGGATTCACGACTACCAAGATGCCTGCGTAGACAAGCTTGAAAGGTGAGCTACTTGACTTCAACTATAGAAATATAGATAAAATTAATTGTAAAATAATAACATTGAACTCTTCGATTTGCAAGGTTTATGCGAGGCGAAATACCAGTCAGATCAGAAATGTCTGGTGGTATTCCAAGAAGTATCGCTACCAAGGACGTGACACAACCAAATACACCGGGTACCACGAATATCCGACAACTGCCAAACTACCAACGTATGCACAGCAATGAAAGCAGGGGCAGCGATAAAGATTCGACCGGTGGACGAGATTGACTAGAGGGCCCGCCCACAGCCATACCGAGCAGGTAATTATTATTTCCAGCTCGTCAACGCGTTTATGATTAATCTGATTACTAAACTTCGGGGTATAACAATTTAACGCAATATTTTTATTTCCATGTAGCCAGGATTAACAATTGCGATAAGACAATCACGACTAGGTCAGTCCGTGAAATCAGTTTTATATGTTTAAATGGTGTCAGTTCTTTTATCATCGGATCTGAATCAACTGGCCGTTCGAGGCCATTCCCCCTACTATACGTTGATGAGAAATAGGGGGCGCGTAATTACAGAAAGATCGATAGGTTTAAACGGCCAGTTGATTCAGTACCGCCTACAGATAGTGTCTACTCAAATTGTCTTCTATTCTGCTTATTCGTTGTTACTATTGTATGGTACAATTTCAGATGTAAGAAAGTTTAACTGAAAAATAATAGAAACAATATTGTTTCGGTATCGTAATATACAGAAATCTTACCATACATGATCAATCTATGTTACAATATTGGCTTAAAAATGTAAGCATGAGTGGTCCAGTCGTGTCTATCCCTTGTTTTGAAGTTGTAAAATTGGGTACAAGGACTGCATGGTTGGTGAATGTAACCTTCTCGCGTTTATCGGTGAACGTAGAACAAATTGATTTGTTTTACTTGAATTACAGACTTAGAAAATCATCGAGTCCGTCCCGTTGGTTAATGGGTCTGCCACCCACGTCTCCGCGATTGAAGTTCACCCACACACACCCTGGAGGAAGTCCAGTGCCGCGAAGACCACCGCGCCATCCTCCCTCGCCATCCACCAGATCTCGTTCGTTGGAACTGTTAGACCAAGACGAAAAGAAATCGATCTCCCCGATCAGAGAGTCGGAACCACAGCCGAGGCCAAGGTCCAGAAGCTTGGACGGCTTACTAGACGAAGATGGTATAGTACCACCGGACATGAAGACTGAAGAGTCGCCTAAGCAAAACTGTGAAAGCGAGATCAATGCAAAAGAGCCTATCGACTTGGACAAACTTCCTGACTCGAAAGCGAACGATGATCTTGCGCAGAATGAGTCGGAAGGGACAGGGAATGAAGCGAACGAAGGGTTAGGTTATGTTCAATCCGAGAGCTCAAACCGGGAAGGCAGTAACCTAGTAAAATCGAACGACGATGAAAATCCAACGCCAGTTCCTAGACAACGAACGAAGACACCTGTCGCGGATGCAAAATCGGAAGCGGTCGTTGATATTGTACAGGGAGATGAAGCGCGAAAATCCTTGATCTTCGTGGAGTCGAACGATAAAGACGAAAGTAACCTATTCGCGCGACCACCGAAACCTGTTCGATTAGTCAGCGTGGATGGACACCTGTCGATCGCGAACCCGAACGTACAGGATGAGAGGGAGGAGTCTCAGACGAGCTCGGTGAAGATCGATCCTTGCGACGACAACGCACAGTTGAAGGAACGACTGGTGGCTACGGGGAACGACAAATCGACGCTGCTTAAGGCGAAGAGCTGTGGTGCGGGGCTAGATTCCGACGAAAGCATTTCGTCCAACGAGTACAAGCCCAAGCTGAAAGAGCAGGGCTCGCTGCTCTCGTTGCCCACGGGGGCAGAACCGAAACGAAAGAAAAACTTTATGGACAAATGCGTGAACAAGGTGCGGTCTTTCATGAGGAAGTGACGATAAAGACTTTGTTATTTAATTTTACAACGCTAACTATAGTATGTCGATATTAATTATTGGGACATCGTGATTCCAGCAAGCGCGCGCGCGAACATTGCAACCCGAGTGTCGTATATATTCGCTTTGTCGGTCAACTTTTCTATTTGTATTAGGATAATTGTTTTCGAGATGTACAGACAGTATTTTATTTTTTCTTTTTTTTTTTTCTCTACGCGCGAACAATTCTTTTTTTTTCTTCGGTAAGTACGGTTTAACGAATGTATATATATATTTGAGATGCGCGAAAAGAATGCAATTGCGAAGTTTCGGGAGAGTCAGTTTACGCGCGAGTATACACGATATTTGTATAAAGATTAAAGCATCGCCATGGTAGAGTTACGAGCGATCGTAAGTTTTCTTCTGTACAATGACAGGCAGCATGAAAGTATAACTGATGTTGTGCCTAATTACAAAAGTGTCTTCTTAGAAATTGAGGTTAGGAAATAAACGAGATTCTCCTCCGCGTATGTGAGAGAGAAAGAGAGGTAGCCTGCTTTTTCAGGTGGCTTTTATATATTTCCTTATCGAATTGTATTATAGGTATGTAAACGCGTAGGTAAATAGCATTGTTATTTGTAATACAATTTTTTTAGTCGGTTTTTTTTTAGGATATCGAGTATAAATGTTCTGCTTGCGATGTACGTCGTGAGTGAAGGCAGCTAACATAATATGAAATAACAGCAATTATAACGTAACCGTCGGTTACGTTACCTTATTATTTAATAAGCGTTTTTACTATATCACTTTTAACTGATGTTATCTTACGTACGTAGCAAGTTCGAACAAATCCGTACGAGGTGATTCCTACGAAGCTTCGATATTATACTATTTTAAGATCCTGCCTAAGAATCAAGAAATGTATATTTTACCAAAGTTTCGCAAAGTAAAATTTAAGAATTTTATCAAAAGTTTGAATGTTTCTCACGAAATAAATTTTATTTAGCAAAGTATTACAGGCCCAGTCTGTCATTGACAAACGACACATCAAACATTTTCGATAAATTTTTATTTAATCATTAACACGTACACAGACATAACGTTCGTACGATGACCATATTTTATTAACATCAAACCAGAATCAGATTTTGCTGTGACTTAGAAATTAATTTACTTCATGCATTTATAACGTCGCTTCTTCCTCTAAGTCGACGTGCTAATTGTAGATCGCGGACCTGAAGGGTTACACGCTTTGCGTGCATAGATAATAAATAACAATCTTCAAAGAACTGAACTATGTAAGCTTCCACTGCCTCTTGCAATGCTTCTATCGCGATTGCCTTTATTCTGCATAGAATTCGAAAGAAAGATCATCATATTTTTAAGGTATACATATCAGGTTATCTTTCAAAATTCATATGTTCGAGCACTCACCTAGTGATATATTTATCCAGACCGAACTCGAAAATAATTTGCCTAACTAAACGAATAAAAGGGAGTTTTGGTATAATTAGGTTCACAGAGTTTCTTAAATGGCGAATTTCTTGTAAGTAACGTACATGTATACGTCTTCTTTGTCTACGTCTGTCTACCAAAAAGTGAGTCTAAAAAAAAAAATCATACAAACTAGTACTAATAATAATATACGATAAACTGATATCAATTTATTCAAGTATGTTTTAACCTTGGATACGCTGCTATCTGATGTAGATATATTTGATCTAAAACATTAAAATCGTTAGCTGATAGGTTATTATTCAAACGAATAACACACTATCAGAAACCATTAAGTTCTTAAAGAATCCCAACGATTTCATACATTTTCGTTAAATATAATATCAACTAACCTTGGATTAGATTTTCGACGTACCATTTTTATTACCATTAAAGTATATCACAACTTGCATCTTATTCGCAAATTTCTCGGTAGTATTATTAACAAAAGAATAAGTGTTAAAACAAAAAAGACGCGATCAATGTCAATGGCGCCATAATACGAATTCAAAATCGATTATTTAGGAAATGAAACTACTTTTACATATCAAGAATAGTTTATTGATCATTTTATATTTATACATATTCTTATATTCTACATCGAGAGTTTGTCCTTTAATATAAACGACTGTTACGACTTCACGGGTATCTTTTTTAATTGCACTTTTCGTACATATTTATTTATAAATTTTGTTTTCTGCTTCTTTTCCATAGAGGCAGAAGTACTCAACGTATCCAAACCTTCAAGCGATGGTAAACTCACTGTTCCAGTAAGCGGTACATACACTTTCTTATCATTTTCCGTTTTACGAGTCCACCTCTTCATTGTTCGTTGCAAAAAGTTGTTTGACTTTCTGTCATTGTCTTTTGGACTGTGTGTATTGCCCAACTCTAGATTGCATACAGTTTCTTCTGTTTTCAAGTTTTTCTCGCCGTCTTTCGTTTGTATCCTTTGCAGTCTTGAAGATGTTAAATATCTTCCCTCTTCTCTGTCTAGTTTACTTTCATCGTTTTTTTCTATATTGTCGAGATCGCTTTCTTTCTTAAGTGGTAGTGCACATTGTTCCGGTATTGTGTATCCGCCTTTATGCGGTGTTTGGACAGAATCGCACAACTTTCCCCAGAAATTGTATAAGCCTGCTCTGTTGTAATCTAACACAAACATGTAGCTCAATTGTGGTGGTAATTGGCATTTTTCATACAGACACGGTATGACTTTCCTTTGACGTTTGTCTGCAAGTAATGCAAATATTATAATGCAACGTTAAGAATTTACGAACGAAATTAATAAACAATCATTAAATCTTACCAATACCCAATGCCTGGGCATAGTTCAAAAAGAATTTGTTTGCTGGACTTTTAAGAAAGTTAGGTGATACTATGACAATTAATCTGTTACATCTCTCTGATATCAGCGTCATTACAGCTTCGTGTTCGAACGTAATTCCGCCGATTAAATCTCGATCTTTCAAACAAAGCTGGAAGACAAATAACATACTTATTTAATAACATACTTATTTAATAACATATTTAATTTTATAATGTACTGCTTCCTTCCTCTTACCTTCAAGTCATATTGGTTTTCCAGTTTATCCACCATTTCATTGGCAAAATTAATATCTTCGTCGGCATATAATAAAAATGCATCATAATATTGATTCTCCAGTCCTTGCCTTAATCTATGAAGATCATCTATTACAGAAATAAAATAAAGTACAATCTTTACCCGCATTATTTCATAATGTAATAATACATTTTATGTACTGCTTACCTACGGTAAGAACTTTTTCATCTATCTCATTAGCAATTGCTTCAGCCGATATTTTAGATTTTTCTAGCCCCTTCAAATACTTTTCAGCATCTCTTTCTGTAAGTATTAAATAATAAAATGAGTAGATATAAAACATTTTTTGAAGGAAAATTGAATACTCAAATTACAAACCAAAAAGCTCTAATGTGTCATCTAAAATGTCCCATCTGTCGAGCTCCTCCAATGCTGCTTGGAAGTCTTTGACTGTAACATTTTTTTGCCCCTGCTCCCAAACATTTAGAATATATGTTGATGGATCTGAACACGATGTTAATAATGGCATTACTTCTCCGCTTAAATTGGATAAATGCGCCAAACCTCGCCAATCTCTATACATACGAAAATCAGTAAAAGAAGTTCATAAGCATCGACACACATGAAGTGTAAGTGAAAGTGGAATAGTACATTGCTTTCAATTACCTCGGTAAACCATTTTCGGACGGAATAACCTTCTGAGGATTTAACAACGTTGAGACAATTTGTTTAGATTCGTCGGACAAGGCAACAAGTGGTACTACTGACAGGTCAACTGTCATTTTCTTTTATTCAATCTAACCTCAAATTATTGGTACCCATAAAATTGTTTTAATAATCCATAATACGCGTGATTGTTACAATACACATTAAATTTTGATAATCGGATGCCTTTGGAAAAACATGAGAAGATACACGATCCCCGTTAATGTTAAATTAATATTGTTCATTTTATTGCTGATACGTTGAAAAAAATCTCTAAAGTACTCGAACTACGTGATTTCACTATCGATTAATGTTGCTTAATTTGCATCGTAATAATTTTTTTCAATTTTACTTTTAATGACTATCGTCGTTTGACTTTTATTGAATAACAGTATTGCTCACACTTATATTTAAAAATGATTTCTGTAAGTCCAGAAAACATGATACTCGATGACTCTATAATGACCAATCAAAGTATCGTTTTCAAAGAATTGGGAAGAGTTTATCGAGTGCTATGCACTTGGTTATTTAAAAATAAGAATAAAACGATTGTATGGCAAAAATAATATGTTACCCAATATTACAGTATGATTCTATTCGAGGATTAGAGCGAATAATAGAAATATAAAAAGGAAAGTTGTTTCTAAACATTTTTCTAATAAATACTGGAATTAGTAACATGAACGTATGTACATGGTAATTACGGGTTGTATTAGTAATTGTTTAAAGTATTGGAAATAATCTAAAGAAAATCGCATAAATAGTTGTGTCGAAGCATGGAGAAACCAGGGTAAAATCGAAAGAAAATTATGAATTAATTCGCAAGTAGACCGTGACGGCGCTGCCGACACCAGGAGTTGTCACTTTTCCGTTAACCGCCGTGCGACGTTGTGCGAACATTTCGCGGAGTTGATTCGCGAAAATACCGATGTTCTAATAAAATATGTTAATTGTTTGCACGCGAGAACATTACGCCACGTTTAAATAAGGTAAAGATAATCAAATATTCTTATAAGTCTGCAAGCATTGGTCTCGAAGAGGTTAATGTTCGTTCCATTTGACATTTTTTTTTAACGTCATACTATCCGTTTTCAACGGAAATTCGTATTTTAAAAAAAGACACCTCTTTACGTACAAAAGTAACAAAACTCATTTATGCGAATATTATCGTATATCATGGGATAATTGTACTTTTTGCGCAATTCGCGTAAGCGTGCGTACAATTTGAGGTTCGGTTTTGAATTAACACTAACATTTCAATAACCATTTTTAGCGTTTAAATTTCGAACATGATGATATTATTACAATAAGGATTTTATATAAAGACGGGCAATTTAGTGGGAAATAATCATTATTAGAATGATTTTAATCAAATTATTTTTACACCATTGACTAAGATCATCATTGCATGCAGTAGTAATACCTTTAGTGTGTAAATCAGTTTTTCCTATTAACATATTGATCATCATAGTATTTTTTATTTCATTTCATTATGTTTTTCAATGGTATTAGTAGATGTGTTTAGTTAATAACCATTGAACATTATGTTTTCTGACTCTTTCCCCCAATTGTACTAAACCAGTAATAATTTTATGTTCCAGTTACATAACAATAAGTGTGTATATAAAAGATGGCAGATCAAAAGCCATCAGGATTAAGACCACCATCAAAAATTGGTCGACCATGCAGCAACCTACCACCAAGACCGGCAGTTCCACCATCACCACCAAGACCATCAATGAGTGAGTATTCAATAAATGCCTCTGGCAATTTTGTGTGCATGATTTGAATATGTTTTATTGTCCACTGTTTCTATAGTTTACTAGTTTGATGTGTTCCGTGTTGTACAAGTAAAAGAATGTACAAACCATATAAAAACTTTGATACTTTTCAAGACAGTATCAATAAGATGATGTATATATTTACAGTGTGCAATGATATTGGTATTTAAAAAATATCAAACATTCCTTAAGCCGATATATTTCATTTTTCTCGTACCGAATTATGGATTTTATCCTCGAAGGATAAACGTCGCGAGTTTATGGGATGACTTAATATTTTGATAGAGTATTTTTAAAATTCGCTTCTAAAAATCGGAGAGGCAGTGTTCCCCCTTAAATTCGATCGAAACTCAATGCAGCATGATCGTTCCCCACGCCGACGGGCGAGTACGCCCACGAGACCCTGAGACGAGCATGAACGAATGCTTTTACAATCGCGAGCCCGCGAACTTCTCGCGAGTCGTTCTTCCACCTCTCACTGCAACGCATCTCGTCCGATCAATCTGGTAAATACATCGATTTCTCGCTAACAAACATCGAAACGATCTCGTCGATCACCGCGAACGCTTCGTTCCTACGAAAAATCGTCGATATTGGTGCTCGTGTAACATCTTACTAAAACCAATAATTCATTCAATAACAATATCATTTCATTCTTTAATAGGCGTTTTTTTAGACCAGTGTTTAGACTGATATCTTAGATTTTTTGATTTCTTGTTTTGTGTCCCATTTCATTATTTGGAATATGTATCGTCGTTAATATTATTTATTTATTAGTCTAACAAAGGTTTATTGATAATTTGGTGGATGAAGAATTTTTTGGAGTTTTCATAGTTATGTGTCAAAAGTCATCATAATTAGCTGTAAGTAATCGTATCATTGTTGTATATTATACTTCAAGGATTTATTGTGATCTAATAATACTTGAGTCCAGAGTATATATAAACAAATATTTTTAAACATATCTTACACTGGTCTCTACTCCCTGGTGCTTTGGATCTTCTTCTGGATACTGTTTCTATTTTGTATAGACTCATAAATTTGATAAAAATAACCTTCTAAATTCCCAAGGCTAGTATTCATGTTCTTTTTAAATCTCCTCTAAAGAGAAGATCTTTTTATCTTGTCAAATGTTACAAACTACCATTATTCAGCTATTCAAATACCATTGCTCCTATCTACATATGCATAAATCCTAAAAACTTCTTTGAAAATTCTACCAGGAGTGTGTATCATCATCTTTAAATACTCATTCTCAGAGAAGCTCCTAATAACGTGAATGAATTATCGAGTCTAGAGTATTCTTTATTTTAACTTGGCTCTGGAGTCCTCGTTTTTTCTGTATTCCGAATTAAAATCTTCGATATAATTTTGTAGATCACTTCCCAGATATCATTACTACTTCCTGCAAGCACCCAAATAATTCTATCCTTATTCTTAACGTTGTTTCCTATTTTTACACATTCCAGGTGCCTAATATTCATTATTCGTCTACTTCAAATACCTCACTGGACTCAATTAACTTAATTGACTCTAAATCCCTCATCCAAACTACAGCCAGGTATCATAATTATTTCCTATAAAATATTCATTTAATTTTATTTCCTATTATCTTAAAATCCAGGTGCTAATATTTATCATCATCTGTTCCAAAGACATTCCGAGTGGATCGAATTATCTTTAGAATCCTCAGTTTCCCGGATCACAATGTTCAGTTTGGTAACCCCCGATACATCGTCACTATTTCCTATAAATACCTAACCCATTACTTTTATTAATTCTGTTTCCTTTCCTCCAGAATTTTACCACATTCATCGTTCATCCGCCTCGAAAGACCTCCAGATCGTTGGATTTAATTGGCTCTAGAATCATCGTTGCTTCTCCTGTACGGGCCGCCTAATCTAGAAGATCATCCTCCGCCTCTCGATCGCGATCGATCGCGCGCGAATGGAAACAAACGCGGTGCGTCGCTGACAAAGCTCCGTCTCTCGGAATCGAGGGCACCTATCTTGCCTTATTGGTTCATCCGTAGCGCCTTCCTCGCTGCAGAACGACTGCGATGCTAGGAAGGGACCTGTGCAGTCGGTGCAGTCATCGCATGACGCACACGGTTATGCAATCGGGCTGTGTTTATTGTGCGCTCGATTTCCAGCCGTTTCGTCTTTCCTCCCACGTGTCCACGTCTTCCCTTTTCGGTTGGGGTTTTTTTTTTCGCGCCACGATCCACCTTGCCCGTGATTTCTGCACGTTCCCCGTTCCCAGCCGCGCTCACACGTATCCGGGGGAGGGGAGGCTCGAATATCGCAACCGGATAGACGGGCTCAAGGTAGCCAATTTTCGTCTTGACGTGGAAACGGATACGTGTGCACCTGATATTCGATATCCGCGATCGCCAGGAAGCGAACTCGCGTGTCCTTACAGCTGGCATGTAAAACTCATTTTGGCTCGAGTACCGGTTCGCGCTTTGGTACCGTACCGTGGGGGCTGTAATTATCCTACAATCAAAAATATTCCGAAGGCTGTTCTCCCAGTCGTTGTCCTATAGAAAAATATCGAAAATGAGCGATAGAATTTATAGAAAAGTGTATTTGCTAAATTAATGGAAATTAATGGAAAACCGAATGAATCAACGCGCGACAATCTCGGAATTCCTCGTTCATGTTGTCGTCGCTTGTACGTCTGATGTTTCAACCGGATCATTCAGATGTTTACAAGTTTTTTTCGCGGTCTTCATTAGCATTCCTACGTGGATCGTGCTCGCCTAAGGTGACGATCTTTCGTTCTGACGTAATCTGGCCTCATGGTGTTCAATAACACTGACACCATCGGCCAAATATGGAGAGATAAGCGGTTTATGAGATTGGGGCCGTGTTCTTTGATATGTAGAAGCCGGTTCTCATAGATAAATTTCGTGTAAAGGAGACGCCGCTGATGTAACCCGTTGGATCGCGTTCTTAAAGCCCATTTTAGGCTCGCAGATCGTCTTTGGTTCGAGGAATGTTGGCGTGACTTCATCAATTATTTTCTCAGATCGATCCTTCTCTCCAAAAATTGGAAATCTCGTTTCATTCTTCGACGATCGTTTTCTACTTATGTATGTAGATATCTGACCTTGCCTAAACTTACACAGTCCTCCAGGAAAAGATCTCTTTCTTTCGTCCGTTTTTAAATAACTTTGTTGTTAAGTACAGCGTAACTTTATATCCTCGATAGTGGAATTATCAATGTTGCAAATCCTTTGGTAGATCGTCGAGTTACCATTGAGCGCGATTGAATATCGATTCCGGTGCAGGGATTTGCGCGTATCGCGTTACAACGCGATCATTAGATTAGATTCCAGGAACAAATCGCTACTTGACGACCATAGGAGTAATCGTATAGCTTACGCCATTAACCTTGTTTACGTATGGCGAGTCCACATTCGCGACACACCAGGTATCTGGATTGTGTGACTATGTACCTCTACGGATCGCGTTACCGGTGGTCAAGGTGCTTGACACCGTGCAAAGTTTATTTTGGTGCGATTCTACGCGGCAAACATCAGACGGTCGGGTTCAAGTTTAGTCATCGATCGTATCTGGAGCTCATTTAAATTCAATTGGAAGTCACTCCGTCAGCGTCCGTCTTCCCAACGTGACTCGACAGCCTCTAGAACTCTAGATCTTTGATCGTACACCGCAAATATTTTTTTAAATATAATCATTATTCCAACGAGACTGTCTCGAAGCCTCTTGATCGTCTTTATTAATTCAAGTCGTGTTCTTCGTTCGAACCCATTTCTAACAGTCTGTTACGAGCTGAATGGTGCCAGACAATATTGACCGCCGAAGGTCACTGCACCGATATCCCCACCGCTCCATTTTTGGCACGACTTTAGTCAGAGGGGTAACGACCAGGAAGCGGGGCGTATCTTATCTAGCTGGGAAGCTTATGCCTCGAGAATCACAATGGCGGTGATTCGAACCGCTGAAACCACCCCATTCACGAAATACTAGGGGTGCAATACCGTATCTCTGCAGGGGTATCCATTGCAATCATATTTGAGCTTAAATGGAGATTCGATACGTTCGATAATCTCGTCAGAGGGACCCCGAATCTGTTCGTTTCGCTTCTTTGCGTCAGAGATACCGCATCGTCGGATAAACCAATTGGCAGTCGCATACAAGGGTCGAAAACTTGAACGAGTTCTCCAAGGGTGGGGATTGGAATCGAGCCCGATACACTTCGATCTGATTAATAAATCTTCGTGCACGCGATTTCAATGAAATTCTCAACGATCGTCGTGCGCAATCTCCAACGATCGTTGCGTTCTAATCGCGTATCGATCTCGTCGAACAGAGATCGCTGCCCACGCGAACGACCTACTACCACCGGCGCGCCTACACCTTCCCATGAATAATTAATTAAATCGCAAATGACATTTTTCTGGATTTTTCGAACGAGATAATACGGTCGACTTGCGTTCTAATTGATTTCAAATCAAAACAGCCGCGATACCGTTCGTAATATACGCGCGTGACCGTAGTTTCGATATTCGACGAAATGTCTTACGTAATTTCTTGGTCCACGCGTCTGTGCGTCGCTAATCGTTACAGCCAAATGAATTCATACACGAACACACCCTGTTAATCGTTCGTTTACATAACTGTCCATTTAAGAACATCGAACGAAATTAACTTCCTGTGGCACGGACGTGCCGGCGATAATCAGTAAACCAAGCCCCGTTTCGAAAATACACGCCACGATTGTCTTTATGATGCGTGACATCGTTCTGGCAACCTGAATATTAATGTTGACAATGCGACTCGTTTATTCGTCGCGTCGATCGCGGCACGCAACGATCCACCCTGTCGCGGTGGAGATCGCTCGTTCCCGGAAGCATGTTTTGTTTCGTACGATTTGCATTGTTTATTGCGTTGTTTTGCATGACCGCAGACCAGATGGATCATCTCTGGGAAACGCACGGCCGTCGATTAAGCGAGGCTGGCCTGCGCAGAGGATCAGGTAGGTGGCTTTGTTGAATAATTTTTTACTTCGACAGAAAGTTTTCATACGCCAGATTGGAGTTTCATAACTAGACTGCGGATGTTTATGCATTTATGGGAAATTTTAATCCTCAAAAAACTACGAAATATAAGAAATACTTAAAGTAAGATGCGAATTATTATATTTAGGGGTTGAGACAGCCCTCTGTGAAGCTTCCGTTTCATTAATTCTAAATATGTGAATTTGCATAAAGATCCGCAGTCTATTCATAACTCTCTGTTATCTTGTATCATGACCGCTGGATGTACGAAAACTTTCTTCATATTTCATTGTATTTTGTAGCATTGGTAGAACAAAGATTGCGAGCATGCTCGTTCGTGACAATTGCATGTCTGATAATTCTAAGAAAGTATAAGCTTAGATAAGAATTTGATATCGCAGCATGATTACAATAAGAGTTTCACACAGTTCCTGTTTAACTCCTCTGCGACGAATAAATAAAATATTTGCATATTCCGCCATTATTGATGCTTCGATCGCGGGGAATGCATTTTCTTATCACGCGTTGAAGTCACCAGATATCACTATTCGGTGTTCGCTCTCCTGCAAGCGTAGAATTTCAAATTTGAAGGTTTCGATTATCGTCGAGGGGTTAGAGAGAAACCAATGGGTCGTACACCCCCGAGAAATGAATTTTCGCGATCCCAGTAAACGGAAACACTCTTGAGGGTAGTTAAAGATGTTTGTGCTGTCGGATAGATACTAGCGTCGTCCTGACGGAGGACACCGACAGCTTTATAATAGGAGACCGAGTATGGGTGGGTGGTACCAAGCCAGGTTCGATCGCCTACATCGGGGAGACTCAGTTCGCCCCAGGGGACTGGGCTGGTGTCGTCCTGGACGAACCAATCGGTAAGGACGATCTCTAAGGACATCGCGAAACTCATCGAAGGGGTCGAAAGATTGTGACGATATTGAACTTCAGGAAAGAACGATGGATCGGTGGCTGGTTGCCGGTACTTCCAGTGCGAGCCCAAACGAGGAATATTCTCTCGTTTGACCAGGCTGACCAGACAACCACTGGCTGATTTTGGCATGATGTCACCGACCCAGAAGACCCCGACAACACCGCCGGACAGCATGAGAGGAAGCCTCGCCAAATCCATGTCTCCCTCACTGAGTAAGGATCGGTGCAAGAGATACTCTCCTCGTCCGTAGTGTGCTTTTATGTTTTCTAAGAACGTTGGAATCGAAAAAAGAAGAAGTTCTTACCTCCGTGGCCCTCGAAACTCCAAGCATTCTTTAACTCTTCGATGTAACTCGATTCGAAAACAATTGTCGTACAATTCTATGGACTTCGAGGGTCAGAATGTTTCCAACGTTGATCGTCTAATTGCACGCCACGTAGAAGTAGTAAAAATGTCCCCCCTCCCCCCGTTCGTGGGATTTCTCTGTCTAACACGTAGCACGCTGTATTTTATTTATTAGCGCCAGGGAGACATTGTAGTGTTCTCCCACGCACCCCGTGTCTTACTATTCCCCGTATCCTTGAACGTTTGTTATTTATGCAGTCGAACCTCCTCGTTCAATTGTGTGTCCTCTCAGTAAATAAATCGGATGTGCACCGATTACCCCTCGCACGACTTCTTCTCACCGTCAATAAAATCGTAAAAATCCTGCGTTACGCGAGATGTATCACTGCATGGTATCACTTTTGTGCACAGAATATGTTGGTCGCTGAAGGTCGTTGGATGGCTCGTCCCTATCACTCTGCCTCTCGTTTTTCCCCCATTCCTTCGCTCCTCATCGAGCTCGAAAGACGATTGGACGTAATTTAAAATTTTTTGTAACTTGCTCGTACGAAGATTCATTTTTCTTAACGCCTCGCTGCGATGGCCGATCGTTTTCGCGACCGTGAGCGTAACCAATGTCTTCTGTCTCGCATTAGCGGACTTTACACACCTGTAAAGCATGTAACTCGTCACACAGACGCATCCACGACGAGTCTGTCGTCCACGGTGTCGCAGAGGGATCTCAGGATAGGCGAAAGGGTAATAGTATCGTCCACCCAAGGAAGCAAAGCCGGTGTCCTCAGGTACTTGGGGGTCACAGAGTTCGCCCCGGGCGAATGGTGCGGCGTGGAGCTCGACGAGCCAGTCGGAAAGAACGACGGCTCCGTTGGCGACATGAGGTCTGCATCGATGTTCCTAAATCTAACAGAATGCACCAAACTTTCGAAAATATCACGCGACCTAGAATCATCGATCTTACTCCCCCCTGAATCCTGTAACGTCGAATCGATCGACTGGTAGACGTAGCTGTAACTTCAATCGTGCGTAGAACAGGTGTGAACAGGTACTCGACAGCCTAACACCTTTCGTAGAGTTTATAAGCAACTTCCAGAGTAGATTAGAGATCATGGTAGCAATGTTCTGTTGGTAAATCCTTGTATAGAGAGTTTCTTTGCTCGCGAGATTGTTGAATGATCGAAGCTCGAAGCAGCGCTGGTAAAGAAAGATCGTGCCCCTACGGAGTCAGTTTGCTAACGATTCGAAAGTCGACGTAAAAAGATTTCGTTATTGACGCAGTTAGTGCTCTTTCTTCGCGTCGTTCGCTAATTGACTTAGCATTGCTTCAGGTACTTCGAGTGTCGACCTAAATACGGTCTGTTCGCACCCGCGCACAAGGTCATACGGTCGCCGTCCAGCAGAAGGTCAATGTGCATGGTGCACAAGCCGACCGGCGCCGCCCTGAATTCGTCCCTGAAGAAGACTGGTTCCAGAGAATCGCTCGTTTCGCTGTCGAGTATCGCCAGCACGGCGAGCACGGCTGCCAGGACTGGTATCAGTACAGCGAGGGTAAGATTCACGGTGCCGGAATGAGGAGGACGGCCTGTACTGCAGCTTGCATCTTCGATCCTGACTGCAGATCTACCGTTTCGTACGTTCCGCTCAGAGCAATTCGAGGATCACGGTTCCCGGACTGTCGAACAGGACAAATTTACCCTTACGAGTCCTGATAGCCAAGAAGAGATCATCAAATATTATGTACACTTTCGACAGAAGAACTCTAAGCCAAAAAGAGCGTAGCTCGAGCATTTGTTCCTCTAGATCCTGCGTTTAAATCACCTATTTCTATGCACTTTGTTCAATTTAGGACGCTGATGTTTCTTTCAACGGAACACCAAGATCGTCCAAGTCAGTGATCCTCGAATTGCTCCGAGTAGAATGGTTTTTCACTACGCAAACGCGTTCCTGTTCTAACTTGCGCGAACGAGTACAGTGAACCGTTCATGAGCGTCGCAGATATCTGTTTCATAACTGTTGTACAATTATAATAGCGTCGAGTAAGTTCGAACAATGTAGATACCAATATATACCCTAACAAAGTCAAATGCCAATCTAGTCGTTTACCATTACTGGCAAATAAGCGTAATCTGCGTGATACTTATGAAGGATTCACTGTTTGCGTTGGAACGCGTTTGTGAATGGGAAACACGCGTTGTTATTAGCTTGCTAGATCCATAGTGATTGTTGTTAGTTTTACATAGATTCACATGTTACTGTTGTTTTAGTAGCCATTGTTTTTGTCGATTAACATTAACGAGTGATGGATAGTCAAGCCTAGAATCGTGTTTAATCCAAGATCCAAAGACCTGTTCAGTATTCTTAATCTTTGGAAATCATTATCCAGTCTCCTGGTTGTAACATTGTTGTTGAATACTCGAGGAACCGTATCGTTGTACTTTGTTATTAATGGTCGGATATCGTAGAGTCAGTATACTATTTTATTTTACTAGTGTCTGTTCGTTAGCGACAGAAATAAGTAAGTAAAGGTAAATGGAGTTGCAGCTTGTACGTATGGCCGTTCGCATGATACACTTGTTTGTTTTCTTTTGTTGCATCAAAAATTCCAGAGGCCTGGTTTGCGCACGTCGACACTTGCACGAAATACCCTGCAGGTGAGATAACGATCTAACATATATATTTGATATCGTCACTTTTAGTTAGAAGCGTGACAAAAGTGCTGTTTACGTATAGCGTACCGTAGATTTAGATTAACAAACGCGTTGTGATTATTTATTGCCTAATATTAAGCACGGCTAAACAGTTCATCGGACGGTGTTTAGTTTGTGTGGTTGACGAGTGCGATTGTAATTTACATTCCATTACTATTTAGCCATCTTAGATACCACAACTTTATTTATTAGTGTGTAATCCTTAGCTGTACCATAGATGATAAGTAGTATAGAAATGTGCTCTAATATTTGTACAAGATGTTAATAAAATCCTCCGTCCTGATAATCCTGATAATCTCCTTGAAATCCAAGACCCCACCTACGTGGGTATTTGCTTCATAACTGTATCCAGACAAGCAATTATAACTTAACAACGTCGTAGATTTTCTTGTTTCGATAGTTCATTTCCCTAGTCGCTTGGAATGGAAAATTCTTTGCGTTTGTCTCGACCAGGAAGCCATTTTATTTAATTAAATGTCGTCAAATCTGTGATAAGCGTTACAATGAATGAATACGTAATTTTATTTCGAATCGATCAACAATAAAATGTTGACCTTGCTGCTAATTTTAATGCACGTTCAAGTTGAACATTTTTATGTTGAAGCTTCGTTTACGCGCTTTCTATCTGTTTATTAAAAACCGGTTTACCGGTAACAGGATAGTTCGACAACAGGAAACTGGTAAGATAAAGGCACAGAGTGTAAACGATAAATATACACATTTTGATGACAGTGATTAAATATTAGCTTCTGTTAATGGTTATCCGACCACGATAATTCTAAATGTACAAGTAGAAAATATAAAGATGTAATGCAAGAAATAACGTAATTGAAATTAATTCTAGTAAACATACATCCTACTTATCCAATTCCTAATGTAGATTAATTCCTGAGACATCTCTATAGTGATTAGGGTATGCAAGATCTACCAGTCTAGTGTAGTAATATATATTTAGATCCTGTAAGGGTAGAATTACATAATAGTATGGTTACTATTTGTTTTACACCCGTCTCCATTATTTTAGGAAACTTTGAAGGAGAGGCAGCAAGAGATAGAGTTTCTTCGAAGAGAAAGAGATTTAGAACGCGATCGTTTTACGAAAGCAGCGAGTCAGGCGGACCAGGCAGAGCAGTCTATCATTTCAATAAAGCAAGAATATGAACAGGTACCAGTTGTTCGTGCAGTGTATGCCCACTGTAAATGAGAAAAAGAAGGAGTCGTTATACGTAGTACGAAATTTTAATTTTAGTATCGCGAGAAAATGCAAAAGACAGTCACGGAAGCGGAGACGGCTCTCACAAAGTTAATTGAAGAAAAGAACGCGCTGGCTCTCCAATTAGAAGAAGAGAAGAGGAAATGCGAGGACCTATTGTTCCGTTTTGAAGAAGAGTCCGTCAATAAGGATGATATTCAGGTATACACTTTAACCATTCGATTGTTATTCCAGATGTAAAGAATATACACTATGGCAATAGATTACACTTAAGTGAAATGTACAATAAACGAGGTAAGTGTGAAAATACGCGAAAAGAATCTTAAATAAGCGTACAACGATTCTCACATTTTTCGAGCGTTAGCGTAAAAAGAAAAAAGAACAGACATACATGATTTTAATTATGTTGTTTCTCGTTTTACTTTCTTTGGTCGGATTTCCGTTCTCCCTTTGCGTTCAAAAATATTCTCGTACATCGAATGCTTACTGGAACTGTAAAGAATTTGCAAGTATTGAAATTAGGGAATAGATTAATACGCTTTCATTAGAATTAGGAGCTTCCCTGTTTACAAATGGTGTTGGGTAGAAGTAGCTTTAATGCATATTCGAGATAAGATTGAGAGTATAAAATAATACCCGAGAACATTGCATAAAGCTACGCTTTTAAGTATACAAATGAAAAAATAAAATTACTCGACATTTCATAAGGTAACGCAAAGTAATTGTATCTAGGCTGTGGGTTAACGCAAGAAACTTATCGTTTATTTTCAGAAAGAGAGAACTGATCAATGTGTGAGTATCCCATGGCAGCCGTTTGGGCCAGAGGAAGGGTTGATGGCGCTGTTTTTCTGCACCGCTTCTCTTATCGTCACTGTAGTCATGTCGTTTAGCATATCGTCACAGTTTTGCCAAAAAGCTATGTGACGTCGCAATACCTCAATGCTTTCGCGACTAATTCTTTCGATCTTCGTTGTAACATTAAGTATCAGGGTTTAAGCGACGGTAGTACCGTTCAATGTTCGTTTAAATAATCAGAATACACTAAGAGACGAACGAATATAGTAAATTGAAGGAATACGTAATTGTATTATACAATGGTCAGGTTTAGTTTCCTTATTATTTAAAAGGTGCGGGATTAACACGCTTTTGCGGTGCACTGCAAAATAATTAATTAAGTTTCCAGTAATTCAATTGCTTCTTTCACGCTGAATCTGTGCTTCGCGTATCGAGTTATTGTTAATACGTAATGATTATCACACCAGCATATGAGAGATTTAATGAACAATGTAATTTATTTATTTGTTAATACCTCATCTATTTATTTATTTATATATTTATTTATTTATTGTAAAATTTGTTTCGGACGCTATATGTTAAATTTTGTATTTTTTTTTTTTTATTTTTTGTATTAATTCATATCGCACATGGTTGTATATTGTTACATATTAGTATCGAATAATACGTTCTACGTTTGTTGAAGCATATATGATATAATCATATTTTTTTATTTCATTACATTTACGCCTTTCTCGTAATCTGATCGGGTATCACGCATATTAATCGACACGGTAAACAGTAAACAGTGCCCTTTGTATATCTCAGTACGCTTCGTATTAGTTAATGTTTACGTGGATTGGTCCATCCGGGTACTAAAGGTAGTAATTTGTCATTAGGTGATAAATACTGTAAATGAAAACAGGATCAGAGATCTCGAGAAGCAATTGTTGGAAGAAAGGGAGCGCGTTGCTCAGCTGGAACGCGACAGTATAAAATTGTTCGAGACCGAAGAGGAATTGTCACGTCTTCGCAACGAAGTGTCCAATGCCACTTCTCAAGAGAGACATCGCTTGGAAGGTGCTTCAAATAACAATAATTCATTGGACGTTGTTCTCCGCGCGCTCTTTACTAACGTTAAACCGATATAGATTTGCAGAACCGGAATCGAAGCCTGGAAGAAGCAAAAGCTAGTCTTGAAAGGGAGGTGCACGAAAAATCAGCTCTCGTGGAACAGTGCGTCGTGCAAATAAAAGAGTTGGAGACGAAATTGAACGAGAATCAAAAGGAAACATCGACGCATAAGGAATCCGAGTCAAATTTGCGAACAGAATTGGACCGTGCAACGAAAGCTTTAGAGGAGAGAAGCATTTTGATAGAAAACATGAAAAAGGAATTTGAAAGCACTACAGACACCTTAAAAGAAGAGTTGCAACGCGCTAAAGAGACAATAGAGAATACAAAGCTAGAGAATACAAATGAAAAGGAATCGTTGGTATCTAAATACGAAAAGATCGTTGAAGAGAAAGTGAAAGCATTAGAGCTGGCGACTGAATCGAAGAAGCAATTGGAAGTACAGAGCACAGCTTTGGAGGATCTTAAGACAGAGAACGTCAAGGAAATCAAAAAACTATCAGAGTCCTTCAATGATCAGCTAAATATGAGAGATTTGAGGATCAAAGAAATAACCGTGCAGCTCGATCAGAAAACATCCGAAACTGAAAAACTGATGAATGAACTGTCCGCGCAAATTGACTTCGGTAAAATTAAAGACGAAGAGTTAAACGTTGCTCTGCAGAGACTAGAAGGTATGCTACAGAGTATGGTATGATAGAATTTTTAATCGAAGAGTTTTGTTTCTTTCTTTTATGAGAATCCATTTTACAGAACTGAATGAAAAGCTTAAGTTAGTGGAAGAGAAGAACGCTACGCTTTCTAAACAAATGCAAGAGTATCAATCAAAGGCTGATGATAGTATTAAGATAGTTCAAGAAAAGCAAAAATTAGTAAGCATCGGTTATATTCTTTTTAAAAGCCAATCGTATGGATACTAAATGTTTTATTGGTTTAGGAGCAAGATGTAGCGTCTTTGATAGCTACCGAGGCAAATTCTTCCGCACAGTTGAAAAAATTGAGCGAGGAATTAAAAGTAAAAGAGAAGGAATTGTCGGAGCTTCGTTCTACCACTGCGGCTGAAATAGAGGAATTGATTAAGCGTTATCAGGGCCAAATTGAAGAGAAATCGAAATATATCGAGGAAGTGACAGCAGACGTGTCTCAAAAATCCGAACTGCTTAGTAAATTGGAAAAGGATATAATTGTATTGAAATCAATCCTTGCGACCAAAGACGAAGAAATAAAAAATCTTACAGAGAAAACTTCAGGTAAAAAGCGTAGATATTAAATTTGATTTTATATTTCGTGTACGTGAGTTGAAATCTTTGTCTCTTATGTTTCAGAATTGCAGGATGCTCTTACATTATCGGCGCAAACTAAGACAAACTTGGAGAGCGAACTTAGAGCTGTTGGAAACAACGTGGAAAAATTAAATCAACAGGTAGCCAGCGCGGAAAATAAAATATCACAGATAACTACTCAAAAAGAGAAACTGGTAAGTAACAGTTCTCAGAGCAAACTATGCCAAAATAGGACACTTTATATAATGTTCAAATCTCTTATATTATTTAGGAATCTGATATTGCAAATCTGGTAAGTAGTTCTGCTAATTCGTCGGAACAGCTGGTAAGATACAATGAAGATTTGCGATTGAAAGAGAAAGAGCTTGACGAATTAAAAGACAAAGCTTTTACGAGTGAGAGTACGATAAAATCATTGGAAGGAAAGTTAAGTAACACGGAAATGGAATTAAGTAAAGTTGGTACGTTGATTCAGGATCAACGTGCCGCACTAGAAGATAGTAAATCTCAATTGGAAAAAGAAAGAAAATTGAATATTGAACTGTGCGACAAAGTGAAACAATTTGAGATAGAAAACGGTGAACTTAAAAAAATAATAAATGAAAATGAACGCGTCAAGGAGAATCTTGTGGAGAAATCCGAGGAAACGTTGAATCTTGCGAACGAGTTAAAAAATAGTCAAGAGAAAATCATTAATCTTGAGAAACAATGTAACGCGTTACAAAATTCTCATAATGAAGAAATGTCCTCCCTTCAAATACGAATCGATGGAATTCAAGCGGAATTGGCTGCCTCTCAGGAGGAAACCAAGTCTTTGCAAAAGATGAAATCTAAGTTAGAGGCAGACCAAAGTGCCCATCGTTGGTCTATCGAGGAATTGACCGAGAAACTGACGGCTGAAGTGGAGAATCGTTCCAAGTTGGAGTCCTTGATATTAGAAAGGGATTCTAATTTCCAAGAAATTCAAAGTAAATATTTAGAGTTACAAAAAACAAATGAAGCTTTAATAGTTAATAAGGAAACCGCCGACAAAAGTCTCGCAACATCATTGGATGCAATGTCCAATGAAGTGAAACAGCTGAAGGACAAATTAGCTGATGCAACAGAAACGATTAAAATAAAAGAAGACGCTCTTATTCAAATAACAAAGTCTACTGAACAAACTGAAGCAGAGATTTCAAAATTGAACAATACTATCGCTTCTATGAAGGAACAACAAGCACATAGTACAGAAGAAATACAAAAGATACAAGAAGCTCTTTCAAGGAAGGAGAAGGAAGTCAGTGACTTCACAGAGACAAAGAATTCTTTAGAAAATAATGTAAAGACGCTAGAAGCGCAGTTGAAACATGTAACAGAAGAATCGATCGAGAAAAACAATTCTCTTCAAGAAATGGAACACACGATCAAAGAATTGCAAAACTCCAAAAATGAATCTCTGACGAAGTTACAAAACATGTTGGAGTCTGAAATTAAATCCAAGCAAATCAAATACGAGAATGCAGTCCTGGAGAATGATGAATTAGAGAAGAAGCTGCAATCGCTTCAGGGTCTGATTGATAAACAAATCCATGATTTGAGTAACAAGGAAACAGTGATCAATAAGCTAACAGCACAACTTAAAACTGCACAATTAAAAGAAGCACAAAGTAATTTGTAAGTGCATAGAAAATTGCAGGCTTTCGATCTTCTTTAAAAATATGCTTCTAGCATAAATTTGTACTTTTTGTAGGGAAAAGGAAACCAAGTGGACAGAGAGAACAAATGAATTGAATCTGACTCGAGAAAATATGAAGAACAATTATGATGTAAGTTCTTAATCCTTAGACGACCGCACGGGATCTGTCGAATACATTAATCTCACTATTTCTTTTTAAAAAACACATTGACTTAATTGAATTAATACTTGCATTTTAGGTAATCCTCTCGTTTAATCTCTTTAATACTGTGTTGTAGTTACATGTTTCTAAGATATCTCGAATTGACTGAAATTAAATAATTAAGGCTCGGAGTTGATTGGTCTTGGGGTCCCACATAGTTCTTCACGTATTTAACAAAATTGCATGCTGACTCGAATAAGCAAAAATTATTAACCAAATTTTTAGAGGATAGATCAAGTAGATATGTATGTTTTTAGTAACATATTTATGAAGCACATATTTTTCGCTTTCATGAGCATTTTTATTTCGTTGTAGTGTTTGTAATATTCTTTTTTTTCATAATAATAATATTGATTAATCCGTCGTGTAATTAATAAACACATTGATATTAATATTTGCCAATAAGATTCTTGGTACATAACATCGTCGCGTATTTTACGTAGAAAAAATTACGTCGTCGTCTAAGGGCTAAGTATGCTTTCAAAATATAAGAATAGAGGACAAACAATAAATCGTTCATTCCATATTTTAGGCAGCCGGTGATGTCATTGAACAACATAGGGGTAAATTTTCTAATAATATTCATAAATCGACTTTCGCTTTGGAACTTCTTATCAGCTATATCGCAAGATGTAATTGTTTCTTTCAGTTGACAAAGATATCGATGTGTTAAAATTGAAAGAGGAAAACGAAACGGCTAAAGGTCAAATAGATTTCTTGAATTCCGTGATAGTAGATATGCAGCGTAAAAATCAAGCTTTATTGTGTAAAGTCGAAGTCCTCGAAATGGGAGTACCAGCCAACGAAGCTGACGATTATACTCAGTTTGTAGCATTTTAATTTTCAGATTGTATAATCCGGATAGTAGTGAAATAGCATTTGCATGTTAATTTCAGAAACACATTGGATAAACGTATGCATACGCAACGTATGTTCTGTGATATTTGCGATCAGTTCGATTTACACGAAACAGAGGATTGTCCACGTCAAGCTCAGGACTTCCTGGAGACAGAAAAGGTTGCGAAATCACCGAAAAAGGTATCGGTGGAAAGGCCGTACTGCGAACACTGTGAAAGTAAGAATTCATTATTCAAAGTTATACGGATTGGATTTCTCGTTGCATCTATATACACTGTTCTTTCTCCTAAACGGAAAAATAAGTGTCTAAAATTTGTCACGAAAAAATTTTTCCACGATCGCTAAAATACTTTTATATCGACTAACACCTTTCGTAACTATACAATTATTTTTTAATCGATTAAACGATAGAAATATTTGTGCTGTACATGTTTTCTCTCGAACCAACTATTCTAACAGCCTCTGTCTACTTCTATCCAGTCCCACTCATGATACTGTTTGATTGTTTTAGTGTTCGGACACGATACTCGTGATTGCGACGACGCCGAGACGTTTTAACAGCGTGTTATTATTCGTAGTCCTGTTTCACTGTTCGTAAAAGATCCTATACACGAGAAAAGACCTGTTAAGATTTTGCAAAGTATATTTTTATATAAAAGAATCAAACGCAACCGTTGTATGTATGTCTTCCCGCATAGGATGCGCGTGTCCATCCAGAAAGTCCGGTGATTTGGCAAAGAACATGTTCTCCCCGTGTTAAACCCATAGCTTTAAAGTCTATACGTATACGTTCACGGAGATCGATGATCGGCAAAATTTCAATTTTTATTTGTTATCAGAAATTTTAATCCAGACAAGAATTTTGCCCGTCATCGATGAAAATGTTTTTGTAATTACATTCATTCTACTTCCATCTAATTATCGAAGTACAAAGCAATAGAGTTCAATTGTAGGTCAGAATTACGGCTAAGTTAATTACGGTAAATTATTAAATCGTATAATAATTTATAAGAAGGGAGCATGCATTATCAAAGTGTGCACAGTGAAATGTTAACACACGTACCGTGCGAGACTCGTGGAAGTCAAGTGTAATTATGTACATAACAGTTATTTATATCAATCTATACATGTATTTAATATTTATTTAGCGTTCGGGAACGCAACACGTTCAGTGATAGTTCCTTTACTTCAAGAACTAAGTGCTCGAGCCATAAGCATTAGAAGCAAGGCGTTTCTTAAGCCGTTTTTGAAACCGATGATAGAAAATTTATTACCAATTAACAGAGATGGGCAACATTTCGTTCGAGTAATGATCGATAAAACAATTGAACTTTTTTTTGAGAATCAAACAAGCTTGCCCGCCTCTGACCGATTGGTGATTTATAGGTGATACATTTCTCCTGAAAGAATGTTTGTACGTCCAGTATAATGTAAGCAAATGCTTCCTGTACGCGTTATGCTGTGCTTCTTTCGCCATCATCTGTACAAAAATCGTTACGGTAGAATCGTACTGTTGAGACCTGTTACTCTCTTGCCTTTCAACTTTGAGCCTTAATACAGGGTTGATAATGATCACTGAATTAGTCTTGTCTTCAAATGTGTACATTCGATAAATTAGAACCATGCTTTGTAGTTAAGAAAATAAAATTCTAATAGACTGATTAAATTGTTTAAAGATAGAAAATATATACAACAGTATATTAGTTCCTTCCTTGTCCTGCTTCTAGTTTAAAGTTTAAATTGGGTACTCTAGCATGTAAGATTTTAAAACACAATTTCTCTAAAATGTTTATTTACTTATTCATATATACAAATATTGGTCATTCTTGCTTTAAGATAAATCAGGTCTCCCGTGTAATACAAAAATTCTATAGATAATAATTTATTTACAATAGTTGTTTATAAGCTACAGGCGATTTAAGTAACTGTGATTTAATCCAAGCCTTCCTTTTTCTCCTTGATAGCCTCCTGAAAAATATTTAAAATATAAAAGATTCCAATGCAATGAAGTGCACCTAAAACAATATTTATATTTTACCTTGAAACGTTCTTCAAATAACGAGAGTTCAGCTATAAGATCGGTAATTGCATGCATAAAGGCCTCGTGTGGTGTGTAGTCCGATGTTGTTTGGATTCTAATCACAAATTTATGTTCCAATGGATGTGGAACTTTATATCCAGCAAACAGAACTTGTGGATCCTTTAATAGTTGGCTGTTGAAATGCATTTATATGTTACATTCACCGACTATGCAGAAACTTTTGTAATACTTGTACAAAATATAAGAAATATTGAACTTACTTACGAATCATATTTCCAAGAGTATGATCTTCCTTGTTAACCGTGAAGATCGCGGCATTGGGGACCTTCGTGTCCTGTTCTTTAATTATCCTAACAAACGCATGAAAATAATAAACGTACTAATGGTAACAACCATCGAAATTGTAGGTTAACTGATTTACAATACGTACTTTTTCTCTCCCTCGTACAGAAGAAATGATTCGAAGGTTGGGGGTGCATTCATTTTGTTGTTGGTATAGAACTTGCGTTTTAACGAAAAATCACAACACCTTCTTATGACAGTCGATCAGGGTTACTAGCCAAAGAACTCGTCGCCAATGATGCCAGATCACGCGTACGTGAGCTCGTACAGTTCCGGTGAGCCGACGAAGGCAAACTGACACATGCTATCTTTCTCGATTCTCGTGAGAGTCGAGAGAGAAAGGCTCACAATTGCCTTCTCGTTCTTGCACAACTGAAATCCGACCTTACGACAACGGCATACGACTTGGAATCTCGAGACGAGATTCTCGATTGCCCAGGCATTTTCACTTTCCGACCTATGTATGTAGACGCACATAAGCAAAGTACCCATGATGAAAACAAAATTCTGTGACATCATTTTTACGGACATACACGTTTTAAATCCCCCTGATCATATTTTAATTATTGGAGAAAAGAAGTTCTTTTCTATTATTCCTATGTATGAGCGTACATACGTATACTGAGACAATCCATCGCTAGTCGATACCGGAATCGCGAGCCACGAACGGTAATAGGTACGAATCCATGAACAACGCGAAATTCGGCAGTCGCGATCAGGAAAACGAGGTCACGAGCGACACGAAAGAGAGAGGGACGAGTGTGGTTTCAATTAATTATTATTTTATATTCCTTCAACTTGTAATAAACTAACATCTAATCTAGTAACAATACTATTTCAGACATTACTTCTGATATACATATCAGGCAACGCATAACGATTACTACTGGCAACTGCCAGCCTCTCCCAGCCTCTGCTGGCTTCTGCTGCACTCCGCTGACCACCGCTTATATTTCTGACAACGTATAACGATTACTACGTGTTACTACTTGCTCCTGCTGGTCTCTACATGCCTCAACATACTTCTACATGTCTTTACATGCCCCTGCTGGTCTCTGCTGGCCTCTGCCTGCCTCCAGTCGCCTCTGCTGACCGCTGCTGACCACTCCTAATACTTCTGACAAGGTATAACAATTACTACTTGTTACTGCTTGCTCTTACTGGTCTCTACATGCCTCTACATACTTCTACATGTCTTTACATGCCCTGCTGGTGTCTGCTGGCCTCTGCCTACCTCCGCTCGCCTTTGATGACCGCTGCTGACCACTCCTGATACTTCTGACAACGTATAACGATTACTATGTGTTACTGCTTGCTCCTGCTGGTCTCTACATGCCCCTATATGACCCTACATGCCTCTACATGCCTCTGCATTCCTTTGCTGGCCTCTGCTGGCCCCTACTGACCGCTGCTGACCACTCCTCATACTTCCGACAACGTATAACGATTACTACGTGTTACTGCTTGCTCCTGCTGGTCTCTACATGCCTCTACATGCCTCTGCTGTCCCCTGCTGGCCCCTACTGACCCCTGCTGACCCTTGCTGACCACTGCTGACCCTTGTTAACAACTTCTCCCATGATATATATGTATTAAAACATTGTATAATGTAAATCTATGACAATAAATGATATAATTACAAAGAATTCTATGTGTTCTCATCGTTTTTTACCTTTCTTTCCCTCTCCAAATCATTACCTTAGTTATAAGACTCCCTGCACCTCCTTGGTTTCCCTGAACCTACTAGGAAGTCGTGAAACTCAGAACTTTGCTAAAAATTCAGGGTTTCCAAGAATTTTCGGCGTTTCCAAGAAATTCCAGGATTTCCCAACTGTTTCAGGACTTTCCAGCTGTTTCAGGACCTTCCAAAAGTTGTTTCAGGGCTTTCCAGCTGTTTCAGGGCCTTCCAAAGTTGTTTCAGGACTTCCCAAAAGTTGTTTCAGGACTTTCCAGCTGTTTCAGGGCCTTCCAAAAGTTGTTTCAGGACTTTCCAGCTGTTTCAGGGCCTTCCAAAGTTGTTTCAGGGCTTCCCAAAAGTTGTTTCAGGACTTCCAGCTGTTTCAGGACTTTCCAAAGTTGTTTCAGGACTTCCCAAAAGCTGTTTCAGGCATTTCCAGCTGTTTCAGGACTTTCGAGCTGTTCCAGGACTCCCCAAAGTTGTTTCAGGACTTCCCAAAAGTTGTTTCAGGCTTTTCCGGCTGTTTCAGGACTTTCCAAAGTTGTTCCAGGGCTTCCAAAAAGTTGTTTCAGGCTTTTCCAGCTGTTCCAGGATTTTCCAATTGTTTCAGGACTATTTGACGAAAAATTTTAACGGGGCCCCCCTCAAATCTTTTCGAGGAACTTAGAAATTTTTCGAGCGAATAAATGAATAAGTATCGTTTTATATGAGAAGAGGTGGCAGGTATCTTAATAACTATGGGAATGCTTTGGAGAGGTAAAGAAAGGTAAGAATGACGAGAAGACATAGAATTCTTTGAAATTATAACATTTATTGCCATAGATTTACATTATACAAGGCATTATACATATACATCATATCAGAAGTTATTAACAAAGGTCAGCGTTGGTCAGCAGTGGTCAGCAGGGGGCAGCAGGGGTCAGCAAGGGACAGCAGGGGCATGTAGATGCATGTAGAGGTATGTAGAGACCAGCAGGAGCAAGCAGTAACACATAGTAATCGTTATACGTTGTCGGAAGTATGAGGAGTGGTCAGCAGCGGTCAGTAGGAGCCAGCAGAGGCCAGCAGAGGCATGTAGAGGCATGTAGAGGCATGTAGGGGCATGTAGGGGCATGTAGAGGCATGTAGAGACCAGCAGGAGAAAGCAGTAACACGTAGTAATTGTTTTACGTTGTCGGAAGTATGAGGAGTGGTCATCAGCGGTCAGTAGGGGCCAGCAGAGGCCAGCAGAGGCATGTAGAGGCATGTAGGGGCATGTAGGGGCATGTAGAGGCATGTAGAGACCAGCAGGAGCAAGCAGTAACACATAGTAATCGTTATACGTTGTCGGAAGTATCAGGAGTGGTCAGCAGCGGTCATCAAAGGCGAGCGGAGGCAGGCAGAGGCCAGCAGACATCAGCAGGGGCATGTAAAGACATGTAGAAGTATGTAGAGGCATGTAGAGACCAGCAGGAGCAAGCAGTAACACATAGTAATCGTTATACGTTGTCAGAAGTATTTGGAGTGGTCAGCAGAGGTCAGTAGAGGCGACTGGAAGCAGGCAGAGGCCAGCAGAGGCCAGCAGAGGCTAGCAGAGGCATGTATAGGCATGTAGAAGTATGTAGAGGCATGTAGAGACCAGCAGGAGAAAGCAGTAACACATAGTAATCGTTATACGTTGTCGGAAGTATGAGGAGTGGTCAGCAGCGGTCATCAAAGGCGAGCGGAGGCAGGCAGAGGCATGTAGAGGCATGTAGGGGCATGTAGGGGCATGTAGAGGCATGTAGAGACCAGCAGAAGCAAGCAGTAACACATAGTAATCGTTATACGTTGTCGGAAGTATCAGGAGTGGTCAACAGAGGTCATCAAAGGCGAGCGGAGGCAGGCGGAGGCATGTAGAGGCATGTAGGGGCATGTAGGGGCATGTAGAGGCATGTAGAGGCATGTAGAGGCATGTAGAGACCAGCAGAAGCAAGAAGTAACACATAGTAATCGTTATACGTTGTCGGAAGTATCAGGAGTGGTCAGCAGCGGTCATCAAAGGCGAGCGGAGGCAGGCAGAGGCCAGCAGACACCAGCAGGGGCATGTAAAGACATGTAGAAGTATGTAGAGGCATGTAGAGACCAGCAGGAGCAAGCAGTAACACATAGTAATCGTTATACGTTGTCAGAAGTATTTGGAGTGGTCAGCAGAGGTCAGTAGAGGCGACTGGAAGCAGGCAGAGGCCAGCAGAGGCCAGCAGAGGCTAGCAGAGGCATGTAGAGGCATGTAGAAGTATGTAGAGGCATGTAGAGACCAGCAGGAGAAAGCAGTAACACATAGTAATCGTTATACGTTGTCGGAAGTATGAGGAGTGGTCAGCAGCGGTCATCAAAGGCGAGCGGAGGCAGGCAGAGGCATGTAGAGGCATGTAGAGGCATGTAGGGGCATGTAGGGACATGTAGAGGCATGTAGAGACCAGCAGAAGCAAGCAGTAACACATAGTAATCGTTATACGTTGTCGGAAGTATCAGGAGTGGTCAACAGAGGTCATCAAAGGCGAGCGGTGGCAGGCGGAGGCATGTAGTGGCATGTAGGGGCATGTAGGGGCATGTAGAGGCATGTAGAGGCATGTAGAGACCAGCAGGAGAAAGCAGTAACACATAGTAATCGTTATACGTTGTCGGAAGTATGAGGAGTGGTCAGCAGCGGTCAGTAGGCGCCAGCAGAGGCCAGCAGAGGCATGTAGAGGCATGTAGGGGCATGTAGGGGCATGTAGAGGCATGTAGAGACCAGCAGGAGAAAGCAGAAACACGTAGTAATTGTTATACCTTGTCAGAAGTATTAGGAGTGGTCAGCAGCGGTCATTAAAGGCGAGCGGAGGCAGGCAGAGGCCAGCAGACACCAGCAGGGGCATGTAAAGACATGTAGAAGTATGTAGAGGCATGTAGAGACCAGCAGGAGCAAGCAATAACACATAGTAATCGTTATACGTTGTCGGAAGTATGAGGAGTGGTCAGCAGCGGTCATTAAAGGCGAGCGGAGGCAGGCAGAGGCCAGCAGACACCAGCAGGGGCATGTAAAGACATGTAGAAGTATGTAGAGGCATGTAGAGACCAGCAGGAGCAAGCAATAACACATAGTAATCGTTATACGTTGTCGGAAGTATGAGGAGTGGTCTGCAGGGGCCATCAATGGCCAGCAGAGGCCAGCAAAGGAAAGCAGAGGCATGTAGAGGCATGTAGATGCATGTAGAGACCAGCAGGAGCAAGCAGTAACACATAGTAATCGTTATACGTTGTCAGTTTGCCTTTGTCGACTCTCTGAAACTCTACGAGCTCACGTACGCTTGATCTGGCATAGTGTGAGAAAGTGGAATGTGAAAATTAATTTATATTAATAAAAAATCATAGTACATGTATTCAATGCCTTGTTATTTGCATCCTCCTCTACCTTTCCCATTAATTCCCTAATTTTTATACATTCTAAAGGTTTACAATCCCTTATGACTACTTTAAATATTATTCGAATCAATTCATGCACTCTTATTACGCTATATCATACGCAATCCGGCAAAAACGTGCAGTAAAACAGTATCGCCATCTAATATCAGGGATTCGTACTGCAAAAATCGTCCCAGGATCACAGAATGTTAGTGGAGGTATCCGGAGTACAGGTTCCCCCACTCCTCCTACTCCCGATACGCAGTACCTTGATTATTCATTAATAACTCCTTTTCTGGGATTAAAATATGAACTTTTAGAATTGAAGAATGTAGTATAGACCCTTGGCTACATTCGAGGATACTTTTTAGAACCATTCCGCTTTTAATTAACAAGTTATTAACGAATATCGGAAGTCGGAACATCTATGGCTGTGTCACTGTCTGCTTTAATCGACTAATTATCCATTTTTTAACAATAGCAGACATATTTTGGCTATTAGAGAACAAAGGAGACATCCCTGGTAACACTCAAGGACCGATTTTGCAAGGCTCCATGCTCTAATTAATTAGTTATTAGCGATAGTTCCCTAAGGTGTCGCGTTAAAAGGTTAAAAACAGTGTGGCGACTTCCGATATTCGTTAATAACTATTTAATAACTCATGGCATGGTTATAAAGAGTATCCTTGAATCTTGCCAAGGGTTCATACTATATTCTTAAACTCTAAAAGTTCACAATTTATTCCCAGGAAAGGCGTAATTAGTATATTAAGGAGCAGTAATTCATTAAATACGAAGAAATACATAGTACGCCGTTTCCGCCACTAGTCGGCGCCACATGTAAAAAATCAATAATTCACCGGTTTTAATGAACTAGTGCTCCTCAATTTACTAATTACGCCTTTCCTGGGAATAAATTGTGAACTTTTAGAGTTTAAGAATATAGTACGAACCCTTGGCAAGATTCTAGGATACTTTTTATGACCATGCCATGCCTCATTAAATAGTTATTAACGAATATCGGAAGTCGGCACACTGTTTCTAACCTTTTAACGCGACACCTTAGGGAACTATCGCTAATAACTAATTAATTAGAGCATGGAGCCTTGCAAAATCGGTCCTTGAGTGTTGTCAGGGATGTCTACTTTGTCCTGTAATAGCCAAAATATGTCTGTTATTGTTGAAAAATGGATAATTAATCGATTAAAGCAGACAGTGAAACAGCCGTAGATGTTCCGACTTCCGATATTCGTTAATAACTTGTTAATTAAAAGCGGAATGGTTCTAAAAAGTATCCTTGAATGTAGCCAGGGGTCTATACTACATTCTTCAATTCTAAAAGTTCATATTTTAATCCCAGAAAAGGAGTTATTAATGATTAATCAAGGTACTGCGTATCAGGAGTAGGAGGAGTGGGGGAACCTGTACTCCGGATACCTCCACTAACATTCTGTGATCCTGGGACGATTTTTTGACTTCGAAACCCTGATATTAGATGGCGACACTGTTTTAATGGACTTTTTAGCGCAATATTGAAATAAGAATCGCTTCCAATAATCATTTATAAGTAATTAGAAACGTATAGTAGACCGGTTGAAGAACTCAATCAGATATCAATAATTTATTTATTTTATTCTCGTTATGTATTTACTCTTAGTATATACATATATCGTATTATATATTAAATTTGTACATCGATTAGGAATTAGACTTGCATTTTACTTAGGAAAAATTTTATAATTATTTGTAACATACATACATATTAACATATTAACAATTTAAAAAAATATTGTGCGTTGACGAATACAAATTCCAAAACAGTCATGAATAAAAATCATCGGAAGCATCGTATATACTCTCGCTGTTCATTTAAACAATTTCAACAACTTGTTCTTTTCTATTTGATCCTTTTCCTTGATAGCGGCGGAAAATGCTTGCAACTCTTTTTCGATCGTATTCTGTAATAAAGGATCCAATTTGGCAGCTCTTTTTAAATCTTTAATGGCGTTCTCTTCGTCCCAGGCGCCTATGTATGCTTTGCCTCTCCTGTATAAAGCTTTCACGTTGTCTAAGTATAATATATTTATTAGCGATTAATACTTTTAAGGACAGATCAAACGAAACAGACACATGGAATAACAAACCTGTGTCATGTTTGAGAACCGAAGTGCAGTGTTCTATGACCGCATAGTATTCTCTTTGAATCAGTTTACATTGCGCGTAATTCAGTAACAGCGGAGTTTTCAATCGATTCAATACCAGCCACTCTTCCTCGTTTGGTTTCTCCCTGGAAATTACATAGAATAATTGACAATATACACTGGAACAGCGTATAAACATACGAAATACTAACGCGAGCATCAGTTGTTCTAACATTCCAATGCCCTTTGCATATATGTCACAAGCACCTTCATAATTTTTCTCTTTGAACAGTGCATTCCCTTTCTCTCTTATATCCGGGATACTTTTTAGTTTCTCATCTTCAGTCATTTGCCAAGATTCCTTATCATATTCTTCTGGTAAAATGACTTGGACAAGTTCTACAAACCAGAATAATATATAAAGAATAAAACCTTGTTATTCCTCTAACTTGTGCCTATTTCAGACTGCTTACCAATTGTAAATTCTAAATCTTGAGGACACTTAATGAGCTCGTTCAAATCATCGTATCCAATTCCTTCGTTCTGTAAAGTTACACCGCAACAGTGGTGAGCCTTTTTCTCCGACTGTGGCTTCCCAACTTCCCTTAGTGTTTTAGACACAAAGGGATATGCCGTGACTAGCTAAAACGTTAAGTACAATTAAAGTACGTGTTAAGATTCCCATTGTATTTTCATACTACTGCAAACATACACTCTTGTCAACTTTGAAGCATGCCACTTCATTCAACGCCATCTTTTGTACGATAACTTCCCACACTTCCAGCTTGAACTGTTTGCCTAAAACAAGCTCCATCGGCTTCCCCATAACCCTGCTATCGTCTAGTAATGTCCTCTCTGAATTGCATTTCGTTGTTTTAAAATGAAAAACAACCTACAAGTTCAAACATGCTTAAATATAGTTTTACCATAATACAGAAAGGTAGAAATAAAATAAAACTTCCAGAAATTCAATCAGGATCTATAATACATACTTTGGTGCCAGGTACAAAATTGGTTGGCTTTGTTCCTGCATGGATCACAGTTTTTACTATAAGTTCCTTATCCTCCATCTTAACAATGTAAATATCAACCTAAAACAATTTTAAATCGGAGTTAATAAATTACAGATCCTTAGCATCTATTTATAATTGAAAGTAGCAAAAAACTTACAACTTAAATTATACAGTTGAGTGACCTGTAAACTTTAATCAGTGTAAAGCATCTTTTATATTACTTTCGGTACACACTTATCTCGAGGTTATCATTCTCGATGGACAATTTACTTTTTGAGAAACCATCGTTCAAACTACTCAATATATTAACTTTATCCTGTTTACCGATAATTTTTCACGCAATCATCAATGCAAATTATATGTATCTAACATCGTAACCCGATGACGACGCGTGACACCTACGACTCGTGACAGCGAAATCAAAGATAACCAAAATTTGACAACGCGATCATTATAGTACCGTAATCCAAAAAAACGGTACATAGAGAACAGGTATGTAGGTACGTGCGCCTTAAAGTGTGTCGTTTAGTCACGGCTCTCGGAGTTGAAAAGTAACAAATCATTTTACGAATTTATCTTTTGGGCAAGGTTATCTAATCAATCCGCTATCGATAAGTAATGACAAATTCTCTCATAAAAAGGGAGCTAATAGCGACTAAGTAATTTCCTTATGCGTGTTCGTAGATATGAATGAACTCTCTTGATACTCACGGGGAATGGTTCGAATGTACATTACGGTAAAAGAAATTCGCGAAATATACGTATGTTCGATTTAACAGTAAATGTACGCGATAGAAAAGTATTAGACGCACGTGGTGCTGTAACAATTTAATTCTTTGGAAAAAGGAAGGAACCAGTGATAAAAGGAAGAACCAGTTATTGTCACTTTTGTGCAAGGTACGATGATTATACAATAAATTTCATAAATATACAGTTATGTAAACTCCAATTGGCCTAATAACTGGTAATTTATCTATGCGCTTCGTTTGAAGGTAATAGCAACTCTGTATCAATATACTTAACGAAATTTCCGACAGAGTGAGAAAAATAGCGGAGTTAATTGTTAAGTAAAAAAAGAATATATACTAATTTATAACCATTGTCAGTATTCCTGCTTCGGCAAGATGAGTATTAATAACCAGAACAAGACACATAGTAAGTTAGCAACATTTTTATGATTAATTATTAATGCAATGATTAATAATAATGTATTTGGTTTTTAGGCGTCGAAGAGATTCAAATACCTGTACCATGGGGTCACCTAAGTGGTCAGTAAATGTTTCATTGATTCGTTCTTTTTTTTTGTTTCCAAAAAACCTAATGAAACGTTGGTTCAAATTGTGTCTTAAGAAAGTAGTAAAGTAAATACAGTAGTACAATAATAATAAATTTAGGCAAATGGTGGGGACCAAAGGATCAACAACCCATATTGGCGCTACATGGCTGGCAAGATAATTGCGGAACTTTTGATACAATGATCGCGTTATTGCCATCAGATGTAGCTGTTTTAGCCTTAGATCTACCTGGCCACGGTCACTCTTCCCACTTTCCTATTGGGCAATTCTATCATGTATTGTGGGACGGGCTTCTCTCGCTACGTAGAATTGTTAAATATTACAAGTGGACGAAGGTTAGCCAGCAAACAAAAGTTATACAACGATTATTTTATCCGTTTAATTTGTTTAACTGGTCCGAAAAGATATATTTCTTAAGTTCACAGTGAAATTTGTATTATAATTTGTACTATATCGTCGAACCGATTTTTTTTGTTATTCAAACATTTCCTTACTATTGTAACATATAATTTCGAATTTTAATAACTTACTAATTACATTTTGCTGCTTACAAATTTCATAGTTATGCTTTATTATAACTTTTTACAGTTTTGAGATACTTTTAAATAATTGTCCTAAGCAAGGTTGACTGTTACAGGCTTATATTATATTTTTAAATCATTAATCGTCGTTGGTACACATGATGCGACTTAAAAGTATATACATCATTCTTTTAATATCGTTGTATAACTGTAGATTACAGATAAGCCTCGAAAGAGATAAAAAAATTTTGATATTTGGCTGCAACTTCGTTTCGCTCCGAAGATCTCTTTCGAAGACATTTACTTTGGGGAATTATAAATATTAATGTTGACACGTACAATGATGAAATCCTTGCCTTAAAATAATAATTTCATCGTGATGTAATTGAAACTTACCTGCAGGCAAATGGTGGGGTCCCAAGGGGATCCAACCAATAATGGCATTGCACGGACGTCAAGATAATGCTGGCAGTTTTGACACTTTGATTCCTTTATTACCCGATGACATTTCTGTACTTTGCGTGGATATGCCTGGACACGGTTTATCTTCTCATTATCCAAAGGGCCATTACTATTATGTTTACTGGGATGGTATTACTCTACTGCGTAGAATTATCAAACATTTCAGTTGGAGCAAGGTTAGCGAGTGGATTAATTCTACCACTCCACAACTACATAAGTGTAACAGTCATCCTTAAAAATTTTCATGTTCTGTTTGCGCTGTGTCATCGCACAACACAAAAAGAAGCGTTTTGATGTGACTAAACATATAACACGCATCTCTATAACTGCATGTACTCATTGATTCACATTTATTTCTATTAGAAAAATTAACATATAACAATGTTGAAATTAATGGTGTTCACTTCCTTAATCGCTTTTAAATTTTTCTACACGTTGCTACATAATTGTTTATTGTTGATACAGGCGAAACTACTTGGACATTCCTTAGGAGGAGCAATATCATTTTTATACGCCGCATCGTATCCCGACGAAGTAGAGTTCCTGATTAGTATAGATATTGCAGGCCCCAGTGTAAAGAATATAACTGAAAGCGCCGGTATAACTGGCGTTACGGTTGATAGGTTTTTGAAATACGAAAGACTAGAATTTGATAGCGTCCCATCGTACACGTACGATGAAGCGCTTCAAATAGTGGAAGATGCTTATCAAGGCTCTATAACTAAAGAGAGTGCAGCGATACTAATGAAACGTGGTACGCGGCCCAGCAGCGAGCCTAAGCGATACTGTTTTTCGCGCGATGCACGATTAAAGGTAAAAATCCTATCATCGCTTCACAACTGATTTCTTAAAATCTACTATAACATATTTAATATATATAATATTCAATTTCTTTAGGTTTCTTTATTAAGTATGCCTTCCATGGATCTGTTGCTTGCCTATGCTGCCAAAATAACATGCGCTTATCTTAACATTCGTGCCAGCAACGGATTGAAGTACGATCGACCCGAGAATTACAATGAAATTCTAGATCATATAAAAATAGGCGCAAAGAGATTTGAATATCACGAAGTGGAGGGAACTCATCACGTACACTTGAATAACCCTGAAAGGGTAGCACCCTTAATTGCCAAATTTATAAGTACCGAGCATTGAAGCATTGCGGGATGTAAACCATAAAACTAGATAGCAATTGTGAAATTAAAAATAATTTATGTGCAGGTTACATTATGTATGGAATTTAATGTATGCGTCAAGTACATGATTTTACATTCATAAAGATACCTTATGGTTTACATCGATGGTATTTAATTTAGCGAAAAGAACAACGAATTTCAATGAGATATTTAATACGCGAATTGAACGCACAGCATTATTTATTTAAAGTACACAACTTTCTGCAAGTATTAATAACGTAACGAAATGTTTCTATATTTTAAAAAATAATGAGTCTTTACTCGCGCAGCTAATTAATAATTCGTGTCAAAGAGTAAAATAATATTGAATTATCTTTCCCCGTTTGCTTGAACGTGCGTCATACGTTAAAAATAAAAAGTATTGTTTAGAAGGACAATTAATGTTGCTGTTGTTACATCAAATAGTTCAGTATTTTTTTTTTTTTAATGTATTACGTTTAGTCGACGACTTATTATACCAGTTTGTGCTTCCACGCGCGAGTCGACGATAAATTACTTCCGAGGCGATACAACGTTATCGTCTCGTTTCATTCCTTAGTTTATAACTTCTCTTCCTTAAAAATATTTTTAAATATTCTATCCCGCGGTAGTTGCCACGCGTCGATGTAACGTATTTAAAGAAAACTATTCTTTGTAATTTATTACAATAAATTATTGGTAGCGAAACGATCATTTCATTGCCTCCCTTTTAAAAAAATCTACTCTTTAATTACCGATTGTAACGTTCACGAGAATTACGATGAACTGCGTTCGCTCCTAGGACGATGATACAAAGGAAACGTCGTGCGGGAAATAATGAAGTTATTGATACAGATGTTTCCGAGCCGCGTACAATGGCGAAACTATGAAGTTCCCGGTGTCAATTAATTTGCTCAGCTGACGGGAACGATGCCACGTAGAAACGAAATAAAATTCTGTAACGAGGCCTTATCCGCCGTGGCTATTACGTGTCAGTTCTTCTTAAATTTTTAATCGGTATAGAACGATCGGGGGAGATAGATTTATACCGTATGTTTACGCCTTATCGAGAACCAGGTGAGCGAAAGTTCAAGTAGCAACGTATATTTCAAGCACTCGATACGCGATTTGGCGATGTTAATGTATTGTAATAATAATTGCTGCCGATATCTCGATTTTCTTTATTGCAACGGTTACGCGTCTAACAATTTATTGCAATGCATTTGCGAAGGTTGAAACCTAAATTCCAGCTCGCGGATGGAATTTAACGCGGCGGCGTTATACCGAGCTTTTTGTCGAATTATTGGTTTACGTCGTTATCAGGTAACTTCTGAAACGAACTTATCCTATCGTACATACACATTCTCTGTGTCAGTAATTACGAGCGACGATAATGCCGTCACACGTAGGAACGAACGTGAATATTCCATTACGACAGGTGAATACTGACTGCAGTTGCCTACACGTTCTCCTTTGGTATTCCTGTACAAACTATTGGTTCTGTATAATATCGAACTGGTCATCGATACATCGTAAGTATACATATAATTTCTCTTTATTGTATTAAATTACGTAATTATCAAGATGAAATATTTTATTTTTATTTCGTCCGACTTATGTGTTTAAAAGATTTTATTTATGGATGTTGTTCGCTTTGCGACCAGTTCAATTTCACCGTTTGAATTATCCAGTCTGATCCATCGATCCTAACGATCAACAAACTTTTCAATTGAAAGTTTGTTCGTTCGGCTCGAGTTATCAGATTGAGAAAGAATGTACTTCGGCCCCTGGGACGAAATCGGCTCGATGTCACGAAGAAACGGACTTTCGATTATATTTTTGAAGATGTTTACGATATACAGCTGCGCGCTGTTGTAATTCCCGATCCGTAGGCGTGTACGCTGCGTAAGTCCTTAAACGAGCTTTGGCAAGCTCCAGGTCCTGTTCTCAGAATATGGATTTCAATGTGACGTGTTTGGTTATAACAATGTTTCGTAATAAAACAGTTCGTAATACTGTAACAACGAAAACAAGTTTCCTTCGAAGAATTTAAAACCGGGTCTCTAATCATGCGCGATATACGTAGACGTTTGGTACTTCGAATTTTTTGTCCAGTTTTTACTACGTGTCGAATTAATATCTTCGATGATACCATACCTTTATGAATTTTCGATTACGGGCCAGAGACTCCTGTGAGTTTATGCGAAAAATAGGCGTCAAATATTGTTCCAAATGTGTCTCACGTTGCAGGTGTTCTGAAGAAACCTTGCGTGCTCCATTATCATTGGCCTGTATCGTTGTCGTCATTATCTATGACCTTTAACGTTCACGAGTAAACTACTTTGTCAGATCTTTGCATAATGTTAAATTTCAACAGGTTAAAAATTATGTGGCGAACGTGTACGTACTATATGTCCGTTGCGTATTGAGACTGGTTTCTATAGAAATATGGTACATGTGACGACGTATGTAATCGATAACGACGCCCGCATCGAGTAATACGTACACGAGCATACGGAGACGAAAATACTTCGAAGGATGTAAAGGAATCTTGTTTTTTTTTTTTTATTATGCCTTACAAGTAACTTAAATAAATTATATTCAACGGACTGACATTCATAATCCTAAGTATGAAATGTTTTTGTATTTACGATTTATGTGCAATATGTATCTACGTTTCGATAATACATTAGAAGTCATTAAACATTTCAATATTTTCTTCTTGCTTCGTTCATTCTTCTAAGGTTTGCGATGTTGGCTACGAAAAAATTGTAACATATTAATTGTAATACCTCTGTACCCGATGTATAATAAAATCATATTATTTACCAGAATGTATATGTGACTCGGTATCGATCGCTCTATCACTTCCGAAAGCCGTGCTTTGCTTAATTTACGTTCTTCGTCTGCACGCGGTATAAAAATTAAATTAAAATCGAAAATATAAATATCAAAAATACATAACAAGTGAGAAAATTATTACCAGCAGGAACCGCTAAAGATAAACTGGGAAGTTGCACGAAACCAGCCACCAATGGACGCAATATCCATTCGACTTTTTTTTCGTTTTTCGGAAGTATGTAAATATCGACCTATAGATCGAATGGCAAACGATTAAATTAATTATCGTATTGTAGGTTTCTATACATAATTCTAAAATTACTATTTACTTGTTTATGTCCAGCAAACATAAACGCATCGCTGGCCTCCATGGTCAATCGCAATGTAATCATGTAATCGGAATGATTTTTTATTAAGTACGATACAAGCAGCGGTGTACGAACCCAACCATGAGCAGGCAATTTAGCTTCCAATCCGATCATTGCATCTTCGACCCATAAAGGAGCTAATGTTACGCTGCTGCTAGTTTCTAACGCGTTATCATCGTTTGCACTAAAATGACATATCACGTTGTTAAAACACCTCACGATATTATAGCTTCGCGTAATTTGTTATTCACCGTTTCCATTTAATCGTGTACACTCCCGTACTGATAGGTTGCTCGCCACCACCTTTGGGTATCAAACAGTACGAATCTGTACCTGTTTCACCCTCAGAAAGTGTAATACCAGCTAAAGTGGAAACTGACTGATCTTTATTCTCTCTTTCTATTGAGTCACCCTGTGCAATTACGAATATAATGTTATTACGATGAAATAAAGTATAATAATAAAAAATGATAGTATTATTTACCAACTCTACAGAAGTGCTAATAATATTTATAGGCCATGGAGAGACGCAACAAATGTGAGGCATTATTATAAACGGTTCGTTGATGAAACCTTTTGTCAGTGGTTCGAAAAGTGCAGTGTAAAATAACGTTGACACTTCAAATGGTTTTGTAACTGACAATGAATATGTCAATTCTTTAATTCCTTTTATTTGTTCGGACTTCGGGTATTCCACCTATAATTTCGAAATTACATATACCGTGTTTTCTATTTAGATATTTAAAATATAAAGTTATAATTACCTTCATGTGAATATTTCTGTCGCCAACTTTATGGGCCCTTAAGTATATAGTTTGATCGATACTGCAATCCTTTGCTAAATGATCGATCGGTATCGATATTAACGACTGTTTGTTAAGCATGGTCAAACTTAATTCCGCTAAAAGTTAGTAAAGTTAATTTTAATCAATTTTATAATAATTATCTTTCAATACCATGAACGTACTTGATTGTTCATTTGCCCCATCAGACACAAGTGACACGGTTAAGAATGCTGATGATATATTTTCGTTTGCAGTGACGGATATTTTAATTGGAAGCCACTCTCCTAAAAGTGCTGGGCTGTTGGATACCGCACTTATATTCAGACTAGATTCTTCTTGTTTTATTTTCGCGTTTACTAACGGTTGTATCGTTTCAAATTCTCCTCTACTATTATAAATATAAGATGCATCATTTTTTTAATAGAGACATTTATAAATATTTCGTTTTAAACGTACCGAAGTTGCTGTATCTCGGGATACAATCGACTCAGAAAATTTGTTTCCCGCCCTATAGCATAGAATCTCAAAACAATGCTACAAACGGTATCGTTACCCATGTATAACGAAATAGTGGTAATGCGTATCTCGCTACCATCGTTTTGTTGTGCTTGAAATTGGTAAAGAAATTTTTTTGTTTCTTTTGCATTAAAAATAAGATTACTACTTTCAGCATCGGTGACAGTAAATTCTGAACTGTAGCCAGGGCTGCCAATTGTTATTGACACTTTAGAAAATTCTATAGTATTACTGTACGAATTTCTGTAAGTGGAATATTAAATCGTATTAAAAATCGTGTTTCCTTCTACTTATTTAAACGTGATATAAAAAAAAAAAAATTAAATTACCTGACAATGACTTCCACGCTTACTGTAGAATCAACAGCGTACTTTGCTTGCAAAAATCGTGCTTTAACTTCTACGAATGAACTCATATTATTATCATCAATTGTAAATACAATTGGTTCTGTCTGATTAAGGTTGATTACCCACTGATCTATTGCAGAGTGTTTCACATCGTCCGGTAAATCGGGCTCCGGATTTGGTGGTTTCTTCTATTATTTTATATAAATATTTTAATCAATCATCGATCACTGATACATACAACGTTTTAAAACACGTAAAACTTACTTGAAGAATATTAATAATGTTGTCATAAATAGCAACTTTGTAATCTTCTGAAAATGTGATGGTGGGCCCCAGTGCTTCAAACGCTAATGTGATGTAGTCTTCGATACTTGTGGATAGGTAAGCCGCACGCAAAGCATTCTTTAAGATATTTGTGATTAAGACGGGCCATCGTTCGTCGTGATATTCCCACAACATGTGTATTAATAATCTGGTCAATCAAATTTTATGATTTTGATGTTAAGTTATGAAAATAGTCTAGAGGGAATAATGTTAGGATCAATTTTTTGACTAACAAGTACTTTTCAAATATTTTTGTTACTATGTAATAATAATTAAATTCTAACTTACGTGAGAGCTTTCCCATAATCCTTCGAATTATAATATTCCTCGGCCATTTGTACCACTGAAACCACGACTTATTTAATTACACATGATTTATAAAAAAAAAATTGCAAATAAATGTATTATACCTAATACTCTTCTCATTCTTGGACATCTGTACACTTTGAATTGCGAAATTGCATTTCCTAACAGGCCAATGATTATTTTCTGAAAGTACGTTATTAATTATGTATACATATATAATACTCAATTGAAAATTGAATATAAAACGAATACAAGTACATCTTACGGAATGATTAACTGTATATTTTTCTTTGTATTGTAAAGCCTGTACAGCAATGGTTTCTTTCACCGGATCTGTCGGTTCCGCGCTTAATTTTCCCGGACGCCATGGTCGTTGCCCATAAAACTCAAGCTTGTCCTCTCCAGCTAATGGGTCTGGTTCTGGATAACTATTAATATTCTAAAATAACAAATAATACATACGCCATTATGTCTAAAAGTTATATATAAAATTCTGTTCACTGAATATCTTAACTCTTATACCTGGCAAAGTTCCTTGCAAGCTGTTTGTCTCAAGCCTGCATGATGAGCTGCTGATTGAAAGTAATATCCAGGGTGCTGAGTTTGAACAGCAGGAAGTCCCTGTCGAATAGCATAATCAAATAATTCTGCGAAAGTAGAAAATTGACTGCACATCCATGCATGATGTTCAAATATAAGTTCCTTTAGACCGGTTCTCATTTTGAATCTACACAACCAATTTCATGTTATTACTATAATAATTATTTATTAACATATTTTATAATTTAATCCTCTGACCTGTCTGTATAAAGCCTGAACTGTGATATAGCTCCTTTTGGAATATTTAAATTGAACATTATTTTACATAATTTATAATTTATAAAGCTAGCAATTGTCTTAACTTCCATTGCATTTGTATCCGTCATTTTTATTTCCAACAAATTACTGTATGCTTGCTCGTAGTGTCTGCAAAATGATTTAATTTTAGTCAAGGTTATTAAATTTAACTGTAACTTATACAAAACCTTTTAGCCATAGGTTGATCTTGTTTAAGTTCATTTAAGAATGCCATCTTGAACTGATGGCGTACAAATAGATGTTGGTGTACAGTTTTGTTAAGTTGATCTCTGTGTCCTTTGACAATATGATACTCGTGATAATAAAAGCTCTGTGCTAAATCATATAATGCATTTTCTAGTCTGCAATATGATATAAATAAATGGGGTATACGATCAAATAATATAATTACAATTAATTTGCGAATTACCTAGATGTGTACCCTAATAAATGATTTCCATGTGGTAAAACATATAATAATTTTGGAGGTAGTTCACACGCTCCACAAACAGCTGTACCACGTTCAGTTGCTAAAGCATCTTCAGAACCTGGTGGCGGTTGTGTACCATGCTGTATCAGTACAACAGCTATTTTTGTACTTCTGCCTTCCAAAGCATTTCTAAGGCAACAAGCAATTAAAAATAGCTATTGCGATAACATTTAATAAAATACTATTCTATGCAATTTTTACCTAAGTGTTTGTACTCTAGAAGCACATTCTAATTTCTTTTCATTCCATTGCGGATCATTCCAATCTAAATCATAGAATACAACAACAACTGCTGGAATTTCGTTGAGGTATTTATTCATCCAATTTCGTTTTAATATTCCTTTGGGTATATACCATTCATATGAGTTACGCTAAAATACAATAAAATTGATATTAAAGAAATATTCAGTTAATATTCCAATAATTTACAATTGATTAATATTGTGTACTTTTGGTTTTACTGTAGGAAATTCGTGTGCAAGATTGAGTAACTTAAACTGAATAGCAGAGGCTTCCACCCTACGATTATTACTGAATGCATCCCAAATTGAACGATGGACAGAATTTGTAATATCTAAGCCGGTCATGCCAATAAGAGCCAAAGGCTTAGTTGTTAATTCTGCTGGTAACTCAAACATTATTGCGGATTGTCTGTAAAGCTGTAATAATTCGCTTAACAATTATAAACATTAGATACAAAATACAAATCCATGAATAATTGTATGCTCGAATAACTCTAACATTAATTCCGAATTTCTTCTCCCGATATCTATTTAAATCTTTTTAAACATACCGAATTACTTCACCAATGAACTACATGCATTGATAAAAAGGCTATTAACTTAAAACTTTATACATAATTGAAGAAAGTTCACGTTCAATGTATTCTAGATACTTGCAGTTTGACAGTTTAGGTTATACGTTGCCTCTAATGATGTGTGCCCGTGACTAGTAGTGCCACCTATGTAGAATCGTTATTATAGTAACGATAGATAGATACGAAAATAGGTATTGCATCGAAATTCATGGACACTAATTATTAGTTTAAAAACTATCCTATTTAAACAATTATAACTTAAACTTCGTACAAATATAATAAACCATAAGAAGAGATATTGAAAAACGATATAATTATGTACCTTACGTCATAAGTAACAAAGTTTTATTACAGAGCTTTCATTCCATATAGAGGGCAATTTAATTTAGTGTATACTATGTATTGTAGTACATAATTGCATTTGAGAGTATTTAAATAATATACATCTCGTGATTGGACAGTTTTATTCGAAATTTAATCGTACAATAGTTAAATGATATCGGAGGCATTTAATAATTCCGATTCTTTGTCCTCTTCCATGGGATTCAGTTTACTGGCAGAGCCAGGTGAATTTAATTTTGTTTGTTCAGGTGTTAATCGCACCGTTGTACCGTGTCGACTATAGTCTTCGATTTCCCCAATCGGTCGCTCGATATCTTCCTCCACGTCTTTCTCGCATTTGTTCTATACATTAAAATCGAATAAATTAGAAAATGTCCCCCATTTTGTTTCAGCTATTTAAATTCGCGTTACCTGAAGAATCTTGACAAATTCTTCCCGAAATTCTCTGCTGCAGGAGAAATACACGACAACGTGAATGGCGAAGTTGCACAGCTCAATGACGGCCGCGAATGCTTGAAACAAATAATAACCAACATCCGTGCTCTCGCAGTTGTGATATAATAATGGAACAAGTGTCGATGGTATCATCGACACGATAAAGCACACCGCCATGACCGACATCAGCGTGGCCAGGTGTTGTTCTTCTCTGAAAAAATGATTTACAAGCGATAAGAGTGATTACCCAAGTACATGCAACGGCTATTAACATCCAACGGGGTTGCGCGTTATTCGGATAATTATTTTCCAGCCTATAATTCGAAGAAAATTTTGCTCGTTACTCATACCGTTCGTACTACTCTTACAAGGTTGTTTCCTTTTTTTTATTTTCGTAGTACGAAGGTTGACTGTACATTACGTTTGCTTCCGCGAAGTATACCTGTATCCCCGATTACGCGCGAGCAGAGACGTTTCAGGAACGTTCGCTGTACGATACTTCTCCGAGACCAATTGAAACTCCCTTTTCTTAGCGTTCAGGTGCAGAAACCTTCTGACAACGACCGTGTTCAAGAAAAGAAGGATCATCGTCGGGCAGAGGCGCACCACGATCTCCATGATCCAGATGTACGCGTTCCAGAGCGCGTTCCGCGTGACCGAAGTATTTTCGCGCAACGCGAAGAGAACAGACGTGCTCCCTTGCTGTTCGTAGACCATTCTCATTCCAGTCAGCGGGGCGCTCACCTAGGGGTCGAATCACGATCGTAATTAAGGTGTTACTTCACGCGAGGAGGGTCAAGATCGTTTGGGAAAATATGTACCGCGAAACCGAGAATGAACGAGCACAGGATGGAGGAGCGGACGTTCTTGCGCGCGTTTCTGCCGCGTATACGAGCCGGGAAAAAAATGAAAATGTATCGATCCACGATTAAACAGGTCATTATTAAAATGCTCGCGATGGAGAAGGTGTTAACGGCGACTAGTTCCAAATGGGCGTGATAGAACACGGACGGATAATTATTTTTCATCCCGTGTCCCAGTCTGACAACTGAAACAAGATAGATTCGATTATTATCTGTATGGTTAATATTTTTTTATTTATAAATCTGTTACGGGTACGCACATATCGGTATCCAAGACACCAGTACGCCGATGTGCGCCATTGCAACCCCTCTGAGATATAAATACGCGATCCCGCGAAACATTGGCGTGGACAGCACAGCGAGTATCAAAATGTTGCCGACCATACCGCTGGCCACGATGGTCGGCATTATTATTCTGTAAATAACTCTCAGCAAAGGCGTGGCCTCCTGGAGAACGTTTTTGTTCGCGTCGGCCACGCTGTTCCACGTAGAGTTCCCATTCTCGCAGGACAGAAGTGTTCTAAAAAAAAAAAATTACAATTTTCACTGCAACGCGAAGATTACGAGCGTAGGTCCACGATAGAAACTGTTGAAACTTATGTATGTTCGTTTTAAAAACGTACCCTTTCAGAACTCCCGTCAACATAGCGATTATCGAACTATTTGTTACAGAGAATCGTAACGCGATTTAAAACGTCACATAGAGGATGTACCGCGATCGAAGACCCGTTTTGTTACCGTGAATATTTTTATCTCGCGCGTACTAACGCGTTCATTGATAGCCACTTGAGCTGAAAACGTCGCGTCAAGGTGCACAACAAGTTCTGCGGGATCCATCCCCCCGATGAACTCACCGGCGGGTTTCACGTGAAAAGCCGATATTCGCGCATGCTCCCGCGACGGTTCGCTTATTGTTACACCCAAAGTATATTTACTTGTACATTATAATTATATTCCGGCGCCCTTCGTTCCGGCTAACTCGGTTAAAGGATGCAATAAAACCGCGCGCCAGGGTAAACTAATGGCGTGCCCGTGGCCACGGGACCTTCGTCATGCAACGCGACTGATAATTGAAACGATCGACAAGAATGTTCGAAAGTTCGTCACCGCGCGATAAAACGTGAACGTTTAAGAAAGAAAGCTTTAAATCGCCGTCGAGTCGTCGCTTTCTCCGTGTCTACGAAGAAAAGGACACCTGGTTAATAGACGGGCTACGGATTGCCAAATATCAAATTTTAAGTGGGGTCGACTGGTATATATTCAAAGTGGACCTCTTAATTTGATCCCAGTAAATGAGTGATCATGAAACCGAACACGATAGGACGCATCTTCTGGTAATAGTCGAGGTTTAATATTCCTAACAGTGACATCGAAAGTTTGTTTTTAATTAACCCTTTATTTTAACATTGTTCAGGATCGTGCAATTCATCGACATCTGCATCTCGTCGAGGATCCTGACTACGGTGGATTCTTGTCCTTGTCATCCTCCCAGCGAGTGTCTAAACACGTCTGAAATCAGTTACAACATCAGACAGGTGTTAATATTGCCTTGTGAAAGCGAAGATGTAGTAAGATGTTGCTCGATAGTGTCGAAACCGATAGAATCCGCAGATACGAGTGGATCCTTGCAAGATCAAGAGAACAAACTGGAGGGAAACGATGGAGCAGATGTACTATCGTTGAACCACGGTAGTTTTCCATATCCGCTGCGGTATGGTCACCAGGAGCAAAAAAGTGTGGAACACGAAGAGCCTGTTACGAGACAAAGAGACCAATTTGCAACACCGGAAGTGTCCACGCAAGATGACCGAGAAGAATCGTACAACCAAGTTCTGATCGATCGAGCAACAAGCTTTGAAAGTCGCAGAACATCTCCGCGGCAACCAGTTTCGTTTTAAATTCGAGATTCGAAGAAACAGGGGAAGGAAAGCCCTTCGATCGCTGAAAGAGTGGTCTTGAACAAAGGTTGTCATTCTAACGTGAATTACGGGTTTCCATCGATGGCCGAAAGCTCGTCTGAAAAAATAAGCGATCTCTTCGAGCGGAAAACATCATTAGAGACGCCTCTTACGCTCGATGAAGTATCCACTCGAGCGATCATCGAAAATGCAAGCTCAGTGAGCAAACTTGATGCGTTACAGCGAGACGATACGTCGATCAGAATTTTATCATACCCGGAAGACGCTGAGGATGTGGGACGCGTTGTTCGAAGCCATGCTTCGAAGCCTCGGGCCCAACGAGCCTAAGGGCCCGTTTGTCACCGAAGGACAGAGTATTGAACACGGTGCAGGCATAGAGTTTCTTTTTCAAGCGGGCGACACATTTTATTTACGTACGATTTTCATAGCGATAGGACATCCTTGATAAACTTTCTCAAAAATATTTTTTCTCGCCGTTTTATGCGTGTTATAGCAAAGTATGTGACAAACTTTTGTATATTTTTTAGCAAATAAATATATCTTACGATGTGCGAGCTAACATTCGAGTTACAATAATGAAATAAATCAGAATGATTAAGTTTATGAGACGGGTAATATACTATCAGAGACGAGGTATAAAAGATCTTTCACCCAATGTATTTTTTCGGCCCATTATTATGGGGTCTCGAAACCCCGTTACCATTTCGTGTCGTTCGCAACGTTACCAACATATTCAGAAATGAATTTTAACCCCTTCTGTGGATAGTTTCCCAACTGACCGCCATCCATGAGAAGAGGGCGCTAAAATCACCTTCGAGTTTTCAGGTCGGTATGGTGAAAGCACAGACGAGGTATACGTCGTCTGTGGTGAAAGGTCTACTCGTATACCTCGTTTGTGATAAAACCTTGTCCCGTAAACCCCTATTTCGGACCAGATTGTGTCGGTATACAGCTCGCTGCATTACCCATGTCTACCCCCTTTGGAATCAATTCAACGCGTACACTTTGAATCGACGCGGTCGTGCTCGTTTTAACACATTACCGACCGGTAGCGGTTGATTAATCGGCTATCGGTCGGTAAACGTCGACCGATAAAACAGTTGATTAATAGGCTATCGGTCGGTAAGCGTTGGCCGGTAAAACAGTCGATTAATAGGCTATCGGTCGGTAAAGTGTTAAAAAGCGATTTGTTTCATTACAAAAACATTTTCAAAGTTACAGATGCTATTTTACCTCTACTAACCAATTATATTTTAGTGATTACAATTATTCTTTGTTACCTAGACATCGACTCAACAGTTACAACAGGAAGAATAATCGAAATTCCATCGGTTTATGCAGTTTAATTGCGAATGCTGTAAGAGCCTTTTCCAACCAGTAATTACCCTCCTTAATTGCAAGGAAATACTCGCGATGTAGAGTACCTTGCGTCGCCATAGCGAAACTGATGACATGCCTGAGATTTTATAAATATTTATCGAACAAAGACGTGACTCGCGAATCGTACAACTTCTCGGTGCGAAAATATAGCAAATAAAGCGATATTTTTCAAATACCTTTTATTAAACAATTTAACGTTCGTGCAACGAACAATAGACAGCTTGTATGCTTGTTCCCCAGATTCCAAAACATGCAACAAGAGTATCGATAGAGCTGCTGTTTACTAAAGAAGACGGGGTTAAAGGCCACACTTTGTCGCGACAAAAGAAGTCGAAACTCTTCTGAAACTATCGCGCTCGTATTTTTATCGTATAAAAAAATAGTACATTTAACCCCTTCGAGAAAGAATCGAGTGCCTGGCAATGACCGTGTAGGAGAATCGGGTGGTCCAGTTTATTCGTCGTATTCGTCGAGCGCATGCGCCGTACCGATAGATCGAGGACAGACAATAGCGGAAGAATTTAAAATTCGCGCATTGTCACGTAAACAAACTCTTAAAAAACTTCCCGGATCGCACGAATCTTTCCACGATCGATAAATCAGCCCGTCGTAGCAAATAACGTCGCAAATTTGTAGAATTTACGCAACCGGTCGGGTCAAAATACAAAATGCTTCCCACCTCCCTCCCAGCACAATGTGAGTCACTTAACCACAATCATCGGATCGATAGGAAACTCTCTGTTAGATAAGAGCGTTTCATGGTCGCAGAGATTCACCTAGAACTTTGTATCCAACATTCGATCTATTTGATCTTTACGCAATGCGTGAGGTATAAACAAACTCTTATTAAAAAATGGCCCTGTGAGAAAGAACCGAAACATCGTAAATAAACATATCGAAAAGTGTTTATTCGACAGCTTTTCTAAAATATCGAAAATTACAAAAGAGGAAAATACCTCTTGACCTTAAGATATAATTACGACATTTTTGCTCGTTATTGCCATGATCTTGCTACATCCGTGGTCGTTGCAACCAGTTTCCTAAACTTTGTATTGTATATCTGTAGATTAAAATCATTACGTTTTGCTCGTTAGATCCACATTTTTCACGACCAAGTTTAACTCTAATTAACATTGACAATTTATATTCTTCCTGCACGCGTCCTATGGAAATCCAACGATCCCAATTATTACTGTCTATTTCACCCATACTATACAAAGGGCTGGAAGGGGAAGAAACCTTGATAACTTATTTAGTTTTCATCGTACGAACGCAGTGGCAAAGGTTCGCGTGGCAAAGTAGCGAAACGTTATTAGCGAGATGGAAATAATTTTGCCTTGTGAAATCGGTGTTGACATATACACAGACCGCGATCGTGCCTACCATATTATGCAATCAATAATGATAACCGTATCGTGGGCCACATAGCCGAGCCTCCAGATACGTCAAGCCACGCGCGACTTTCTTTTCTACTGTGTGCACCATGTATGCTGCACATAAGCGCGTGCCCCCGCGTTTAAATATGTGTTTACGCGAAATATATTGACAACTTGGCAGACATCGACTCGATACTGTCTGTAACGCGAGGAATATATTATAGATTTCGAGCAACCACCTTCAACCGGAAATTGATGAGACTCGAGATCGGATCGACAGCAAATATTGATAATATTTCCCTTTTAGAAACCGACGCGTACATTTTGCTGTAAGCTCGCACATTGTTTCTGCGCGCAATATTCTACTCGAGTTTGTACTCCAATGACTTGGAACACTGCATTCCGAGTCACTTGTCTCTTAGGACACGTACAGTCCATAATTATTAGCATACTTGTGATAAGACAGAGGCAAAAGGGACCTTAAAGTAAAAGAAATTAAAGAAACGTGGCTCTGAGAGAAAAAATTTTAATGGGGGATTCTAGAGGCCAAAATAAGGCGAAAATCAAGAATACCAATTTGTTGATGGAGGCTTTGTTAAAAAGTTATTAACGTTCAAAGTTCCGCTCGTACTGAATTTTTTTCTCGAAAATGCGCAAGATTTCGGGGATATGTCTATTCACCGAAAATTATTGTAATCGACCCCCGCAACCGAAAATAATTTTTCCAAAACAATTTGGAATTTTTTTTTCCGTCGAAAAATTTCATATCTTCTCGAATTTTTTTCTCGAAAATGGATAGGATTTCGGAGGTATGTGTATTGACCAAAAATGATTGTAATTGACCCCCGCAACCGAAACTAATTTTTTCAGAACAATTAGAAATTTTTCTTTTCGCCAAAAAATTTCACATCTTCTCGAATTTTTATCTGAAAAGTGGGTAGAAATTCGGGGGTATGTCTATTCACCAAAAATGTTTGTAATTGACCCCCGCAGCCGAAACTAATTTTTTTAGAACGATTTGAAAAATTTTTTTTTGCCAAAAAATTTCAAATCTCGATTTTTTTTCTCGAAAGTGGGTAGGAATTCGGGGGTATGTCTATTCACCAACAATGTTTGTAATTGATCCCCGCAACTGAAAATAATTTTTTCAGAACAATTAGAAATTTTTCTTTTCGCCGAAAAATTTCACATCTTCTCGAATTTTTATCTCAAAAGTGGGTAGAAATTCGGGGGTATGTCTATTCACCAAAAATGATTGTAATTGACCCCCGCAACCGAAAATAATTTTTCCAGAACGATTTGAAATTTTTGAATTTAATTGTTAATAACTTTTCAACGAAGCCTCCATCAACAAATTGGTATTCTTGATTTTCGTCTTATTTTGGCCTCCGGAATCCCTCATTAAAATTTTTCCCAGGGGTCGTCGAACACCCTGTGTAGAATGAAATCATGCTACACAGTCCGAATTTCCGATCGATGCTACTTTTCTGAGAAGCTCGATATCACGATAACATTTGACACAGGATCCTCCTCGACAAATGTTCTCGAAATTAATCTATGGGACCGTGAACGCAAGATTGCTAGAGTACAAAGAATAAACGATAACGATTGAAACTTCGCAGTCTCCGTACTGAAGCATCGATACAGCGTGAAGAAAACGACAAATAATTGTTTTTAAATTTCCAACTATACCGGGTTACTTTACTAACGACGAGAAGTATTTAGACACTGATAAACTCTTTGAAAAAATGTCACCTCGAGACGAGACACGATTAAATCGCAACAATTAAGATACTAAGTAATGAATTGTCATTTTCCATCCGCGAAACGATCGAGGAGCAACTAAAAAACTACGATTCGTATGTCAGTTCTGGAAAATTAATCGCCACGATTAAAGAAATCTCTGGGAACAATAAAATTGCACGCCTTGCGCTCCGACCAGCTTAGAGCAAAGTACAACCAACGAACACATTTCCTTTCTCTGAATAATCTCGCCTCAACCTCCGACATTTTTATGCTCTCTAATTCACTTCGTAATAATGTTTAATCGAACAGTTTCGAAACATATTCTCGAAAACTTCGAATCGAATATCTAATATGGAACGCAAGCGTTTATGTAAAAGGCAATTCATCGGCGTATCTTTTTGCTCGTGTAACGAAAAATATAAATACTAAAACAATTGTGATCTTCGTTATTGGTACGTTTTAATTTTTATTTGCTCTTCGATCTCATTACGTTGCAACGATACAAATGCATCGGGTCGATAAAATCCGCCAGTCTTGGTTCGTAGTTCACTGTCTGGCTGCGATAATTTATGAATCCAACATTTCAAGCGATAACGCGTCCAGCCGACCGAATCTATAGTCGCAAAAACCGAACAATGCGTTTCGATTTGTTGCTTTTCAAAAACTCGTTTCTTCCCCAATAATTTCTATTTTAAAATATCGATCTAGCGTCACTATCAACTGACAGACATTTAATTACTATTTACAGATAACGATCGAAGGACGCTAATAGACAAAGCAACGCATTAGCATTTATCAAGGCGATTGTTCGCTGCGAGCATAGATCCTACTAATCGATCGATACGGAACAGTAAAAGCGTGACTAATACGATGAAAACTTAGAAATTAGAAATGTTTCTAATTGTACAATTTTTATGCAATTATCTCGAAAGAATTGATTCAATTTTCATGACGATCTCGAGTACACTTCGATACTTATACTTTGGACCACCGGTCTCGTCGATTAGATACGTCCGGTATTAATTTGCGAATTAACAATAATCTTTTCGAACGATATTTTATTTCAAAACGTTCGTGATTGGTTTCGAACCACGTCATTTTTTATTCGCCATCCGTAAATATAATGGTTCGCATAATACACAACAAATAGAGTTATATTTATTTTGTTTACAGTTTGATGACCGTAAACACTCGTTTTATCGATCAATACGTTTGAGTGGAGTATGACCCGTCGAACGGATCGCGCGTTTTTTCCAAGAATTTCGCGACACTGTATCAATGATTTCTCGATAGACATATTTAAAAAATATTAACAAAATTTAAATACTATTACCGAAACCTAACTTCGATATTTGAATTGTAAATAATATAATTGTTCGGATGTAGATGGAAATTATCTAACGAAATGTTACAATGGGTACAAACGTATCTATGATAAAATTAATCTATGTCAATTGGACCGCGGTAATCGAAGCAAGGTACCAATTCATAAATTAGAAAGTATTAACGCCATGCAGTCGGAAAAGTGCAAGGTACTTGCAACCTGCGGTAATCAGGCAACTTCTTGCGTTAGAAACTTCTCATTATTTCTTCGAACCTTCTACCTCTCTAACGGAGACTTTCGATCCTCCTGACATAAATCTCATTCGCTCGATTATCCAATCTAACCCACCAGTTACGCTATTTGCGAAACGTATGGTCTTTAAACTTTGAGTTCATCGAATGTCCATTTGTCATCGATCATCGTACGTAAGTTAGTTTACGGGAGGAATTAAAAATGTTTGCTCGTTACTGAAATTAGCTTGTCTCTGGTTCTACAGATAACAGGGATCCGATCGATGACATCGATCACACGTAGTCTCGAGACCAAAGAATGCATATCTGTCTGCACTCTCGGTTCTTACTTTCTCACAAAAATAACTGTATATCTCTAACGACGATTGCTACCGTGCAAGGCCTCTCAGAGATCGAGAGAGGGTAGGATCATTTGCATTCTTCTTTCGAACACCCACACCCGTTTGGAAGTCTACAATATGATAAAACAATCACTCCTTTTGGTGTAATATTCTCGATACAAGGGGCAATAATGCTACGGTTCGACCTAGATCATCGGTAAGGCTTATCTATACTGTAGAACGAAACGAATAAAACACGCGAGCCATATAAGTCAAGAACAAGTGAAACAATTGAACCGAATGAAACAGATAAAATAATTCAATTACCACGGTGGACGCGTTTAGTATAAAGTGGTTAAAATTACGCAACGCTCGTTCGTGTCTCGATATGTAGATCAACTGTGGGTTCGGTGAGGATTATACGGGGGGGCTAGTGGAACGTGATTGGCCTCATAATTCCCTGAAGGAGAAACACCAACGTCTACTTCGGCACAAAACGCGTGTGGATCACTTTCGTTGATTAAAATGACCGATCCCTAAAACTGAGCGTACAGGTAGAAGTTTCTACAATTTATTTTATATTAATACACCTTTAGGGACTGGATTGATTCGACTAAGAAACGTTCGGTTCAGATCCACGATGTTGATCTACTCTACTAGCCGGCTCCACGCCAAGAAGCAAAGATCCAGAATTACTGGTACGGTAATGCAAGGTTTACTTTCGCAGGATTTCAAAACTAACAGTATTCCAGTAGTCTAATGTTCCATGGACTAGGCTGAGTAAAAGTCACCGACTTTTACGCGTTTCACGGGCCCATCTCCAGCCCGGTTTGAGAGACGCTGGTTCAAATAATCGCGCGACACGCGATCTAGCATCGTCGATCTCGTCACGCGAACGAGCATCGAGAGAGCTAGATAAGCGGTGCCAGGGAAAGTGTTCGCGCGAAAATAGAAGAGCAAGGCGTCGCTTTCGGTATAAAACCCGACCGGCAACGATATTCGTTTCGATGGCTAAGCGTGGGCCGATTAATTGCGACGCAATCGCTTTTACTTCTCGCGGCCCGGTGGACTGCCAGTAGTCTACTGGCGGCCGTGTGATCGACCGTGCGCGTTCGCCTAACCACGTACCCGCTTCTTTCTCGAGTTCGCCGCCTCCGCTGACCGCTGCCACCGTTCAGGTCGACGACGTAGCTTCTGCTATTCGACCACCGTCTCATCAAGGTAGGGACCTGGACAGATTGGTCCCAGATCACAGAGACACCATGGTACCCTGGTATGGTATTCGCCATCAGGCTACCACGGTTTCTCCCCCTCGAAGTGTCCCCCATTTTTGTATCGCTCCCGATCGACCTTCGTTCACCTTCCAGAACGTGATGGCTCAAGGTTTTATATATTTTTCGACCAAAGTAATCGTTAAGCTGAGAAAAAGTTATGTACCTCGATCGCACCTGTGGTATCTTAACTTTACCTCAAACGCATAGGAAGTGTTGACAACTATACTCTTACTTAAGTTTTATAGTAAAGTACGAAGTAAATTTTAATAGAAATGTATACTAAAAAATTGTAACAAATAAGTTTTTGTTAAAATATTTTGGAAGAGCTAAATATATTGCGTATGAATATTCTGTTCTGTGGTTGTGTATCTCTTGACCTCCGATTATATTAAATCCAATAGCGAAATCTTTTAATTTTACACGGAGCTATCGGTGGTGTTTCATTGATAACGGATCGGAAAAAGCAAGTCATATTTTTATATAATTAGTTTTATATTTTTAATTTTGGTATGCGAATTTATTTGAATAAAATGTTGGTTCATGTTTGTTGAAATTTGATCGTGACTATATCAATGGTACAACGATTTATATACACATGAGTATAGTGTTCATTGCAGGGACACGGGAAAAGTCAGTTCTGGAAGGAACGAGTCGTATCAGGTCAGACACCATCCTCATTCTACTTATCAATAAGACTCCCAAGGTATATGGTGTCTGCCATAATCGTGCGATATTTCTGTGACGAGTGTTACATAGTACCGGACTTGTGTCGTGAATTTTACATTATTTTTAGTATGCACGATAAAGAAAAACGCGTCGAATCAGAAACGTTTCCATTATCTTTCTTATCTTCCACTTCCTAGGGGACAATTTTTGACTCCAAAACATTCCTCCTAATGATTACAAATCACGGCTGCTCTTTAATCTGCGGACTATTCACACTGTTTTGCATTATATTTATACGCTCGATGTACTTACGTAAGTAAGTGAAAAAATAAATAAAAAATGTAAATTGAAATTTTTCAATACAATATTCCTATATCAAGATGATTGAATTTGAGAATTTACCGTATACGCTTGTGACTGAATACGATCTGCCTGCCGCGTCTGTCCATTACTCGGTATTTCTACTTATGCTAATCTCCCGGGTCGTGCATACTCTCGCACGCTCATTCCCTACATTTTTAACTTGTTTCTTTTCACATTGAATCACCCTTTACCTCACCATAATTACCGGAATCCTCTCTAAAAACTAAAATATGAAATAAAGATAATTAAATTTCCATTTCCTCTTCTATCATCTTCGATGGATTCAAAAGATCGCAAACTATTGCTTGGAACACCTACCTCCCTTTCAACCTGTCCCACCTCGGTCTCTAGCTCGTGACAACCTGAAAAATAATACCATACACCATTAGTAATTAAATTCCAAACAACATTAACTCATTCTTACTTGGTGTTTCGTCCTGACTGAATTTGATCTAATTGTAATTATAATTTCTTCCAGGTTCTATCTGACCTCTCGAGCTTCCGTTTGTACGAGGGGACCGCTATTGGCCATCATCGAGCTCGATCGGTGATCTACTTTTTACCCGTCTACCAGTCGTCGGTCCAATCAAATCCCTGACACCCACTTCGGTCAGAACCATAATCTCGTCGTCGCAGTGTCTTCCAGCAAGCGTCATACTGCTTTGCATCATCCCCCGTGGTCGGGAAAGGACTCTCAGAACACGCAAGGCCGACCACCAGCTTGGAACCACGATCGCCGATCCGCGCGAACGACTGATCCATAGCCAGCGTCCGATTCCGCCTCCGTTCCGTACCTCCCCACTATCCACCGGAAGTGCAGTCGACCAATCCGCGAATCGAACAGCCGCGGCTCGTCCGTGCACCTTTGGCGATCGTATAAAAGCCTCCTGCGACAGACATGACGGCAAGATTCGTTCCGTTTCGTTGGCCAAGTCTGGCCAACGCTGTGCATCGACACCAGAGGCGATTCTCTTTGCTGGTCGGGCCGAACGGGGGACCAAACGCGACCATCAAGTTCCCACGTACTGTTAATTCGGCGGATGTATTCCAAGTTGGTCGACGAAAGGCAGGGATCGCGATTCTGAGCCATCAAACGACGTTCGAGATGCCTCACGCAATAGACGTTCATTATCCGCGGTACGTATTGTCTTCACGAGTTTGAAATCGACTCTGAATTTGATGGAAATTTACTCTTGCGTCAAAGCGTTCCGAGGAATGTCCTCGAGCGATCCGCTGAAAGGAAAGTAATCCGGTAAGAGGCGTCGATTGCATAAATAATAAAATTGCTACGGGATGATAGGTTTGTATCTATGGAAATCATGAATATTCACCACTTAAGGGTAAAATAAGTATCGAGTCATCTCGTAACCTGGTGCCTTTGAGCAGAATTGCGTCGAAGATTATTTTGCCTGAAAAGACCAGTTGATCTTTTAAGATTGTTAGAAATAGAACGTCGATCAATGGGGTTAAAGTCACAGATGTTAGTATAAGTTAAAAGATTAAGTGACTCTTGTTCCTCTTCGTCGCGCGATTACGCTGTCTGGGAAGCTTCTGTGAAAAATTCTCTGATGTATGTCAGCGCAGACTGGAAAATTCGGACAAGGATCCAAGCAGATACGCAGGGATGTTTACGCCACCCGGAATCTAGAAAATAAACCACAGATATTAGTAAATTGTTTTTTTTTTAATTATCAGACATGTTGAAGATCAGTCATTTTTACTAATCCTCCGGTTCTGATCTGATCGATGTAATCAATGCATGAGAAATTCTAATTGATAAATAATATGCACTTTATCTATCGAAAACAATGAATATCTCGCGGCACTGTGATTCCGAAATTATCGATTTAGAATTATTACGTGGATCGTAATTTCTTCAGGATTGTTCTAATTATTTTGCAACGAAGCATCGATAAATCAGAGAGCCTATAGAAGTTACACGCGAGTAACGCGAAAATTAACAAGGTCGTTATAGTGATGAAGTGAGAGTAGATTGATCGAGTACTGTTGGACAAGCACTCTATGCAACTACCTGTTACTATTGGCCAGTAGTGAATTCACTGCTCGAGCTGGTGCACGTTTACGCAGGAATTCTTCGCGATTTGAAATCAAAAAAAAAAAAAAAATACTCCGATGGAATAATTTATTTAAACTTTGAATGATTTCTCGCGTTTTCAGAATGTCCAGGTTACTGACGACTCATACAGCAAAGAGTCCATCCATCGGTAATCAGTATGATTATATAGGCAAAACACCTTTACTGAACACGATCACGGAACCATTGGCCCCGAAACTTCGATCGTACATCGAGGAATGCGCGTCTCTTTGCTGCCCTAAGGACATCTACATCTGCGATGGAAGCGAAGTCGAGTACAATTATCTGCTGAAACTCCTTGAAAAGAGCGGCACCATCTTGCCCTTGCCAAAATTCGAGAATTGGTGAGTGCATCACTGTAATCAACGCCTACACTCTTGAATCAATATTTCAAAATTATATAATAGGCACAACATTGAATTTTATTATTAGTTTGTATTGAAAAAGTAACATCTTGAAATTCCCAATCATCATCATTGTATCTCTTTTAGCCGGTTTCCTCTTGAGGAAACTTCCTCGTAAACAGGAAAACATTGAACAGTATAATGTATTTCATTATATGAACAACACATGGTTTATTCTTCTTTTTAGTGTTCTTCGAACTTGGTCACGTTGACTCGTTTTAACTCGACGGGCAGGTCTTCTTCAATTTCCATCAATCTAAATAAGAATAGATTTTTTAATGATCCAAGAGAATGATTGTAATGAATATTCAACTTGCATAGCATGTAGAAAGTTTATTAAAATCATTTGCGTAGTCGACCTTAATTATTTTTGAAGGATGCATTTGGTTGGCTTTTTCCCAACTTTTCTTTAAATAACACTTATAAGAATTCTATACTATAGGCAGAACATTATGTGCTAGGCAAAATATAAACAGGGTAAATGACCTTTTAATTATCTAATAGTTCCTGTTGATGAATCATATTTTGGAGACTTCTGATCAAACATTTATATAGTCTGTCCATTATTCGCTATTTCTACTTGCGTTGAACTTGTACTTTATCAGATGCATTCCTCCACATTATGCATACCTCATTGAATTCCAGTTGGCTGGCTAGAACAAATCCAGCGGACGTAGCCCGCGTGGAGAAGCGTACGTTCATCAGCACAGACATCAAACACGACACGATCTCCACGCCTCGCGATGGCGTCACTGGAGAACTGGGTAACTGGATCTCTCCACCGGAGATGGACAAAGCCATCCTAGAACGTTTCCCAGGATGCATGAAAAGTCAGTACCAATTTCTCTGTAGCCTCACTCTAATCTCTCATTGATCGATGATCTTAAATCGGTACCATTTTCGTGTACAGATCGCACGATGTACGTGATACCGTTCAGCATGGGTCCGGTGGGCTCTCCGCTCTCGAAGATCGGAATAGAGATCACGGACTCCGCGTACGTCGTCTGTTCCATGAAAATAATGACCAGAATGGGGAAGAAGGTCCTCGAGACTCTTGGGAACGACGACTTCGTCAAGTGTCTGCACGCTCTTGGCGCTCCAAAGTTGGACTCGAAGATCGAGGCGATCTCTTCGTGGCCCTGTGACCCGGAGAGAACGATCATACTTCACAGACCGGCCAAAAATGAAATAGTCTCTTACGGGAGCGGTTATGGCGGGAACTCTCTGCTGGGTAAAAAATGCTTCGCTCTGAGGATCGGCTCGACGATCGCTAGACAGGAGGGTTGGCTCGCCGAGCACATGCTCGTATGTACCACTGTCCAACAAAACTGAATCTTATCTTTTAACACTGCTCCACGCTATTCTGCGTTTCTTACTACCTTTCTCTTTTTATTTATTCTTTCAATCGTTACTCCTTGCGTCCATGTTTGTCATCCGTCTAAGAGATTCTGTATCAGTTGCGTTTTCTAGATACTGGGTATCACGAATCAGAAAGGTAAAAAGCGTTACATCGCCGCCGCGTTCCCGAGTGCCTGCGGGAAGACGAACCTGGCCATGATGCAGCCTACGTTGCCCGGTTACAAGATCGAGTGCGTGGGCGACGACATCGCTTGGATGAGGTTCGACCAGGAGGGCAGGCTTCGCGCCATCAACCCTGAGAACGGATTCTTCGGTGTTGCCCCGGGTACCAGCAACGCCACGAACCCGAACGCCATGAGGACCATCTTCAAGAACACGATTTTCACCAACGTCGCGGCCACCAGCGACGGCGGGGTCTTCTGGGAGGGAATGGAGAAAGAAATCAGCGAGGACGTAGAGGTGAAAACTTATTCTGTTCTGCTAGGTGTCCACGAAATAGCGACGTAGTCTAAAGTGTTACCTGACACGTGTGCAGGTCACCGATTGGCGAAGCAACAAGTGGACCAGGGGATCCAAGACGCCTGCCGCGCATCCGAATTCTAGATTCTGTACACCTGCTAAGCAGTGTCCTATCATCGATCCTGCTTGGGAGGATCCAGTCGGTGTTCCTATTGACGCTATCCTTTTCGGTGGACGAAGACCAGAGGGTGTTCCTTTGATCTACGAAGCACGAAACTGGCAGCATGGTGTCTTCATCGGGGCTTCGATGAGGTCTGAGGCAACTGCTGCTGCCGAGCATCAGGTACGCAAACCTTAAGCTACTTTATTCTTGATTCTGATACGCGCAAGTTGGAGCAAATTGATCTTTCTCTGTGTAAATATAAAGCTACACTCGATAGAAAGAGTATAGTGATAGTTGACTTGAAACTATCATCTGTCTGCTTAACGTAGAGATACTGTTGTCCCTCGCTGTCCACATTTCAAAGATTCCCCCCTCAGATTAGTCTCGAGATCCTGAAACTGAGAAACAGAATGTTATATGCTGTTCCAAGTAATACGAGTGTCTTTAACGACCAGGGCAAAGTGATCATGAACGATCCATTCGCAATGAGGCCTTTCTTCGGCTACAACTTCGGCCACTATCTCGACCATTGGCTGAGCATGGCCAAAGTGGAGAACGCCAAGCTTCCAGCGATATTCCACGTGAACTGGTTCAGGAAAGACACGGACGGGAAGTTCCTCTGGCCAGGATTCGGTGAGAACTCACGCGTCTTGGACTGGATCCTCCGCAGGATCGACGGCGAGGACATCGCCGTGGACTCTCCCATCGGTTTTCTGCCGAAATTAAATTCGTTTAACTTGAGCGGTATGAAGGACGTGGACATGGAAGAATTGTTTAGATTACCTAGAGACTTCTGGCAGAAGGAAGTGAAGGACCTCAGGGAATACTTCGACGCGCAAGTCGGCGATGATTTACCGCAAGCTGTACGTTCCGAGATCGATCTTCTTGCTACTAAGATCGAACGTCTTTAAACACGAGCGAAACGCTATCGTTTTAATTGCGTTAAAATTATCCTTGAACGCATACATAATGTATATTGTATTTATAATGCTTGAAGAGATCGGTCCAAATGGGTCCAAAGGATTGAAGGTTGATGCTTCAAAGCGATACAATAATTTGAGTCTATTTAAAATTACATGTACACTAGGATAATTAATTCAATTGTCAATTATCGTCCATCTTGCTATTGAAATGTAAATGTAGTATTACGACGCTTTTCGCTCGAGCATCAAACACCGTCTTTGTTCATTGAAACATGGATTTGTTAACATCGACGTTATCGTTATGAAATTGTAATTTTCCTTCAAATTACCTGTTTTATCGTTTTCATCGTCGGGACGAATGTTCATGGCTGTCTGGGACAGACTCTTGTAAAAAGATAAAAGGAAACAGTATGCAAGCGTGACAGTGTGCAAATGAATGTTAAATAAAACGGTTCACCGATTGCGACGGAGAGACATTATTTTGGATAATATTTTTCTGAATAAAATATTGTATAATACGGAGGACTTACGTTTCTAGCAACTATTTATTACCCAACAAACAAATAAAGAAACTGACAATACAGCAACAAGTTTAAACGAATTACATTTAAAATAAAACGCTGTTACATCGTTCTGCTAACCATGTTTCTCGGCCAATACTTTACAAGTCTAAGTATTATCTGTAAAAGACTACATATACGTGGATATTCAAAACTGTACATTTCTCTGTATATTACAAGATTATTGCGGTTCGTATACGTGTACAATTAAACGTATACAGTTCTATGTTGGACTTAAAACCAATCTTAAAAACTCTCCATGATTTCCATAACAAAAGTGCCGAGACTGTTTATTAAAATTTAAATCATTTTGTTTCTGGTCTTAATCGATGTATTTATGTATTATGCAATTAATACTTACAAAAATAACGCAAGGTATTTCTTAAAGTAGATAATACACATTACGAAGAGTAGATTATCATTTTAACAAAATCCCTTAAATTTATTTACAATAAATCAAAACAAGAAATCGAATTCAAGGAGACTATATTATGCACTAAAAAAGATGATACAATATCTTGGAAAAAATTTTAGTGAGAGATTCTAGAGACCAAAATAAGACGAAAATCAAGGATACTAATTTGTTGATTGAGGCTTCGTTAAAAAGTTATAGAAACATTTCTGGCCACACAGTATATTTTTGATAAAGAATTTTTTTCTCGAAAGTGGGTAGGAATTCGGGGGTATGTGTATTGACCAAAAGTGATTGTAATTGACCCCCGCAACCGAAAATAATTTTTTTTAAACGATTTGGAATTTTTTAATTTTGTCGAAGAATTTCATACCTTCTCGAATTTTTTTCTCAAAAGTGCGTAGAATTTCGGGGGTATGTCTGTCCACCAAAAGTGATTGTAATTGACCCCCACAACCGAAAATAATTTTTTTTAAACGATTTGGAATTTTTTAATTTTGTCGAAGAATTTCATACCTTCTCGAATTTTTTTCTCGAAAGTGCGTAGAATTTCGGGGGTATGTGTATTGACCAAAAGTGATTGTAATTGACCCCCGTAAACGAAAATAATTTTTTTAAAACGATTTGAAATTTTTTATTTTTGTCGAAGAATTTCATACCTTCTCGAATTTTTTTCTCAGAAGTGCGTAGAATTTCGGGGGTATGTGTATTGACCAAAAGTGATTGTAATTGACACCCGTAAACGAAAATAATTTTTTTAAAACGATTTGAAATTTTTGAATTTAATTGTTAATAACTTTTTAACGAAGCCTCCATCAACAAATTGGTATTCTTGATTTTCGTCTTATTTTGGGCTCTAGAGTCTCCCATTAAAATTTTTCCCAGGGTTGGCCGAACACGCTGTATATTATACAATTTAAAAAGAGTAAATAATAAAAGTGATTTTTACAACAAGAACTGGATCCTAGTCGACGTGATTTCTATCTAAAATATTGCACAAGTGGTTGTTCCCTTCTTCAGAATTGTTCAATTGTCGTAAAGAAAACATGCATATCGTACTGATAATTTTGTTTAAAATAAATAACATAAATTTTAATCGTTTCTGTCTATAATGTAAACTACTTCGTGCAAAAAGTAAATACTTCTTCATTTCATTTGTCCCACCTTCGTTTAGTTCGTAACAATCATACAGTTTCGCTAACGGCAATTACATATATTTTGTACAATTTAATTCCATTACTTGCGTCGATTAATTTCAAAAAACCTACTGACGTTCGTTAATTCCTCGGATCAGACTAATGAAGTTCTGTGATGTAGACTATAGACTTCTACTCCTATTTCCGGTGTTTCATTTTCATACGGTTTTCCTATTAAAAAACAACGAGTATGCCTACGATTCTATATGTAAATTCGACTCTATTTACCTACTGTATCGACACACCAATGTTCTAATTAAAATTAAACGCAAGTCCACGAATAATCACAATAATACGTATGTATTTATATAATCGAGACATTTCGTTCCGATCCTCGACGAGATCGTCTACTAATATAGTATGTATAATTCTGGCATATACTTTGAAGACTAGATCAATATATTTGTCGTCAGTCGTTAGTAATTTGCACCAATTTTGTATAATTGCAATTACAGACAATAATTACATTCATTCCCTATTTTACAATATCGGTATAACAACTACTGTACAATTGTATACTGTATCTTTAGAGTAATTAATATGTTTGGTTAACAAATACATTCATAAATTCCATACACGGATAACGTATTTATTTTTTATAGCCGTTTTTATATATTACGATTCGATACCTTGATCTTTTATTTAAAATTTTTTATACGTCGTAAAACAATACGATTTATAAAACTATTACAAGCTACAAGCAAAATGTAAAGCAATCGATTGACATTATTAAAGCACAAATATCGCTCATTGTGCTGTTAGATTATTCGAGATAATTGACAACAAAGTTTAAAAACAGTAAAAAATTTCTTATGGCAAACATATTTTTGTTCCAGTCACACCGGTGTTAATGCATTATTTTAAACTTGTTTCCATAATGCAGAATCAATGATTTCTGATAAAAAAAACTATAAAAGAAAGGGATCGTTATTTTGTAATTTTTCAATTTTTATCGTTGTATTTGAATCATGAACATTTATTACTTTTAAAATATAGTACTTCCTGCCGCTAACTTAGCTACGTTTTTTTACACACTAACTAGTATTGTTACCCGCTTTAGCCCAAGTAATAAATGCCTAATCTGCTGGCGAAAACTGCATTGAAATTAGTTCACTAGTTCTTGAGCTTATAAAGTTCAGACAGACGAGTATGCTACTTCATATATAAAGAGAAGAGAAAGAAAGAGATAAAAATGACATTAAATTTCAATGTGCGTAACGAAGTAATTCTTCAAATATTTAATAAGACACGACGAATCGCAAGTAATAACAAAATTAATACAGTATACAGTTCTTCCCGTTTAATAACGCAGTCGATAAATTTATTTCGCCTATGAAAAGTTCTCTATAAATATAGATAACTTAAAAAAGTATTGTTTAAACGATACAGAGAGCTTTAATATCGTACGTCATTTTGAAATGCTTTTCGGGGACAAATTACATTGATCAATTGATGCTAAATTTCTGTGTTTTTAGTAGTCCCTTACAATCAATTTAAAAGTTCCTTTCGCGTATATAAGTTGAGTCAATCGAGGTTTTTGTGAAAAGGCTATATATCAATTATTTTTTTTTAAATAAAATCTCAGGTACATACTTATCACCCATTGCTCTTCTTCACCAACATTCCCAGTGCTCGTGGTATGCACGAGGGGCACAGTATTTCTGGTTTAGTCGTTTCAGCTAACATTTTCTCTAAGTACTGAGCTGTACATGGAAGAACCAATGAGTCGGATGTTAATAATTCCGTTTGCATTGTTGGAATCACTTCTGTTTTATACATGGTCAATGGATAATGGTGTCCACACGTAAATACTACCGTATCTTCTTCAGCCGCGAGGAATCGATAGACCGAATCCGGATCCTAATTTCAGAACCATATCTCTTTAAAAACTGAACTAAGAAGTACTTGACTTTATAATTTATACGTGTATGATGTACCTTGATGTGTACAAATGACCTGGAATCCGGAGTCTCGAACGACACTGTGCTCATAATGCCATCTATCATTTGTTTTGAGGTATTATTTTCACTTGTGCCTGGGTAGCCAGTGAGTGGTGGCCCATAATATTCGGCCGTCAAAAAAGACAGTAGTTTAACAAATTCAGGTGTAGGTTGGCCTGGTAATATGCGAATATTTAATAAGTAACATAAGACATATAAATAATGGATTATATAAAAAACAAGATCATTTACCTTGGCCGATATGCTGCAGTAACATAGAACAGACTTGAAGAGAAAATTTAGTAGAGAAAAAGTTAATTACAGCGAAACTCTTCACTTCCGTATCATTCTTGTTTGTATCCAAGTACTTTTCCATTATTTCTTGGCTGCAGAAACATTTCAACATTGTAACCATGATAATTGTAACATTAAGAAATACTTTACAGTTTATTAAACACTCACCAGAACAGCAACAATCCAAGCGGATAAAAAATTAATTGGATATGTTCTAAAAACAGATTCTCTATACTCTGTATTGGGAAATTGTGTTCGATCCAGAAGTCCAGAGCATCCTGTAATATTTTACACTTGACCATATCCGTTTCGTTTTCCATTTCACTTAAGAAAAACTTGATCACTTTTATAACTTCGCTGATTACGTTATCTTGCCGGGAATGCGACACTTTCTTTTCGTAAAATGTTGCATTACGATCCTGATCCGCTACTTCCTTCTTCGCGGCAGTTACCGAATGGGCCTCGCCAGATCCAGCTGCTTTCTCTTGCTTTTGAAGCTGGTTATCTTTGAATATAATGTTTTCCATCCATTCCTCCAAATCGGAGCTAATATCAGAATCGAAAGTGTCCTCGAAAGCATCCAAAGGCGCATTCTCGCATTTCATATCTTTGCACAATTCCTCCGAGCCGCCCTGACAGTCAAACGTGTACAGCTCTTCTTGCAATAATTGCAGACTGTTCAACGATCTGCTTGCCGGAATTTTCATCTTATTTTTAACGGCACAATCCTCCACGGAATCGATCAGATTCTTCTCTACTTGTTTGTTGAACAGCTCGGTATTGTTCTTCACGTGTCGTGTTGACCAGGTCATCTTTTTTACATCCGAATTCTCTGCGATCTTTTTGTCCAACTTTTTGCACAAACTTTCAGACGATTTTATTTTCGCGCGAAACCGAAGGCTCAGCGTGTGCAATATTTTCAACTGATAGGCGAAAGCGTCAGAAATATTATGCTGCACCATAGCTATTTTTGAGCAAGCTTGATAATTTTCCAACTCGATACACTGAAAATATACGAATTTCATAATTTTTTTAATTCGATACCGTCAAGAGTTACGTAAAACGGTGCACCAACCTTCTTCATAATTCTTGAAGTATCGTACAAGCCGTAGAAATATTCGAGCGCATAATTTAAAGTCAATTCACCGGGTGTTTTCTCAATAACGCTTAATGGACAAATGGCGCCCGCTAGCGGCGGCACGTCGTAACTCAGATAAGAAATAACAGGAGCAGGAAGGTTGGGGACTTGACTAGGCACGTCCAAAGCTACGTGATTCATTAAATTTGGAATACGCGCTACTCTCTTTTTAAATAACACAAACTTGTCCTCGGAGTCGCGTGCATCTTTCGGAGGAAGGCGGCCCAGCTGTGCTCTTTTATTGTTGCCCCAAGCTAAAACCGTACCTCCTAAAATAGCAAAAAGTTATAGAATGTTCAAAGAAAACGAATACACGAATCGTATGATCTCCGTACCTGAATGGATGGCAACCGTGTAATCATATCCGCAAGAAACATAGACGATTTTAATTACTGAATTTATTTTATCCTTAGACTCGTTGCTTTCCGTCTGCCATGATTTTGACTCGCCGTTTAAGTTCCCGTTTCTATTGTTCGCGGCAGAGTGAATTCCTTCGGCATCTAATTCTTGTTCATCGTCCCCTCGATAGGCGTTGTGCCGTGGGGGTACTTGTGCGAAGATAGAAGTAGGATTGTAACACAATGGCGTGGGAATTCGTACCTCGTGTTTGCTACCATTGCCTATCTGACCATGCAAATTCCGTCCCCATGTATAAAGCGACCCGTGATTCGTCACAAGTGCATTGTGATGGCAGCCAGTCGATATCTAAATGTACTCGTGTTAATATAAAAATTATTTTCTATATCAAAATATACAGTATCCTTCACTGACCTGCACTATATTTCCTTCCACCAAACTCGTATCCACCAGGGACGGTTTCAAATGTGCTTGATTCTCCTCGAGCGGTATGATATCGACGTTCTTCAAACACATATGTAATTGTTTTCTTCTCGTGTCCTCGTTGGCTACCGACTTCGGTTGTGCATTTGTATTTTGTGCATTATTTTCTATCGCCTCTTCGCCCATTTCGTTCGTGCCCGCTTGGTCCATAACCTTCTCAAACTCGTCGATAGTTTCGAACTGCTTCGCAATGGCGGCTCGCTGTTCCCATATTCGATTCCTCTTTTGCGCTTGTGCTTGCCATCGAAGAACCTGTGGGCTAGCTCCCCACGTATATAATTTGTTAGTGTAACTAACGGCAAGCTGGAACAAACGCAGAGTATTAACAAACATGGTTATCCAGTAGTTTAGTCAAACTCGGTTACATGTTAATCTTAAACCACGCAGCAGACGATTCTCGCTTACATTGTGGAAGTATCCAGTTGCGATGAGAGATATTTTCTCCGGTAACAATACTTTCATTGGCACAGAACTCTTAACGTTGCTCCCTATACCCAATTGCCCGAAAACGTTGCAACCAAACGCATACACGATACCCTCCGTAGAAAGAGCTAAAGTGTGTGCATGGCCGGCGCTGATGGAACGTATAAATGTACCGAGTAACGACGTAACTAGCGTGGGAGTGTTCTTTTTGTCAGTATTACCATGGCCCAATTGACCATGGACGCCCCAACCCCATGTAAAGACTCTCCCATCGGAAGTCAATGCGACAGAATGATATTGTCCGGCTACCACGTCTACAATAATTTCTTGAGCCAAAGATATGATTAATTCGGGGCTCGAACATTGTAAAATCTTGCCCAGACCTAACTGGCCGAACTGATTCGACCCCCAGACATAAACGCCATTACTGGTCACTGCCAAAGCGTGACAATGTCCGCACGATACGCTGACGACTTCGAGCTCCATCATCCAAAAGAACGATATCGATTGAGCCGTGTCATACCACAATAGAGATGGACCAGTTCCTAATAACAATTGTAAACAAAAATATAACGCATATAAATTGCAATACATATTAAATCCCGTGGAAGACATTTACCTAGACATCCTTGCACAGAACTCCCCCATGTATAAACGTTTCCGTTTCTGATAAGAACAACATGATAAAATCCGGCACATAATGGCCTTCTTTTGAAATGGACAATAGAACTGGTATTGTTATGACTCTGTTTTAAAAAAGATATAAATGTACAATTTCCTGTTAAAACAAAATTCGTAATTATATTAATACCTACCTTCTTAAATCCTAATAATTCAACGTTACATGTAGTAGAAGGTTCTTGCTCTAAAATAGATTTCTTATAAATCAAAGTCAGTAAAATTAATAAAAAAGTTTCTATAATTTCTTCCACTAATGCGTCACCATCCTCCTGCGTAAAAAATAAAAATACACGTACGATAATACAATTCGTATTAGAGAACAGATTATACTTACATTTTCTAAGAGATCTAAAGAATCACATTGACTAGATTGAGAACTATGTGAAGTAGATCTATGGCGCAGTCTGCATTGTACTATCCTAGGTCTTATCACTGGATTTGTTGGATCATACAGTGTTACTAATCTCTAAACAAAATATAACAAAATATGAAATTAAATACGATTGTAATTGGCAAATTAGAGCAACGAGAACTTTACCTGAAGTACAAAAATTTGAGAGTCTTGAAGATTATCGAGAATAAATGATATATGTCTTCTAGCTAACTCAGGATTTACTAACATTGCTTGTATCAAACTTGGTTCGCTTATACATATTAACAAACCGTCTAAAATAAAATAAATCGCATTTTTTCAGCAACGTCTATATATAATATATAATCACTTAAATCGTTTAAAAAATAAATTATCGTATTATACGTTACATGATGTTGGATGGAAATTGTTTGTGCTGAAAGAATGTATTGTCTTCATGAGCACATCCAACATTTGTCCATAAAGACATTTTTGTGTAGCTAAATGATGTAAAACTTCCCATAGACACGTTTGCCCAGCAATATTAATTGCTAATAATTCGTCGTAAAAAGAATTTGTAGATAGGAAATATCTGTAATCCAAATATCCCGTTAGAATCTATCAGATGGAATTCATATGATAATATAATATAAAATTTCCGAATGCTTACAAAAACTCTTTATAAGTAATCCTAGATTTTTGAGGCGGTACTCTAAGCGTTATTTCAATAAACGCGAGTACACATAAATTAGAAAGATGAATTCTTGTTGTGACAGGCAGCTTACCAATTTCTGGAAATACTAAAAATTGCGTGAGGCATCTCAACACGTTCGCTGTATACCCAGCAGATGCATATTTTAACACGCTCTTCAATACTCTACACTAAAAAAAAAGAATAATTGCACAATTGTGTAAAAATATAAACGACAGCTGTTACGCTTATTTCTTATTTTTTTTAATACTGTGTTTAATTACTTCGGATAGTTTATAACAAGTCACCGCGCGTGAAAATTGTTTATTTGACAAAAGTATGTCGCTGGCTTGTTCTAGCAACTGCTGTGCATTTATGCCAAATACTATAGCCAATTTTATCGCTTTTTCGGGTTCGTTATCTTTTAGTACTAATTCCATAAAAATTGATAACACCGACTTTCTGTAAAAACAAAATCATTTATAATTTCTGATTTAAATTATAGAATATGCATAAAATGTAGACACCTACCTCAGAACAACTTTATACACTGAATGATTTGTAACAATTATACAAGTATCCACAGGTGGCAATTCAACTTCGATATCTTTTATTCCCTTTGGTAATGTGTATTTCTTTTTAATATCTTGAGAAAGTACCGTTGGTGCATTATTTGTAAAATCAATAGCTCTGTACACAGCGCGTATCACTTCTTTACTATTCGCTAGAGAAAAGTGTCCGACGACACTCTCTGGATTAAATTTACAATTATCATTTGTACGAGTTTCGGATAATCTGTCTGATATTATATATATTACACGCTGACTAGCGTCGGTGATAAAAAAAAAACGTTCGGTTAATAAAACATTTCTACAAGATTCGAACAATTTATGCACCGATAAAGGTATAGTAGAAAAATCAGGTCCATGTACCTGCAATTACGCAGCTGTTTAAAAAACGATATGCGTTATTTTATATGGTAAAAAGAATGAAGAAATGTTTTCTCACTGTTATATGACTTGTAATAGAATGGTAACACGTATACAATTGTTGACCTTTTCTATCAGACTGTGAAACGAGAAAAGTGTCTTTTGATATTGGTTCGGGTGTTACTTGATTCTGATTCACTTCCATGGACAAGTCTAAATTAACTGTTGCTATGCGAGTATTTCGATTACCCGTGATATCTGTAAAAACGAAATTTGATCCGCTTAGGTTTTATAGCAGAATCTACTTGTAATATTATTTTGCGTTATATGCATACAAACCATTACATTTCAAATTTTCACTTAAAGTCTGACTTTTTGTTTCGATTAACTTTTGTCTAAGTATAGCAAGTTTCTCCTCAGACAGCTGTTTGAGCCCTTGCAATCTGGATCTAGTAGAAGCAAATGTTTTTGTATTATCGTAGATGTTATCGCTCGTATGCAACGAATTGTTATAGGCTTCTCCATTTTCCAAATGATGCAAACAACTGTAGGTGTGCTGCACTAAAAGCATTCTCCACTGCTGCTTTGATTGACTTGTTATTAACAAAGAGATACTGTTATTACTCTCGTTGCAACAAATATGCAAACTGGCAATATTTCCATTGATACGTGCCACGATTGTTTGATGACCACTCTCAAGATTTATAAATATGATCTCCCCATATTCAGTTCCAATAATACCAACTTCAGACGACGTTGTTGTATTTTGCCACCATATTATGGCAGTGGGTCTGAAAATGTTAAATACCTGTTATAACTGCAGAGTATGTCTACCTTATACCTGGTTAAATATTCAAATAAAATATGTACTTTGAATGAGAGGACTGCAAATTACTAGAAGGGAAACATGTTATATCGTTGCAGGTCCATCTTTGGTCTACCTCCCAATTTTCATCTACCAAGCACAAAGCAGGAATAATGTATACCGATCCATCTATGCTTGTAGCGAGTAACCATGATCCGGTCGAATGAAAGCATAAAGCTGAGATTTGTTTATGATTTCCTTGGAACCAAGGGATTCTTTTAATGATCGGTGCACACGTAGAGTCTTTTATGTAGTAAAAAAAAATTTCTGCATTCCCGGTCGTAAATGCCAAAAACAATTTGTTTCCATGTTCGCATTGAGCGCTATGTCGTATTTCTGTAGCCTTGATCAAACATTGCAGCTTAAACAAATTCTCTCCAGTGAAACTTGTCATTGGCTGATAGCCTTCTGTGCCTATTTCTGCGAGCATTATATTTAAGGCTACCGATTGATCTTAATACTACCTGAAAAAACAGAATATCATATTAACTTTACACATAATAATAAAGTAATATTACAGTAAACAGTCATAATATTAAATTTTAAGTTTATGGACATTCTTACAAAACGTCTGTTATATTAATCCGAACCCGACGCTAAACTATTGTAAAAGTGCATTAGAAATTGCCACGAAATATAAATATTCGGATCGATAAAATTATTAGAGCTTTAAATACGGTTCGTGAATTATTTGCACGCATTCGCAGAGAAATTGTGAGAAATTTACGTACAAGTCGACACACGTTGTTCACTACTTGCTCTTATAATCGCGTAACATAGCGATTAAAATATTTAGCAGGATATTGCGTGCTGCTACACCTGTGTTTATATGCTTGAAAAATAATATAACCGACGAGAAGAGCGGAGCTTCTAGTCTCGAGAAATTCTTGTTGTGCTAAAAATAAATTATTGCTAAAGAAACCTAGACCAAATGTCGCATCGCACATTCCGCCTGTACGTGATATTCTTTTGTGCAGAATAAACGAAGCGAATAAATTATTCACTGTGCATTACATTTTTGCAATAACACCGCCGTCAAATTTCCAAACGTCAGACATCAAAGATTAGATTACATATCGGTGTCAGTGTTACCATAACAAGGAGGATAAGGTTACCAGCTTACAAATTGGTTTTTAGAACTATACTAGTAAATATTCGTTATTTTCCCCATAGATTTAGTTGGTATTATATGCGATGCACTTCAGAATGCATTATTGTTTGAAGGTAGGCGTCACAGTACGCGTCGAAAAGATGGTGGATTGCGGAAAGGCACGTCTTTTGGGTATCGCCGTTGAATATTCCGCAGTTTAGAAAAGCTTTGACGAGACGGGGTATCGTAGTTGGTCGATTTTTAAGTCCGAAAAGGTAAAAAATGGGTTCGAACAAACGTCATAAAACCGAGAAGAACCGGGACGCAAAGAAGAAGCGTCACCGTAGCCGATCACGAAGTTATACGCCTGAACGCGAGAAAACGGAAAAGCACAGGCACCATAAAAAGCATAGAAGAAAAGAGCGCAAGGATTATGACAGCGATGGTTATTATCTGATTCATTCTATTTAAAGTATTAGAGATATATTGTACGGTGGCATACTCGGTGTTGCGCGGTTTCTTGCAAATTGTTCGCTCTCTTAGGATTAGGCTACCGTAATCGTTCACGAACGGTTCGTTGAGCCGCCCTTTCGATTTCGCTTCGTTGTTACGTCTCTGGTTTCGGAAATACGTATATTGTATCACATCTACGGAAACGCGGTCTTGCAGTCTCAAGTACAAGATTAAATAATTACGGAGGGAATCGAAGCAAATAATATTTATATCTTGCATAGGTACATAAGCATTTCCTATGATGAACATACTGTACTTAGTATCAGTTAATGCTGTTTTTGTTTCATTTCAGTCGAAATAGTTAATGCTCCTCCTCCGCCAAAAATCTCTAAGTCTTCGCATCCATCTACACCTCCACCTCCTGAAATTTCCAAGCAACGTAGCCCATCGCCAGCCAAAGGTGGCGCCGCACAGACCTCTCTATCCATCGAAGAGACAAATAAGTTACGAGCAAAATTAGGTTTAAAGCCATTGGAAGTTGACAGTACTTCTAAAGACGATCCTAATAAGATCAAAGATGATTTGGGAGAGTTCTATCACAAGCCTGCTCCCGATGTTAATGAGAAACTGAGGACACAAAAGTTGAAGGAAAAAATTGGCACTCAGAAACAGAAAAGGCAAATTGAAGCCAATCTGTCCAAAGTAAAAAGTTTGGCTGAATGCGACTCTGATGATGATACTAAAGCTTGGATCGAGAAAAACAGACGTTTGGATGAGGAAAAGAAAAAGGCGGAAGAAAGGGTAACTGCATTCCTAAGGATTGTATTAAATAATAGGAAGTTCGAATGTTCTAATGTTATGTATCTTTGTTAGGCAAAGATGTTGGATCAGCTGGATGAGGAATTTGGAATTGGAAATCTGGTTAAGGAAGAAATACATACTGCTCGAAATACAGCTTATACAGAGAAGAACTTAAAGGGTCTGAAAGTAGAGCATAATATTGTAAGTAAATGTTGCTAACGTTTTTTTAACATTATACATGATATTCGGATTGTACACGAGTTTATTTAATTATTTATAGGACAAGTTTGAAGAAGGAAAAATAGTTATTTTAACTCTAAAAGACCAGCAAGTATTGGACGAGAGCGGCGATGTACTCGTAAATGTAAACATAACAGACGAGGAACGTTACCAACGCAATATATTAAATAAAGCTAAAAAGCCTGGTTACGATGCGTACGATGACGATAATTTTGACGAGTTTGGTTTTTCGAAAAACACTATCTTGGAGAAGTACGACGAAGAAATTGAGGGCCAGAAAAGAGATAATTTCGTATTAGGAATCAATATGAAAGATGCCAGACAGTCTAAACTTGATCACGTTAAACAACGTTTGGCAAATAAGCGATTAGAATCGTTACAGTTAGCGGAGCCAAAATTAGCTAGCGAATATTTCAACGAGGAGGAACTTGCAACGTTCAAGAAACCAAAGAAGAAGGTAAATTTCTTTAAAACGTAACTGTAACGTTTCAACAACTTTCATAAACGATCTATGTTCGTATTTTTTGTTACAGGTTCGAAAGATCAGGAAGAAACTAAAGGCAGACGATCTGATTCCCGAAGGTAACGATTATCTTCGAGATCTAGGAAGTAGGAGAAGCAAACGACCTGAAGACGTGAAAGAAAATGATAATTTGGACGTAGATGACTTGGGAGGTATTTTGTATATTTTTAATAATTCATTTCTCGAAGCTTTAACATTTTATAAACAAACTATTTGCTGTCCTCTAATCAAGCTCCCGCCGAGGACCTCAGCGGAATAAAATTAGAAGAAGACGATAAGGAACTAGAATTGCAACTAGCATTGAAGAAAGCTCAACGTTTGAAAGAATCGCAATTGTCGACTATAGAACAAGTTGTTGAAACTATAAAACACGAGCCGTCAGGTTCGGAGGATAGTCAGTCTGGGAATATCGTCCTTAATGCTACTGCAGAATTTTGCAGAACTTTGGGAGACATTCCTACCTATGGTCTTGCTGGAAATAGAGAGGAAAATGGCCAGGAACTTATGGTATCGAACGTTCTCTTATTATTGTTTCTCTTTCTCAAATAGAATTCTCTACGTTATTTCTCGATTAAAATTATAGGACTTCGAGATCGATGGAGTGAAGGAGGAACCACCGGTAAATGAGGAAGAAGACGATGGTCGCGGCGCGTGGAATACAGTGCAATTAGGTATCTTATACTCGTGTACCGAAATTATGGTTCTAATTGAATATTTTAATTCGTAACCCGTGGTACTTTTTGGACAGACGAGAGCACATCGGAGCCAGTAGCATTGGAAGCCGCAATTCTAGACGCGGAGCCTTCCCTTGGTCATGGCGTTAGCGGAGCATTAAAGCTCGCTATGAGCAAAGGTTATTTACAAAAGGAAGACAGTAGTCGACCGTCTGCATCGCGTTTTGCTCACTTACAGGCTCAAAACTACTCGATAGAGGATAAAACTTACGGGTATGTATCGAGCATAACTACCATTCGATACAAGAAACTTTCTTACACGCGTTCGCGAGAAACTTACTCTGATCGCGAACGTGCATAGGAAATATTCTTGTACCGAATGCATTCCATGCGAATTTTGTTAGAACAGTCACTAGTGAATTTCAAACTGTTAGTTAACAGTCTTAAATAGAGCCCGTGTTTCGGTGCTTGGAAATGGACGATCCGCTACCGCTACAAGAGTTAACTACTTTGTCGGAGATGATCAAAGGCCTGAGAAAGAGGATTTATTGAGGTATGTTTATGTTATGCGATTCTACTGTTGCCAAGCGAGATACCTACAAACGTTCTAGACAAGTCCAGTGTGGATCGAAATCACATTTCATTTAATCAGTAAGAAACTTTTCTATGCGCTACGTATCTTTAATATAATTTCTGTGTCTCCAAGAGTGGTCTAAAAATAATCGAACGCTTTAAAATACGTATTACTCGGTAATGTATGAAACATGTACATGAACTTAATCTGGAGGTCAACAATAGAGCCAGGGGCATTATCTTGCATGTTTCAATGTATGGAATATGGTATAAGACTCTTAGGATAAGAATCCTCCATATTAATTTTAGTTGAAACTTGTTTTTTTAATATTTACGGATATATACCGTGTTAGATATCTTTCTTTCTCATCTTTCTCAGGGGAAATAATAACATATGTAACGGTGATAGTTATATTGGCTTGTTTAGATTCGTGTTGATCTAATCGCATAATGTAATGTATCTTGAAAACGCAATCGTCTGCTGTCGAATATTACATAGTTACGGATATTAAATATTCACGGTAACGTAAATTTCGAAACACCGAATTCCATGGGCTGCTATAAATTTCTATAGCTAAAGACAGTGTCTATTTTATCCGACCCGTGTACCGAATCGATGATTTCATCCACGTTTTTTTTTTTCGTTTTCAGAGACGACGATAAATTCGGCAGAAGAGATCGTTTCAATGGTCCAACCTCTGAATTTAAAGAGAAAGATGGCTTTAAACCGAACGTAAAGTTAGAGTACATCGATGACGATGGACACGTTCTGAGCGCGAAGGAAGCGTTCCGGTATCTTTCGCACAAATTCCATGGGAAAGGTCCGGGAAAGAACAAGGTATCTTTTGTTTGGACTTTGTATGCACCAATTCAACTGCCTTCGTAAGTTCCATTTAAATAAATTTCGTGAACTTTTCCAGGTCGAAAAGCGAATGAAGAAAGCTGAACAGGAAGTTTTAATGAAACGTATGTCCTCCACGGACACTCCCCTAGGTACGCTTAATTTATTGCAGGCGAAGCAAAAAGAAACTCAGTCTCCGTACATAGTGCTCAGTGGTAGCAAGCAAATGCAAACGTAAGCAATATTTTTATTATCGCAACAAATGGTAGTTGAAGTTATTGTCACGTAAAAGTCAATGTTATTCTTTTTTTTTTCCAGGACTAGTATATCGAAGTCAAAGCATTAAAGATTTTAAAGCTGACTTTAATGAAAGTTGTATATAATATACAGACAGAAGAAAACCTCTTATCAGCACTTTGTCAAACGGAACAGTGAGTTACTCGTACGAGAAATAAAACAATTGCACATGTTCTGATTTGTTAATACCCATACAGAATAATAAAATAACATTTGTGAATTTATGAAAGAGGTTGGTCATTTTCACGCATCTCCGTTTCTTGTTCAACTCAACCTCCAAAAATGCTATACTACCGATAGAAATTTCAGTTTAATTTTTATGCTCGATATGGCCCGAATATTACTCATACTATGCGTAAGTTAGATATAAAATTTTCAGTACGGTTGTCTGAGAAAATTGTTTAAATTTCCTCGATATATATATATATATATATATACAAAGTAGTACAAATTCATATTTTGTCATTTTTTTTTTTTCTTTCTTTTATGATTGTATACTTATTCAAAATATTTTCTTACTTTAAGGAAGTACATTTACTGCTATTACGATAAAATTAAAAAGAACAAACGACGTCCATGACTACATCTATGCTAAGAGATGTAACATGTTCGTAAAAGGCTACAAATATTTTAACACGACAGTTACACCTTTACTTCCATATTCTCGATCGTAATTAACTTTTAAAATCTATCCATACGAATCACGACTCGAAATATACAAATTTAAATACTACAAAATATTTTATTGTTTCTAACGATCACTATATAAACATCTGCTGAACATTCATTTTCGTATCATTAATTAGCATGAAGCGGGTAATGTGAATTGAAAATATTTTTTTTTTGTCTCGTCAAATGAAACATTTTGCGATCAGTTGTCAATGAAATGTTTCATAACATTCGTTACCAACATTGTTGAGTATTTTTACAATTTATCGGTATCGCGATCACGCGTAGGGAAAAATGGTAACGTTTTCGTTACTGTTAGAATGCTGAATGGCATTAAATATGTCCCTGATATCACAAGGCTTTACTTTGTGCAAAAATAGTAATACTTGATTCCACGAATCTTATACAGTGCACAAGAGCCTATAAATTATATTTTATAAATACGCGTTTCCCCAATTATACGCGATATAGTTACACATTTTATGACAATCATTTAGAAGACTTACTTTTCTCTACTTGCTATTCACAATTCTTTATTTTTGGAAAGTTTGGCACTTCTCTCGACGGTTCGGGCAAAAGTAATAGAAACTTCTTCTCTAGTTAGTTTCCAAATATTTTAGTTTAGAAACAATCTGGACGAAGCGGTAATATATTTTCTTTTGTTAGGTTCGAAGTACGTTACGTTCTAGAATAACATTTTTCGAACAATTTTTTAAGGCCGTCAAAAAAGTAAAATTGACTTGTTAATCTCTAAAATTGCCCGTTTTGTCAACGAATAAAAACGTCAGATAATTGTACGATAACAACAGAAAATATATCTAACAAACAGCATTTATTCTTCACTTAATGTTTATTTCTTAAACAAATTCCTATTATTTTTGCACACAACCTACTATACATTCTGATACTTATTTTAACTTACGGATATGACTGTGTTTGTTAGACTCTAAGAAATTTCGTTTGCGCCGGTAACACGTTAATGAATAATCTTCGATAAATTGTATACACACTTTACAATTATTTATAAAAATTCTATTATCTCACAACTTAAACGGAATCCAATATTTTCACGCGTTACTGCCGGTTCAAACAAATTTCTCACAGTTAACAAGTATATATGTATATATTATATTCGTGTAAATGTTCCCTATTCTCTCCTACAAGTCAAAATTAACATAAACTATGCGAAATAGATAAATATTTTTTAGTAGGTACTAACTTATCTCACGGCTTCATCCCTAATTATTTCTCCTAATCTCTGTCACATATATGCATACACTAAAGGTATTCAACTGATCCGACGATTCATCAGTTTTCTCTATTAGGTTGTTGCATATGAAATGTCAGGTATTTCGATTTCATAAAGTTATTACATCACCACTGAATAATTGTGCTAACAATTAGTACTTGTTACGTACCAATTTAAAGCGCAATACTTACTCGCTCGAGTACTATTTGTTTTGTTGATAAAGTCATTGTTACACGTGGATTATTTATCGATCGAAGTGAAATTGTTCTAATCTTGGACACGATGCATTCGAGGCAACAGAAAATTCAATTCAGCATTTGTTGAAGGCACAATTAACGATCAGAAACCGCCATCCAGGACGATTGGTTTAATCGAATTTGATACGCGTCAGATTACACATACGGAGTATAATTTATAATAAAAATTTTTGCGATTAAAATCTGGAATTACCCTGTACCATTATCTTACACAAATTTCGAAGTTAAAAATGCATTCATAATAAATCATATTATTCCAATTCACCACAAGTGTTTTTATAACGTATGTATTTGACCATTCTTTCAGTAAGGTATAATTGTAAGATTATCCTTACAGTCAGTTATGGTTGGTAACTCAATGCTACGTCGATTCAGTACATAAATATAAAAATAGCCTTGTGGAGAAACGATTAGGGTGATATGTTGTATTATAAATGTATTTTGAACCTTAAAATTCGTGTAAGGTAATAGTAAGTACGTTTCCATAGTAAAGGTTAATAATACAAAATTTTATACACTTTTTGATTTCGACCTGGTTCAACAACGTTGTAAGCAGGTACTCTACGACCATACCCATGCGATCTATATAGATCTAGGATTTACATATGTAACGAGAGTGTCGTTTGAGAAGAAATTCCCGCCTCAAGTCTTCCCCTTCGCAACACGTTGGCTACCATGATGTACCAAACGAATCCTAGTACTTGTAAACTTTTAAATAACATTACTGATATTTTCAAATAACGAAATCATCCCTAACCAAGAAAATATTCAAGAATGAAACTTGTTCAACCAAAAACGAGTTCGAGGAATTCGACGCATCTAGAAAGTCAGATTGTTTAAACGATGTAGTAAATGCGCTTGCATCTCGTTGGGAAAAGTACGTAAAATCTGTTGGCGCTTGGTTCTAGTAAAAGTGTTAACGTATAACAAAGTTACAGAAGTATAAAGTCTTCCCTCACGCGGCTCGACATTCTATATGCAACAATCTAAGAAATATATATACGTATATGTTATAAATTGACTCTGTTTTCTCATTCTCTCTAATCCTCCACTCGTATTAAGGTATTAAAATCATTGGTATAAGTATCGTAAAAGGGAAGTGCGGGTCCCGGGGGCGTTTCGATCGACAATCCGCTAGGCAAACAGACGTTCGTTAAAAAATGAAAATCGATCATCGTATCAAAAGTGTGTACAAGAGTGTAACGCAGTATGAAACACGCGGAAGGTGAACCGATCGAATGTACGGTAACAAGTTCACTGCTAGTTTTTCGGGTATACTTTCCTAAGGGTGGTCTTTCTCCAAGGTATCCTCCTTGAACGCAACATCATAAGCAATTGTTATCTGTTCAATGTTTCTACGTTTTGGCTTTGAGCATTCTTGTTCGCGACATCCTCTTGGCCATTCGGGCTTGGAAGCCTCGCCGGTTTTATCGACTTCAACTTCGTCGTTCCACCGTATCGGAAGTTCACGTCGCTACAAGTGTCCAATGGGTGCATGGTGCCCAATAGATTCGTACCGTCGTCGTCGTTCGTGGCTTCCAGCTTGGTGGTCGGTACCTTTTTTACCGATCCCAGCTCGTACGCCGATTTCGACGACTTCAATTTCATTCGATTGTTCAACGGTAACGAGATCGACTTCTCCAAGTTGACCGCTTGGATCTTTAAGTTATTATCGTTTTGCACGGCTTGCTCGTCGATCGAGTTCATCGTGTCGGTGATCTGAATGTCTATGTTCACCGTTTTCGGATCGTTCTCGTCGTTCCTGACGATTTGCTCGGTCGAATACTCGTTCCTAAGCGCGGCCAATTGTGCCCGTTGTTTCTGTATATGATTGTGCGAATTCGAGAAGAACGACGAGACCCTTTCGAGCTTGGTAGCCAAATTCGGTTGACTCAACGTCGATTTCAAAGGATACGGCGTATCCACCGCGATATTGTTGTTCTTCATGAAATTATGAGAATCTCTACCCGTGGAGTTGCTCTTTATCATCGCGAACTTGTTGTTGTCCTCGATTACTTTTAGAGGATAAGATCTACCGGTCACGCTTCTCCGTTTCTCGGCGAGGCTCAATTGCGCGATTATTCGACGAATGTCGCCCGGAAACTCGATGTCCGGACGCGTGTCGGACAATTGTTGAACAAACGCGCCCAACGTCGAAACGGTTACCTCTAGGCTGCGATTTTGAGATTCGAGCTTAAGGAGAGTCGACTGCTGCACCGATCGCGCCGTTTCCAGACGATGCAAGTTGCTCATGGTGATCTGCAAACGCGTCAGATTGTTCGTTTAATTTTACAAGTGACTGACAAGAACTAGAGAAACGAAACTTATTTGTTGGCATCTTACTTCGAGTTGCTCGCTAAGTTGCGCGACTTCTTGCGTCAGCTGTTTATTGATCACCTTCAGCTTCTCCATATTTTCTATTTGCGGCTTTACAGACATCATCTCTTCCTGCAATACTTGGTACTCCACTCTGTACTCATTTAATTGTTTAGTAATTTCTTGATCCGGATAAAACACGCGTTTCATGACACGGTCCAGAATCTCTCTGTCCACGGCTGGTACACGCGTCTAAAATTATGCAACAAGTACGATCAATTTTGAGAACAAAATTTTACAACAATATGTAATTACGAAGGCTTCATAGTTCTCTCCTTACTTTGAGGTATTCCATGATCTCTTCGAAACTGTCGCAGGACAATAACTGATCTTGATGATCCTCTAGTAACGCCATCGATACGCGGAAAAGTACCTCTGTGCTTTCCAGGAAAAGTAAATCTGTAACAATGGATATTATACGTATTTCATAAATATATGTGAATATTTCAGGAACTGAATGTACACACTAAAAGAATGTGAATTTACCAAAAACTCTGGTTACAAAACCCAGTGGAAATTGACTCGCAAATAAAGTCAACAGCCATGGGGCGGCGTACAGCGTGGGAGACACATCGTGTTTGTCAAAATGATTATAAATCGCTGGTAACCTATCGTGCAGCAATCTAGACAATTGATACAAGTACAACTGTAACGCCGCCATGTCGGGAAGATACAGTTTCCTTAGGCCTCTTCGAAACATTAGGTGCCGCAGGAGGAAGAACGCCAAATCTTCGGACATCTGATTAAAAACAGTACGAAATTGTATTTTGCTTTTAAAAACAGTCAACGCTGATACTTACATGCAATAAAAGAACTCCAGCAACGAAACTGAGTCCTTGACAATAACCGACTTCGTGATCCAAAAGCGAGTAAGCTTTTAGTAAATTGAATAATGCTAATTGTCCAGGCCCTAATGCTGAACTGAAATACGGATGATTTGGAAACGTTCGTCCCAGATCGATCAGTATCGCGTGTTGTTGGGACGTAAGTTGCTTTAAGAGCAAGTCGTACGGTGTATTGTAGTTAGGGAAATCGCGTGTGTCTATGGGCGGTTGCTTCAAGCAAAACTGTTCGGCTAAGAATTGCCATACTTCTCCTCTTTTCCCTTTAGGTACACCTGTGTCAAATTACAATGTGTCAGAAAGTATTCTAACGTATTTATCTCTGTTAATTTTAACTCATCCATAATAGCTTGAGTGAAAACTATTTACCTTGCTTAATAGCATGTAAAAGCATTTGATTATCACATTTTGTGGAGACCCTCGACTCTTTACTGACCAAAAGATCCCATACTTCCACTAATTCGCGAGCACAACTGCTAAGTTCGTCATATTCCAATTTTATTCTCTTAACAGTCGCTTCTTCTTGGCGCACTGAGGTAGAATATTTTTTTATTATATCAATCGAGGTATTCGCTTTTCTTTTAACTTAGAAAATATTGAAAAATATATTACCCCTGAGCCTTGCATTTTCCTTCTCCATTCTTATCAGTATTACTTGTTGATTGATCGCTTTCTTCCAAAGATCCCTTAACTCCTGTCTCGTCCTGCGCTTCGGTGTCGTCTGAGGAGTCTTCATGTTTCCTGACTTATCGTTCTCTTTGTCGTGATCTTTGTTAGGAGTCACGACTCGATTCAATATAGCTTGCCTCCATGAACTGTTGGACTGCATCGAATTGTTTCCATCCGCTTCGGTCGGCGACATTTTTGGTGAATTCCCTACCTTCAAGAAACTGCAAGAAGAAAAAAGGTTTTCTGAATGATGCGCGTGAAATTTCTTTACATTTGTCAACACTAGTTACTTTGGATGTGAAATCTATTTCTCTAATCTTCTGCGCTACGTTACAAAAAAAAATTTACATACATGTCCATCATAGAACTCTTTGGTCCAGTGTTCACAGTCAATTGTTGCTCGGGTGAAACTCTCAATGACCTCGGTCTACTAGATTCCGAAGAAATATCCGCCATAGACGGTTGCCGCGAAATATCAGGGCTTTGGCTAGCACTTTTTATCACAGTATTTAGGTGGCTCGAGTCTCTTAAATGCGAGACAAGACCAAGGTCGTCCCGCGAACCCTTTCTCTTCATCAGATTATCAAAACTATTTGTAAGCGAGCGTTTCGCTTTCATGAATATTGTGCTACCGACGCCCACGCTTAAGTACTGGTTGAGAAATTCACTCCTGCAACACACCACGTTTCGCAGTGAATTTAAAACGCCTACAGAGAAATCGTAAAATCCAAAACTGTTTTCTTTCCTCCCATAAAATACAAGTGGTTGTCATTAATACTATTCTACCAAAGGCGTTGAAAGGTACAGTTTAACATTTTAACTTGATATTATTTCCCAAGTTGAATAATTAAAGATAATGATCAATTTATTCACAGCACTGGTGCATAAAGTTTCGCGTACTGTAACTTTTTATTGGTCATTTTTCACGCATTACTGCATAAAGATGTCAAGAGTATTGTTTCTTCGCGAGAAATAATCATACCTATTCTCAGCCGTATCGTGAACATGCCTGGCTTGCTTCGCCTCGCAATGAACGCGCAGCAGCCTCATTAAAAACTGATTCTGTTCGCGTAAAGTCGTCCCAGTGCCGCCAGCGGACTCGGCGCTTTTGTACTTGCTAACGACAATCTCCTGCTCGTCCTCCGGCAACAGTTCCATTCGTGAGAAAATTATGTTCTGCGTCCTTCTGTCGTTCTGTCCTACAATCCGAACGTGACACGCGAACTCATTATATTCGCCGACTCGCAATTTCCTTACAAATAAAAATTGCTCACGGCGGAGGGGTAAATTTACCTTCGATCTCCTGACACAATTTGTTGTACCAATACATAGGGCAGTGCTCGCACGAAAACACGGAATACCTTTCCTTCCTTATTACGTCGCCGGTCCCGACGAACGCTTGCGAAATAGCTGAAACAGATCAATTCATATTGTTTCCCAATTAAATACTTTATCGATAACTGTTTTCGTCTCTTGTATTTATCGTGCGGCGTAAACCCAACTCATCAACGTTCGCGATACAGAATCTCAATTGTATTTTACCCTTATAATTCAGAAGAGTATAATCCACGCTGTGTTAATTTTTATTACTTTACATTCCAGTTGATGACACCGGTATTAATTTTATTGTTCCTTATCTCTTCTACATCTTATACCTGACATATTCTACATTTTCTCTATAGCGTTGCGATTTTCGAGCAAGTACAATAATATCGGTGTCTCACCAGTGACAAGGTCATCCGCCACGGATCCCGATTGACACTTGAACACATAGCCGATGAACCCCTCTATATTAATCTCCCTGCAAATAAAGCCAAAGTGCTCCGGGTTCTTGATGCCGTGGACGCAACTGGCCACGTCTCTCAGTTGCTTGTGAAGAAGCACCTGCTTCCTATCCGGACTGATCAATCTCAAATCATGACGGCCTACCTGAAATTCGACGTTAGATCAGGATACGTTTTAGGAATGCTTTTCGCGAGGAAAATCGAATAATTCCCCCACCTGGAAGAGCATCGTGCGATTGTGTTCGTCGCCGGTTTTCATGGAATCCCTTCTAGCGCTCAGGACGCTGCCCGTGGACGATGCCCGGTTTCTCATAACTTCTGGCACTTGCATAGCGTTGTTGTTCCTCGTGTCTCGATTCTCCTCCTCGTCCTTTTCCGCGAAACTGACACTCTTTGGAAAGGTTTCGACGGAGCCCATGAGCGTGGGCGGCACACCCAACGAATTAATCGGCGATATGATCCCGCTTCCCGACACATTTTCTATGCTTCCTGTCTCGCTCGCGCTGCCCGTTGATTCCTGGAAGGAATTTCGATTATGAAATTCCACGAAAACTGGACATCGTAACAAAAAATAAAAGAGGATCCAAGTAACTTACCGCGCTGTTTCTTCTGTTATTGGAAGACGTTAAAAGCGATTGGCGCTGATACTCGGCGAGATTGCTCGACGACGATCTCGATTTCTCGAGACCGTGAACGCGAAACCTGATGAGCGCATCGTCGATAAAGGACTCTGATACTTTTGGATGCGACACTCTGATTTTTCCTACGTAAAGCACCTGAAAATAAAAAGTGGAGGGATCAGTACCCCCGATGGCCTTGATCTACGTTTCGAATATCGGAATAAAGAACCACCTCGAAGAAATGGGAAGAACTTGGAGAGATGTCAGCACCTAAGGACATCAAGCTGGCTGCGCTGCTTTGCGATCTTTGAGGTACATCCCTGCCTTCGAATCGGGACGAGGCTGAATGTTCCTTCATGTCTCTTAGGTATTGCTGAACCTGCGGACAAAGAAAAAAAGCATTAAATTACCATCTCGTGCGCAACGTGTCGTTGTATCGAAACAACCGCAAATTAATCTTCGTCACGCGACTAGAAATTCTAATCATACATTCGAAATTCACCCGTTCGCGATCGAAGTCGTTGCACTCGATGATAAAGTACAACTCATTTAATTGTACAGCGAGTTATCCAAGTTACGTGGTTATGCCATCACTTATAACCAGGTGCTGCGAGTCCACAGGCACCAATAATTCAATATTTATTTCCATTGCATAAATTATACCCGAAAATATCAATTCCGGAAGTGGAGTATTTACCGTACTCTCAATTATTTATTTTCGTCGCGTGTTAAGTATACATTATTCATATTTATTTATTACTATTACTTTTTATTTCTATTTTTATTTTTATTTCGTTTGAAAAATAATATTTCACTTTAAACAAATTATTGGTCGCTTGAACCAATGCGCGGGCTTTTTCTGAACTTCCGGAAAAATGTCTATCACGTGACCAAAAATCCCGCCAATTTACATGGTAATGTTCCGATTTGTACAATTCACGTTGTTGTTATACAGTGCGTGGATATTTTTACGATGGAGATTTGCCCTAAAAATAATCCAGGATGTAGCATCTTTACTTGTGGTAATCGCCATTAATATGCAAAACCGATTTCGCAAGGAAACGTGAACCAAACGTGGCCGATGGCCGTGGACCAAAATAAATTCATTTCAGGAACACTCGACGATCGCATGATTCCCTCATTTTTCCTTCCTTCCGATTTCCCTTCCCCGTACCGTTTTGTCAATCAAACAATTTTAGGTTTAACATCCCTAACTTTTCTCCCGCCAAATATCATTCCTTCAGTGGCACTTCCGACAAGTGCCGCCATCTGCTTTGTTACTAACTAGTTCGTGAATCTTTTGCGTGTTCCGTATTATTAACTCTGTCAAATATGGTAGTTTTTCACAACAGTTCTCGGAACTGCTTTGTGTTGATGAAAACAAAATTCTAGACCCACGATCGTTAGGTTGTTCCGTGCCGTATGAATTACTAATTAACAAATTATTCTTAGCTGTTGGAAAAAGACTACATACAAAAACATTGGCAATCATTGAAAGCGAATATGAATTGAAAATTAAAGGTCAATGAAAACAACCTTCCAACTGCATCTAATTTGGTTGGAAAAAAATTTGAACTAATATCTGTTTGTAATAATCATGAATGATCATATAAGTTTTTCTTCTTCGTTCGATAAAAACTTGATGAATAAAACGTTAAATTATTCATGAAGTTAATTATCTATTTTAAATAGATTTCTCGGTGGTCATGCTTGTTGCTTCAAAGTCGCAATGGCGTAGGTTAATAAAAATATGAAATCACGCTTTAAAAATATGGATTCATGTGATCCCAAAATCACACGAGGTTATGTAGAATTAAATAATAATGAATCGTAGTTAAGCCGAAGGCAAAGTTTCTGTGGGAAATTCTTGGCAACAAATGAGATACGGTAACTACGTGGGTGTTTTATTGTAATACGATATCGTTATAAATTCGTAACTGTAAAACATAGCTCGTGAACTTTTCTCGCCGGTAACGGTTCATAGAAAGTTATAAATTCTGTAGGAACTGTGAACTATCGTTAACGACGGCGAATAGAAACTGGACGAGAATCTTTCCATCGTTTATTTCAATGTTTTAACACGTGCAACATCTTGCGACTCGTTATAACCTCACGAATTCTCCGTGGCTCGAGTTCGGTCGAGCGTAATTCGGAAGGACAGCGAGGGTATTATGTTACACCGATTTTCGTGCAAACAATCTTGCGTGAGACACGCGAGTTTTTTACCGTCTGTGTGCGACGGTCCACGCATAACGATGGCGAAGTCGACACGCGTGGAAGACGTCACAAGAAACAAAAACCTAAAAACAAAAACCGTCGTGAAATAGTTAGAGGACAAATACTGAGATCCGCTGACTTGAAGTCCCGAGGGAGGAAACAGGAGCAAAAGGAGTAGGACCGCCCATCTATCTATCTTGCTCCCTTGCTCTCAAGCAGTCGAGATGTGTGTGTAACTGCCGCGACGAATAGCGAACCAGAGTTCAATGTGTACGTGGGAATAGGTGTATCACTTCTACTTTTCTCGCATTCCTGCCACGGGACTTCAAGACAGCGGAGGACAGCACGTAGTAGACGGAGCTTTTACGATAGCCGTATTCGAAGAACAGGGGGGAAAAAACTGGGCGATCGATCTTCGCGTAAACTGACGTTGTAACACCGATAAGAGTAAACAATTTATTATGCAAACCCCGGTTGGATTTCGAACAATCGACGCGGGTGTGGTGATACCTCGCGTCCGATATATGGGTTGACGCGATCGATCAGAAAACAATTTGTATCGATGAAAAAAAGATTATCTTGACGAGTGATTATCTTTACGACCGTGAGAGGTCTCCGGCTGCGACAGAAAATCTCCGCCGGTAGCTGCTGACACAGAAAGCAGATCGGCACAAAGCGGCGCGGGGCTTCCTTTATCCAATTACCAGACGAGCTTTTCTTTTTATTATCTAGCCGACCCTTCTCTGAAAAATATGTACAACTAACACGTGATACGCGAACCGAATATACAGTGGCTCGCAAAGGCCACGGAATAAACGAATCTTGCTTCAATTGGCATATGTTGCAAGCAGAATAATTAGTTATTTCTTGCCCGGTTCACTGTTACCTTTTTATACCGACTGTACTTTTGAACTCGATCGCAAACAGATTCTTAAAACTAGTATAAATGACAAACTATTTTCTTTTTTTCTTGGATTTCTCTATGCATAACCGGTCTATCAATTCCCTGTCACCGCATGCAGAGGAAAAACAGCAATACCAGAAAGAGTATCCTGGAAGATTGTGGTTGCCTTTCACCGAATCAAACACTTAATGTTTTTCCTTGGAAACCTCAAATACCATTGCTACGGGATTCCACAAAGATTTCAATTTATACAAAAGTCTATTATTACTATGTAACCAATCATACGTTAATTTACAGAATGGAAATATCTTGGATCAGTGTTTCTCAAACTTCACCATCGTGTGGATCTAGTAAATTACTTGTTTAACACATCTGTCGCCCATTACGTACATATATTTACGTAATTGACGTTCAGCTGTTAAGTGCCATCATGTTTATATACGTGCTTTTCGCGACACGAAATTTCACGTGCCAATGCTGAAAGTTCAAGAGAAACCACATACCTACAATAATTTTTTTTTATAAAATTTTTATACATAAAAATAGAAATTGATTATTATAGAATGCATTTATTTCTAAACGAAGAAATAGATCTGGTGGATCTTTTGGGGCCCACGGATCGCAGGTTGAGAAACACTGTCTCAGTTAATTACCAACTCCAAAGATCATTTCTTCAATAACCACTGAAACGATTACTGAATTAATCGACTTCGCCTGAAGTCACAATTATTAAGTTGTTAAGCCTTTTTTCTGCACACTGTGCAATTTTAAAGTAGATCTCGTGTTGTCTTATTTTTTTGCCCCCGCTTACTTCTTCACGAATTATGAATACATTTTGCTACTTTATTCGAGGTTAAAAAGTAACTATTATATCGTCTCTTACATTCGACGCGACTTTTACAACCGACAATCACGACGACAATTCCCCGTCTCGATTCTCAATTCTTGCGTGTAATTGTATTTGTTCTCGGACTATAAATACTGCTTGGAAGAATCGCGAAATCCGCGCAAGGTCTTCCAAGTAGCTCCGCGCCACAACACGCTCGCGTGTTACATCCGTTCGCGTCTCTGTTTTATTGACACTTGCGTCCACTCCCAATTGATCAGCGACAATTCAAGGTACGCGTGATCGTCAGATGCCACGGTTCCGCGTCGTGACGCGAGCCGATTGAATTCACGTGGAAAATTAGATTGAACGTCTTCGAGATCGACCCCGCGATCCGTTTCATCGGGTTGCAGTTAAATGGAAGAAGCTGTTTCGCAAGCCGCGCTCTCGAATCAAGGACGCTCGCGTGATCGACGATCGTGAGAAAAGCCATGCAGAGAAATCGTTTCCGCCCGCTTTTCCATCTTGCTTTACAGCCAACAATTTACGAGGCGCGTCAGGGCGTACGAAGCCGTATCTTTCGCGAATAAAATCCCAACAGGAAAACTAGATAAACGTTGACATTTATTTTCCATAATTTCACACCCGTCGATCGAGTCAAATCTTTGTCCATAGGTGTAGCCTCTTACGACTTACGTTTTCGTAAACTTCTTTACCAAATAATCGGATCGGGGTTATGAACGAATTTTCTACTAGTCGTGTTATTAAAATAAGTTTTCCATAACATACGGAATATCTTGTAACGCGTAAATCGACCCAAGGAGAACAACAATATTTCAAGGAATATCCACCTATCGGCCGACAGTGTTCTTATCGCTTATGAATATTTCTTTCGCGTGCGACCGCTCTTAAAACCGTATATCGTAAATTATTTTTAGAAACGAAACAAAAGGTACGTACAACGTGTTTCGTGACTGAATTTCAAATGGCGCAGTTGTATTTAAGAAGGGATAATTATTTCCATTTCTCTTGCTCTCCTTAATTACAATGTTCCATTGGCAAGCACACTGGACATATAATTACGCAAATTTACCATGAGACAGACAACGGCGTATCAATTATTAATGAACGAAGATTTAATGGAAACTGTGTCAATCGCGATCAAAGACCTTTCATGGAAGACTCCATTCTTATTTCGCGAATGCAAACTACCTTCGAGTGGGACTCAACTGGCACAAATTGCAAAATAAGTTAAGAGACGACGCTGTACATTGTGTACTTTACATTTTACGCTATGTCGTGGACGATTTACGTTGCATAACACTACGTGTAGTGTACACTAAGCATTATGCAGGGTGTTCGGCCACCCCTGGGAAAAATTAAAGATTCTAAAAGCCAAAATAAGATGAAAATCAAGGATACTAATTAGTCG